GGCTAGGGAGAAGGCTTTGGAGGGTAGGGGGTGGAGGGTTGTGAGTGAAGTGGGGGAGCTTGTGTTTAAGTGATGGGGGTGTTTGTTGTGAGGTGTGTTGACGAGTTGCTAAAGGTAGGATGGATAGATGGCTTGTTTATGAATCATGATGAGATGAGAAGGTATGATTATAGTGTAATGAACTTGAAGAAAGCTTGCAGTTGCTTGCTAATATTAATATATAAGTCCCACCTTAAAGTCCCCCAATTACTATTTGTTCATGTTTCCCACGATTCGTGGAATAAAGCGATATGCACGCGTTGTCCAAGAATGACAAGATTAGACTTTTCATCCATTGCAAGACATTTTTACCACATCTATTCACGCCTAAAGTCCTAGCTTTGACCTTGATTTTGACCTCAACCACAGTGTCAATCTACCCCTGTGATGCACCAAAACTTTCACTATAGCTTAGCTTAAATAGCATTCTCCAAAACTCCCTTTCCCTTTTCAAGCCCAGCACCTTTAACAACACAATCCTGCTTTTTCATGAAATCAAAGTACTTGGTCAAATTCTCATTTCCCCCAAATTCAGGCCATTCTATTGAAATCTCATTCAAAATAGGCCACAGTGCAAAATCTGCTACAGATATCGTAGACCCGGCAATGAATTTTGCTTCAGCAGAATGAGCATCCCACAGCTCTAACTCCCGCTTGAATGGCTTGGCCCTGAACGGTTCTGCTCTCCATATATTTAGTAGCTCTCCGCTTTGCTGGAGTCGAGTAAATTGGCGAGCTAGGTCCGCCTGGGATCTCGGTCCTGAGTTTTGATCGTAGACGGAATCTAGGTACAGCATGATTGCGAGATCGCCGGAGATCGTTGACTTGCTGGAGTCGGAGTCCACGAATTTGACGGGCAGGTATTCGGGAACTGGAGAAGCATCGTTGCTACTGGCATCTTTCCAGTTAAAAGATGGCGAGAGCTTTCCTTCTGCCCAAGAAATATTCCGCCGAGCCAGAGAAAGCTTAACCCTTAGATCAGCAACAGCATCGCCGGATAAGAATAATTTCGGGTTATTGGAGATGTGGAGGACATCAAAGCCTTGACCATAAGACTCGGCCCAATCAAATTCGGCAGTCTGATTCTCCTTTCCAAAGGCTTTTAGCATCTTGTTGGATTCACCAGTCTCTCCGTTGATAACGGCCCTGGCTTCTGCTTTTGATTTGGCAACTGCACCTTGGCCCCAGATCTTAGTCTCGTCTTTATCCAGGAAGGTACCGATTTGTCTGAAAGTCAGAGAAATGCGACCACCGTCAAAAGCCAGCTCTTCGGGGGACTTCTCACTTGTCGTGCGCTTATCTTGTCGAACGCCATGCAGCCATCTCATGTTGGTGACTAGGCCGACTTTGCACATAGAATTGTGTGGAAGTAGAGCTCTGCACGACTGGCGGGGCGCAGGAGCTTCAGAAACCTCCTGATTATTCGGGTTCTTCGGTAGTCTCTTGGTTCGGAACACCATAGTTCTCTGCGCGCCGAGACTAACATTGGCAATGTATGTTTTGGGAACAATATCCAAAGTCTTGTCGCTATGCTCTGAAATATAGTCCATCCCATCTCGGTAAAATTGAATTAAAACATGATTAACCGGATGCCCAAGACTTTGCTCTACCCTGGCTTGAATCAACGATACTGTTGGCGAGAATGGTAGAAGAGGAGGCGATTCATCTGATGGATGGCGGTAGATTGGAATACTGCCATCCTCGGCCACGTCTCCTTGGACAGCAACGAGTCGTGGGACATCTCCACCTAGATGTGACATCTTTTGCCATCTCACCTCGTCGCGAAGCCTTTCAAAAATTCCATCTAACAGCTCCTCATGCAGGAGATTTTCGATTACAGTAGTGTCGCCCTCACAGATAGTGGTTGGCACAACGATATCAGAAGCATCGAACTGATTCTCATGGCTTGAAGTCGGGCTGTCGGGCCTTGATTGCTTGCCATCCATCTCGTTCATTTCTTCAATTTCGACCGTCTGCCCTTCAGTGTAGACAACCGATGCAGCTTCAGAGGAGGCGTCTGGAATAGGTGTGAGTGCCCGTAATGGGACTTCTGCGTCTCCTTGTTTCGGCATCTTCTCAAGAATTTCGGATGCACCATGAAGGGTTGCGGAAACTGGAGAAATACGTCCATTTTCGGATTTTGAGGGATGTTTATCTCCATCTGCTCCTATCGCTTTGGTTTTAGACTTTGAATGCCGCCTTCGGGTCTTGATCCTTGTTTTGACTCGTTCTCTCTTGATTCCTTCAGCTTCATCTTGGGCGGGTGGTGACTCGTTGGTGACGGTTCCACCATTTTCTGCAGCCGCAATTACTGGCGGTCCAGTTGACTTTGTAGGCGGTTTCGTGTTTGATGATCCGTCAGGTCTCAAATTCAGATTAGCCATCAGTCCTTCCAAGTTGCCGCCATTATCACGCCTACGTGGATTTCTTTGCGGAGGTATTGGCTGTTGCTCCACTTTCTTTCGTTGCAAGTCTCCGATAATCTCCTCGCTCTGCACTATATCACAGCCAGTAGCCTCGGTCAATTTCCTCAATGCCTCGTCATGCCTGGCTTTGCATCTATACCCCAGTCCATCCTCGACGATGGTAATGGCGTAACCATATTGAGCAGCATCCATTGCAGTTGCAAAGACGCTGATGTTCGTCAGACATCCGACCAAGAATATCTCTGTGACGAACTGAGATCGCAAGACCTGTACCAGATTCCCGTCCCGGAAAGCTGAGTAATATGACTTCGTAAAGATCAAATCCTTGTCGCAGTCAACTGCCAGCCTCACAGCATTGGTGAAGTTGCTTCCCAGGGACGATTGAATTGCCACGCGGGGTGTTCGGCCTTCTGGAATAGTCAGGAACGTCTCCTGGATCTCGTCTACGTCGACCTCGTCGTCCACCTCCAAACCATGGCTTGACTGCAAGGCTCGGCCATTGGACAAAGCAATCTTGCGTTGGAGCTCAAGAAGCTTGGGAGATGGTCCTCGAGGGCCTGACACTCTGCTTCCATCGCGACGATGTGGTGCCAAGAGCTGGTCATCTGTTATAACACTCTCGCTGTCTCCTTGGCTCCCATTGATTGCCCGAGATGCCTCGAACACGGTTTGAATCCATATTATGTTGTTTCCCGAGTCTCTGAATGCTGGAACGAGCTTAAGTATCCTTTCTATGAAATCGGAAGGGGTGTCAACGGGTAATAATCCGCCAGTCGAAACGAAGTCATTTTGAAGATCGAGCACAAATAGTGCCTGGCGCGTTCGCACAAATGGTATGTTCTGTTGGTTGATTTCAAACATTTTTGGCAATCTGCAGTAGAAGTATTAGTGATATGGTTGAGTAGAGGGTAGTCTGGATGACCGATTCAATAGATGGGGAGCTCTTCAACTAGAATCTGCCTGCCTGGGGTCGGCATTGGACATAGCAAGGACATTATTTGATCTTGTATGGCACGTTTCTGGAACCTACATTTATAGAAGTTGTGTTATTTTCATCGAATGGCAGAGTCATGACAACAGAATATAGCCGCGATATAGAGGGAAGATGCAGTGACACGGCATGGTTGAGATTCTGTAGGTTACCGGGGTCAATGCATTTCTTGGCGGTTTCGACGACTGTAACTGTGACAGAGCGTCAGATACGAGTATCTGCTGCGACTCTGAGAGTTCATGGACTTTGCAGGCAGAGGCAGGTCAAGAGGCCGCGGGTTCGCACGTAATATGGTATAGACAATGAGACTAGGGCAACGCAGGAAACTGAAGACCGGGGTGCAAAGTGCGGGCGGGCCGTCTGATCTGATATGGGGCTAATTGTTCGAACGGACCATTATCAACAGCCATTACACCGATAATTGAGGATAATCGACGGGCGGTGAACGAACGATTGGCCAGGGCGAGGAGGGGAGGAAGGGGGGGGGGTTGAAAAGGTATATGCAGAAAGACGTTGGAAAATGGATGGTGGGGCATGGCTACCCTGAGTTATAGTATAGTACTTGTATCCTTGGCGCATAATAATAACGATGAACCTAATATCAACCTATACAGTACTTACAGCCTTACCCTGCCCTGCCCTGCATACAAAAAGCGGCACTGACTTTGTTTCAAGTAGGTCACTACTCGGGCACATTTGAAAAGTCTCCATCAAGGGTACTGTACCCTTAGGTCCCTTCCTTGTGTCGACTGTCCCCGCGTCGTGCATGGCATCGCCAGCGAATAGCCCGCATTTTAAGGATGGGATACTTGCAGCTTCGAAGCTTCGTCCCTCTTCATGACTCGGAAGCCCGCCCGGCTCCTGCCGAGATGATCAGGATGCAGGTCTTGTTGCTGATCCGATGGGCATTGCTCACACACCCCTCTATTGGAGCGATGTGGTTACCCTTTCTAGATAAGGTGCAGAAGGGGGATATACAAAGGAAGTACTTCGTACCAAGTACTTGTACTGTAAGTCCTGTCCTGCATGTTCGCTTGATATCCCGCTCCACGCCCATAATAGCAAATGAGGCTTCGGAGGTTTGGCTAAATCTTGAGATTCTCTATGGATGAATACGAAAAAATGCAGCCCTCCTGCAGATCATAGACGTACTGTACTGTAGAACAGGTGTCTGCAATCTGGGCAAACTCCGGTGATCACCAACCGGCTCGGCGCCCAGGCCTCGTGCCCAACTTCGAGACTTGTCGAGTTGTCTACTCGACTGTATAATTTAAAGTTCGTATAAATTGGGAAAATGGAATGCCGCCAGTTTGGAGGCATATACAGACTCTGTGTGAAACATTACTTCACAAGTCACAACTCTGCCCAGGCCAGGTACCCTTATATATCGGCAGATGTTAGGCATAAACATGGTAGTCAATGATAGCAAGGTAACACTGCCGGAAGGAACCCACCACTAGTAGGTAGATGTGGGTGTTCGGACTGACCGATAGTTGGCTTATAATAGATGTATATGCAAGGAGGCTCATAAGTAGTGAATAAAAGATTTAGAAGAAGAAGAAGAAGAAGAAGAAGAAGATGTGAGATGTGATAAGGTTCTCAGAGCTCAAATTCGTGGATGGAATAGTTTATAATATATAAGGCGGAGTGAGACTTTACAGTACAGAGTGAAAGTTGATGAGATAATGACTGAACCGCGGGCCTCGGCTTCTGTGGGGATCGGTTAGCGGCTTACCCCTGATTTTCACGAGGGCTTCACGACAACATTAGTGAACGGTTCCTCTAGATCAGTACTTTTGAATTGTCACATTCGTCCTCGTAAGAGATTCTATTATTCGTGAATTGCAGAAGAATTCTACACCATCAGATATACATGAACGCAGCTCCGTAGAGCTATTAACACCATGGCTTCCTACAAGCACTTCCTCGTCGATACACCTTTTCCCTTTGTAGCACATGTGCAAATAAACCGGCCGAAAAAGATGAATGCCTTCTTGTTTGTACTCCCTACCCTTCCCAGCTTCACCCAAGCTATGCCAATGTGCTAATGCACGTAGCGAGGAAATGTGGCTAGAATACAAAACCGTCATAGACACCCTCTCCCTGTCCCCCGACATCCGTGCCATAATTGTTTCCGGCGCCGGAGACCGCGCCTTCTGCTCAGGTCTCGACGTGCAAGCCGCAAGCCAGAACGGCGTATTGGCAGAGAAGAAGAATTCAACACCAACGGATACGGCGCGGAAAGCGGTGGCGATTAAGAGACATGTGCAGGAGTTCCAGGACTGTATTAGCAGTGCCGAGAAATGCGAGAAGCGTATGTCTGGCCTCAATCTATACTGTGTGAGAGGGGGAGTTGAGCTGATAAGAAAGGATTATAGCGGTTATTTGCGTAATGCATGGAATCTCCTTCGGTCTGGCAATCGACATATCTTCATGCGCCGATATCCGAATCTGCACATCAGACACGAAATTCGCCGTCAAGGAAGTCGACATCGGCCTCGCAGCAGACATCGGGACGCTCTCTCGACTGCCGAAAATCGTAGGCAGCTTCTCCTGGGTAAAAGACGTCGCTCTCTCGGCGCGGATCTTCTCGGGCGATGAGGCGCTGCGGGTTGGGTTTGTTAGTTACGCTTTACCGACAAAGCAAGACGCGATAGCCAAGGCTTTGGAACTGGCCAAACTACTGGCGGAGAAGAGTCCGATTGCTGTACAGGGGACGAAGGAGCTGCTGAATCATGCGAGGGATAATAAGTTGGCCGATAGCTTGAGGTATACGGGGGTTTGGAATAGTGCTGCGATTCAGACGACGGATGTGGAGAGGGCTATGCTGAGTGGGCTGAAGAAGACGAGGCCGACGTTTGAGAAGCTGTGATGTGGATAAAGATGATGAAGTTATGATGCATGAAATCTTTATAACATGGTTTATGGGCATATTTGTCCTGTATGCTTGACAGATCTTATTCTCCACCTCTTCCTCTTCCATTCCCGCCAGGTTCCCACCATCTCCCGAGTACTATAGCACATGTAACCAGATAAGTCTGCTCTTCCCATACCGGAGAATACGCATCATAAATCCACCATAACCCAATCCCACACCCCAACCCTCATCCATCCATTCCACTCCCTAAAACCCACCACCGGAACCTCCGACAGGATCTCAACCGCAGTCTATACATATATCCGCCTCGAATCGCAACATTGCTTGCCACAGCTTCAGTATACGTGTATACATACCTGATTTCATTCCGCGCGGTTTTCAAGGCGACTAGTTTTTGAGATCCTTCGGCACTGCCGATCGAGGAGAGCTTCGGGGGTAAGGGTAAGCCAGTCCTATAGGGGTTTATCAAGACGTGGACTTCTGCTCCTTTTCCAGACAAATGGTTTATAAGATACGGAAAGTAAAGCATACGGTATGATGATAAGGCAGCGTTTATTTCTTTCCGAAAAGGGGAACGGATAGGCTGGGTTTGGGTTTAGGGGTGCTCGCTTGAGTTGAATTACTACTGTAGAATAGCATAGCATAGGTACCTACATGTACTAAAGAGAAGGTGAAAAAAAAAAACTTTAGATTTATTAAAGCTTAATAGAAACTATAATTTATAGCTAAATTGATTCTAAAATAAAACCCCGTACTCTATCTTTAGAAAGTCTAATAACAAATATATCAATCCTAGTTCACAACCGCACTACTCCACCCCACCCTAACTAAGATTAAGCATCCGCATCCGCACCGCACCCCCCCACACCACCAGAAATTCCAGATTTTCGTATAAACTAAAATAAGCGCACTCGCTTCAACAAAACATCTAAATGGTCGGGTGGTGTAGTTGGTTATCACATCTCGTTAACAGTATTACTGTGACATAAAACCGAGAAGGTCCTGGGATCGAACCCCAGCTTGATCATTAGTTTTTTGTACTTTTTATTTTAATCTTCTTGACTATTTGGGGCGTGTTGGGTGGGAGGTATATGGACTACTTATCTTTTGCTTGGAAGCCTCTTTTCTTAGCTTTGTAGGGTTTTGGTCATAGGGAGGGACGTAAAATAGATGGTGAGAGATTCTTTTTCCTTTTATTTATTTATTTTTGATTCCATTTATAGAAGCGTCTTCATTTCGTGACGATCTTCATTCCAAAATACAGTACATCCATCCATGGAATGTCTTTCTCAACTGGGTATCTATGCACGCTCTAAACTCTCGTCTCCTAAAATATGCATATGCACGCCAGCGCTTAAACATGAGCATACGCTTTCTTCTCAAACGTGCTACTATCCCCACTCCCCGTCTCTACATGTTCCGCTTCCTTCCCCTTGCTCTCTTTCGATTCATGCGCACCAGCACCAGCACCACCCCCAACACGCCTCCTCGCACGAACATCAGAGCTAACGGTAGCCTCATACTCAAGCAACAGCTCCCCATTCTTCCCATAGCGCCTAGGCTCCTCCCTCGCGACGCGCACGACGTCCAGACAGCCGGCCCATCCGCTCTTGGTCTTGCGGAATATGTTGTCGATTTCCTCGAGCGAGCGGTAGGCGGTTTCCGGGTAGAAGAAGTAGACGACGGGGAAGATGAAGGCGTTGATTACGGCGAAGATTACGTAGGTTTTGTAGCCGATGGAACTGAATGCCACGGGTGTGATCATGACGACCATGAAGTTGAAAGCCCTGATAATGTTAGTTAGTGATCGGTAGGCCTAATTATCAGAGCAAGGGTGTAAGTGAGGGGATATGGACATACCAGTTTGCAGAAGTCGACAGACCATTCGCGGGAGCACGGATCTTCAAGGGAACGATCTCAGCGGGATAGAGCCATGTCATGCCTAGCCAACCGACGGCGAAGAAGGTGTTGAAGACGAAGAGGAAGGTGGCGGAAACGATGCCAGATGGTGTGGCGCCTGAGAGTGGTTGGCCACGGGCAATGGCAGCAGCTGCATCGCGTTGTGAGATGTAGTTCATACCAGCCAAGATGGCCATGGATCCGGACATTCCAGCAACGCCTACGAGCATGAGAGTTCGGCGGCCGAATCGCTCGATTGTGTAGACGGCAAACCAGGATGCGATGAAATACTCGGTTCCGTTGCATGCAGCCAGCACACTCGAAGTCGTGTCACCCAGGTTGATGTATTGCTTGTAAATTGTTGGGGCGTAATAAGTAATTAAATTAATTCCTGACACCTGTTGAAAGACCTGATTGACGTATCCAAGGACGACACGGTGGAAGTTTCTTTCTGGGCCCATTGTGAACAAGTCGGCCCATCCGTGGGCCTTCGTTTCAAGGACGGTGTCCTTGATCTCCATGAATTCGGTCTGGACAATATGATGTTCAACCGGAAGGTTCTCTAGAGCAGCAATGACATTCATGGCTTCATCTTCATTACCCCTAAGTATGAGCCACTGTTGGTCTATTAGCTTGTGTTGTTGCAAGAAAAGAAAAAAGCGGGGGGGGGGGGGGGGGGAAAGTACTTACTCGGGGAGATTCCGGCATTTCTAGAATGAGTGCAAGCAAGAACAGAGCAAAGACAATCTGGAGAGCAATTGGGAAACGCCATGAAACTGGGTTTGGGTCCAGATACGAAAAGGCAAAGTCAACCCAGTAAGATAGACATATGCCACCGGTAATCATAGCTCCTTCAATCATGACCATCTTTCCACGTTTGTGAGACTTGGAAGTTTCCGAAGCCCATGTAGGCACCGTAGACGTATTCATACCATTGCCAAAACCAGTAATAATTCTTCCAACAATGAGGTGGGGAAGACTGAAGGCAGTGGTTTGCAAAGTGGCGCCGATGACCATGATAGCAGATCCCATGAAGATCATCTTCCTCCTCCCCAGTATATCGCCGATGAAGATGGTGATGATAGCACCGATGAAACATCCGACATTGTAACTGGCTACGGTTATGCCTTGTATCGTGGAGATATGATTGTTGGTAGGATTGTGGACTGAATCGATTTCGGGGAATTGCTTGACCCATGTTCCAAGGGTCAAAAGCCCCCCAGTTACACCTTGGTCATAACCAAAAAGACTATAAAATTGTCAGCTACTGTATACGTTCACTTGAATCCTTGATTATGCCTCGATTGGGGAAGTCGATTTGGCCATTGCAAATAATAATAGGCGCCTGCAAAAGACTTGCAGATCCGAGTAAGAAAGTCCCACAAAGGTCGCATACTTTGGCATATGCATACCCCGCCTTGCCTTTGGGGGTGATCCCCGCATGACGATGCGTTCAATGACTCGCATGAAATCGAACGATTATAGGAGGAGAAATCGAGGGGATCTTACAAGAAATCAATACCGGCAATGATGCCAACAGCGAGATTCAGCCTCTGGCCACGGAAGCCAAAGTACTTTGAGCCACCAAACATGGTGATGGAGAGGCGTGTGAGAAAGAATGAGACTTTGAGCTGAAACCTTCAAGCTTTGTTTCCTGAAGCCAAGATAATGGCATAATATTGAGGGGAAAAGTTAGATGAGAGGAGCGAAAAGAACGGGATGCAAAAACCTGGGACGTCCTTATGTATTTAAGAGCTCATCCAATACCTACCTTATTCAGGTAGTACATGAACTACCAGGGCAGAGTTTGTATCTCGTAAGATTTTAGATTTTAGATTTTAGATTGCCCGATGGATGTGTACCTACTTACCTACCTAACTCACTAACTGTCCGGGGTTCTTTTTTAACAGTACAATTCTCTTGGTATGACGGAGCTCGACACGGCTTTCTCTCATCATTCCAGAGGTCACGCGCTCCCTCTAAGCCTCAAGGAACCCTGTTCCCTGATCGAAGAAGCATCATGTGATTGTGGAGGAAGGCTGAATCTGCTGTGTATTTGCGCCTTTACTCGAGTAGGTACGATGATGGTAAATCCCCCGCCGTTTCGATTGTGGAGAAGATCTCGGGAAGCGCCAGGGCCAGAGAAGGACGGATTACCCGAATAGGTGAGCCGGTGTCCAATGGGATCATAGATGTAAGCCGAGATTTTCCCGTTGACCGCCACTTACACTTACTGTACAGTAACCGTTGCTGGTACGTCATCGTGGGATTTCCCCTGAAAAGATGGGGACTCCATACTTGTACAGTACTGTACCTCATCATCTTGAGATGTTCTAGTCGGCATGAAAACAATTCCTTTGGAGGATAAGCCTGTGCATATCCTGAACTTTTGTCCTTGACAACCGTTGGCTAAAGACCTGCCGAGACGTACAAGGAGTCTTTCGAGGTTCGACAAAAGCCAGAGCCGAACCTTAAGCCCAATCACTTCGGTACTTAACAGGCCGAGTACATGTACGGGAGAGTAGTGCTACGGCGAGGTATACGCTACTTGACCGAGTTATACTTCGTAAGTGAAAGTCTGTGACGATCAGCGCTGACTCCAGATTCCTCGGTCCGAATGCCACCACCCGAACCGCTCGGAGTAGGGGAATCCGATTTACGAACCTTGCTCTAGATTGTGTCAACTTGGCAAACCCGAAGTCTCCAGCGCTTTCTACATTGAACATCTGGAACGCAGGATGAATATAGATGGATGGATGGATGGATGGATGAAGCGATTCCGCATCTCGCTCTGGGATATTGAAATACACCACCGCCGGCGCGTAGTACGCTCGCTTCATTACTTCATTTACAGATTTCTGGGCAAGGAGTCATGTCATGATGTCCCTCATTCAGTGCTGTTTTATGAAGAAGACGAAGAGAAGAAGAAGAGAACTCTCATGTACTATTTCACATCATCTACTGAGAATTCGAAGGACTGCGCTGGGCTGGGCTGGTCATTGCTAGTTAGACTGTACCGCTCTAACGAACCTAGGGTTTGCGTCAATTTTGTTGAGTTACTGTACTGATAATTCCCCTGAAGATTCTATACATCGCGAGATATTTAAGTAACGAACCTCATTTCCTTGTATTTCGTCAAGACAAGCGTGACGTTTGGTCTTCTGGGATAGGAGGCTGCTTGTTGTGCATGCTTCAAGAGGTATAATATATATAAGCCTCCAAGTTGCATGCTTATCAAGATTTACGATCTGTTTTTGAATCCAAGTTGAATGCCCTACTTGTTCTGTGACTTTCAAAGTGTGAAAATGAAGCTTGTATTGGGAAAAGTATGCATGATTCTCACATAAGTAGGTTTGGAAAGTCACAATTTATTGGGATCGTCAAAGTGTATATAATATAGTCCATAATGTCCATTTGATCGGCTGAGCCAGAAGGATCTAACTATCTAGCTTTTCAGAGGTGTCACGTCTCTCAAAATGAGCAACAACCGCAAATGTAGGTAAAATTCAGAGGGAATCTTACCAAGCAAGTTCAAGGAAGAACGCGCTCGAAGACACAAGAGAGCTCACCAGGCTGAATCGCCATTACCGCCGTCCTGAGCAGGCTCAAGCGCACCGTCACCACCACCATATGCAGCTTCGCCAGAAGTCTCGGCACCGCCGCCACCTCCGTAACCATTGGCTTGACCAGCATCTGCATTCTCGACGATTGGCTCCTTGCAGCGGACTTTCGTATGACCCATTTGCGAGCAATTGGAACATTTCACTCGAGAGTAGTCTCGGGGCTTGAAGCAGTCAGTGAGTGCTCAACAACTGTAAAAATGCCGAGGCAGACTACTCCACATACCTTGGGACATTCACGAGAAACATGACCGACCTCGTCGCAGTTTCGGCAAATCAACACACGCTCGTTGGTGCAGTCCTGCTTTCGATGACCCTCTGGGAAGATATGTTAGCTTCTATAATTTCCCAAATCTTGTGGGGGATTCTGGGACCAGACTTACCCTCTCCGCAGTTGTGGCATGCGCCGCCCCCACCACCACCTCCACCACCCTGAGGACAGTCCTAGATAAGACAGTTAGAGTCTGACATGTTGGGGAACGGATTCGTGGTGACTTACCTTGGCAAAGTGTCCCTTCTCATCACAAACCTTACAGACAACATTGGCTGCAGAACGAGGTTCAGGGCATTCCTTGGAACCATGACCTGACTTTCCACAGTTGCGGCAAGCATATCTGTCAGGACGGGGCTCTTTACAGTCTCGAATTCCTAGAGCACTTTGTCAGACGGGTTTTGAGATGATTTCTGCAAGGATCGACTTACGGTGACCCTCGCCCTCACAATTGTAACAGCGAAGCACTGCCCGCTCGGCGTTTTCCATCTTCTCCTGGTCACAGTTCTTGTAGATATGGCCAAGTTCATTGCAGTTGGAGCTGAATTGTTAGCAAAAGGGAACCATAACAACCCAGAGCAAATATACTGACCACTTCGGAAGGCCACAATCGACAGGAACACCAGCATCGGCCAGTCGCTCAAGGTTTTCCTCAGGGGTAGATGGCCAATGCTCCCTCTCCCTGGGTCGATGTGGAAGATCCGAAAAGCGCCAGTTAACGGTGTATTTCTTGTTGAGATTACCCTGAAGGTCCATATTGGTATATGTGACCAGAAGCTCCTTTTCGATACCAATGAGGTAAACTTTTATGTCCTGGCTCCGAAAGCCTTTCTCCATGTCGACATACGTAGTCTCCGGACAGGCTTTGAAATATTTCAGAGCAGCCTCCTTGACATCGTCGAGGTCGTGATCTTCGGCGGCGGCCATGATCTGAGCCCACGCCTCCTCCGCAGCAACCTCCTCGACGCCAGAGTAGTCGATCTTCCGCGGGTTCTTGCACTTGGAAGTAGTGTGCCCTGAACAATCTTGTCAGCAAGTTGAGCGTGTGAGAAGTGAAAAAGCTCACCTTCTTCCTTGCAGTTGTTACATGTTCGGGGTTCGCCGCTTGGGCAATCGCTAGCCTAGTTTCGAAGTCAGACCAACTGTCACAGGATAGAGAGGTATGGGAATACTCACACGGTGACCAACTTCCTCACAGAGATGGCAAGTGCCCGTGAATTCGCGCTCAACTCGTTCGTTGGTGCACTCCGTCTTCGAATGTCCCTCTTCGCCACAATTATAGCATGGTCTGGGCTTGGGTGGCTCTGTGCATGATTGCTTGGAATGGCTGACGAGAGTTAGCAGCAGTCGAAGAACATTTGAGAGGTATACCAACCCAGTCTGACCACAATTGAAACACTGTCCGCTGAAACCGCCACCTTCACCACCTCCACCACCTCCAGCATCACCACCACTGTAATCCTCGGCAGCGCCGGCAGCATTGTCCCATGACATCTTTAAGTAGTGTTTCGGTTTAGACTCCTGCAGGTTGAGATATTAGCGACGTTCAAGAAATGAAAGAGTTTTAGTGGGCCGAGACAGATGTGAATGGCAGCGGAACAAAAAGCGTAGAGCGAAGTACTTCTGAGTAGAGCAACTTGCAGTCCCCAACCGAGGAACAGTGATATGATTTTTAAAGAAAGAAGTGCGAAGATGAATGTGGGATGGGGAATGAGGATGGAGGAAGTTGAGAGAAGTTTTGATAAAGTAGGAAAGTCAAGCGAGGACAGCACAGAAGAGATTTTTGATGCGAAAGTGCCAACGGGTGAATTGAGAGCAGAATCTGACGCGACGGGAAGGCGAAGCAGAAACCAACGACGAAGGGGGATTGGATTGGCTCAAGAGTTCAGTAAACTGAAGGTGATGTATGGGGAGAATGTATGGGGACCACAGATAGTATACCTAGGAGGTCTGACACGAATCCAACCCTCAATGAACAGCAGGCTTGATAGTGAATCAATCTTTGAAGACGTGGTATTGTGATGGAGGTGCTGTGCCTTCATAGCTTGAGGACGTTGGGTGAGGTGGGGTTCAGAGAGGTGAAGGTGAATGTGGAGGAGAAGGAGGAGAAGGAGCAGGGGAAATGTAACGACAGCGACGACGAGGTAAAAGGGCTGCACTTACTTGGAATCAAGACCTTGCTTCTTCAATAGAACTCGCGAAGGTCCCACAAGAAGGTCCTGGGGGTGTTGACTGGGAGCGTTGGCACAAGAAAGAACACAGATCGAAGCTTAAAAGATTGTTGTTGTCCGGAAGGAAAGTTTGTTGACGAGCTGAAGAAACATGCCCTTAAGTACGACCGAAGCGAGGAAGGGCTGCGGAGAGAACAACTGCCGACCAGGTCTGCTCACATTCACCGTCTTTGTTTATTCACCAGAGGCAGAAGGCAGAACTTTTTGCTCTAGCTGTCAACTTTGATCAAAACTCTTCAGTCCTGTCTTGATTCCATCTCTGGCGCCTCCTACCCCAACTATCACAATAGCAGTGATAAATTGAGAAGTGATCAGGGGATCCAGGATGCCAATTGAAGTTGAGGACCAAGTGCATCCCATTCCAAACATCTCGGTACTTGTGGGTACTTCAGACGTGATCAGGGACCATCAAGCATCCCGCTAAAGTTGAAGTCATGTTGACCAAATTGACTGACAACAACCTAGCTTCAAGGATCGGCAGCTGTCATGGAACGCAAGCTGGGACGGAACGAAAACACTAAGGCCAGATCCATGACCGTTTGTCAAGTCTAGAGGACTGTCCCAAGAGGATCAAGCATCACCAGACCCGATGCTATATAGGTATGATAATAAGTGTCATCCAGCTAAACCGAACCTCTTCTGACATGCTCTGATATTTATAGGAACATGGACTGCACAAGACTCTGGCGGCAAGTCATCACTCATCTCTTTTCCCTCTGGATGGCATCGAGTCTAGAAACATAGCATCGCATATATTGGCAAAGACGTCCCAGCTCAAGTGGATGAAAGAAGGAATGTTTGAAGCACTCGCTGGGTGTAAATCACGGGCCATCAAACAGTCTTGGGCCACCTTCTATATGGAGATGTCTGGATGGCCTGCCCCGGAGCTTGGTCAAAGGAACCGCCTCAATCATCCACCTGGACTGAGAGAATCATGCCTATGAGTGGAAACGGCAACTGCGAAAATTGTTGATAAAAAAACAAAAACTTCCCACCTCATGTGAGAATTCGGGGGGCTGTTCAAGATTCTGGGCTTTGTTCAAGCGAGTATGATTGTTGAAAGAAACTTTTCCCAGTATGCTGGTGTTTCCTAAACTCACTTGAGATGAGCCATTATTCTGATGAAGAAAACTGGCCACCCTCTCTACCTAGCGGCTGCCACTATACAGACACCACAACAATTCAGGAACAAAACAAAGCTCAAGATCATATTCGTTAGGGCTCCCAATTTAGTCCTAACTCGAGGACAACTTGACAGTACTGTACTAAGCTTTCAGCACAGGCCAGACTCTACATAATGATTGACGGCACGGAGCCCCACAAGACAACTTCCTCCGAGAGACTGTGCTCGAAACAGAAGCTCGTACAGCTCTGAGATGTCACCATCGTCAGGCTAGCGGGTTTCAAGTGTCTTAAACGCATGTACCTGTTGTACTGTACCTCGAAGCTTACCAAGCCTGCCTTTACGCCCAATGAAGATGTGGGGTTCCTGGGCGTTCCCCACTTATGGAACAGTTTATCCGCGTTATACAATTACCCCGCTACAATAATGGCGATACAAAGCTTCTCGACCTTTCCCTCTTTCCTTCAAATACTTTCTATTCAGGGAAAAATTTACTTGATATCCTTAACATTTCTATTTCCCGTTAATTGCAAACCTTCGACATCATGGCGCCACCTGAAGGTCTTCCAAAGATGCAATACCGATTCCTAGGCCGTTCAGGACTCCAGGTTTCTGCCATTTCCCTCGGAGGATGGCTGACTTACGGTGGACACGTTGAGAACGGTAAGAAGTCCAAGCCATGTCGAACTGTATCAACTTAGACTGACGTTTACAACGACAGAAAATACCTTCGCATGTATGAAAGCTGCCTACGATGTAGGAATCAACTTCTTCGATTGCGCTGAAGGATATTCGGGGGGAGAGTCTGAGCGTGTCATGGGAGAAGCTATCAAGAAGTTTAAATGGAAACGAAACGATTTAGTCATTTCAACAAAGGTATAAATTAATCCCACATACATTTGAGCTTTCGCTAACGAGTATATAGATATACTGGGGAGCAGCTAATGGCGAGAACCCAGTGAACAATGTTGGGCTTTCCCGAAAGCATATCGTTGAGGGAGTAAATGCTTCTTTGGAGCGCTTGGGTTTAGACTATGTCGATTTGATATACGCTCATAGACCGGACAGAAACACGCCTATTGAGGAGACTGTGCGAGCTTTCAACCACATCATTAATACAGGTAAAGCCTTTTACTGGGGTACTTCGGAGTGGGATGCGGATGAAATTGCAACGGCGTGGAGAGTCGCCGACAAGCTTGGTTTGAGTAAGATATCCCCAACTCCAATCCCAATCCACCCGCTTCCCCTTTTGAATTGTACAACTCTGGAGCACTTACTCCAAAAACACATCACGGGCCCTCAGTCATTATCTACCTATACATCCGTAAACTTACCTTGCGAAAACCAAGCTAACTCCCCATTTCCCACAGTTGGTCCCATAATGGAACAACCATGCTACAATATGCTTGCACGCGACAAAGTCGAGAAAGAATTCGCGCACCTATACGAAGAAATAGGGCTCGGTCTCACAACCTTCAGCCCCCTAAAACAAGGTTTCCTAACTGGGAAATATAACGACGGCATCCCCAGCGACTCGCGCCTAGGCAGCGGCTCCAACGACGCCTTCATCCAGATGATGAACAAGAAAGTCGGCGACGAGTCCTGGAAGAAGGATATCGCGAATGTGCGTAAGCTGGCGCCCATTGCGGAGAAGCTGGGTATTTCCCAGGCGACGTTGGCGTATGCGTGGGTGTTGAGTAATAAGAATGTTAGCTCCGCTATTACGGGGGCGAGTCGGCCGGAGCAGGTTTATGAAAGTGTGAAGGCATTTGATGCGGTGGGGAAGCTGACGCCGGAAGTTTTGAAGGGGATTGATGATGTGCTAGGGAATAAGCCGGCGGTTTTTACGAGGAGGTTTTAGGGAGACAGGTAGAGGCAGAGGCAATAGACCAAGATGATGGAAAGTACCTAGGCATGGGTTTTGAGTAAAAGCGTTGCAATACATACAATACCAGAAGATATTTGAACATTATTATATCATATCATACATTGAAACCTTTGATGTTCTCAAAAAGCCTCCTTGTGAGCCATCATTTCAGTCGTGTGGTGTTGTTGTGCCACTAGTGCTGCCCATTCGTCGTAGATTCAATTTGAGTCGAAGCTATAATCGCCGGCGTAGGTCTCGTAATGTCCCCAATATCTCCAGCATCCCCCAAAGCCACAGTAGCATGATACTCCGGTGGTTCATGCCCCTCTTCCCTCGGCGTATCACCACTCATCCTCCTCAACTCCACAGCTTCACCATCCGATTCCGCGCCTCTTCCAGCACTCCTTCTTCCCCCAGCATTCTCGTTCGTAGTCGTAGCCACAATATGACCATGCTCCACACTCCTCAAACTAGGCGGTTTCCCCTCCGCTCCATACGGCGGCGGCGCCTCTCCCCTCTCATCCAATCCCTCTTCTCCCAATCTCCTTGCATTTCCTCGCCCAGCATTATAGCCCGGACTCGGAGCTGCATTCCATCCTAACCCCAATCCCAACCTCCCAGTTCCTTCCCCCCGATATGGACCCCGCCCAAACCGCGACCTGTACCCCGCGACATCCCGCGCCAACGCCTGCTGCGAAGTCTCCCGCAAGAACGCAGCTTTCCTCCGCCGGCGCGCCCAATATATAGGATGCCGAGGCAGGCTAGGACAGCTACGGCGGCGATGATGAGGAAGTAGTAGCTGAATGCATGGGTGTTTCTGGTAGTAATAGCGGGGGAAGAGGTTGCCGGTGGCGGGGTTGTGGATGTTGGAGTTGGACTTGGCGGTAATGAGGTTGAGGATGTGAGGAGCGTTGTAGGGGGTTGTAAGGAAGGGTTATTGTTGTCTTGGCGATTGGAGATGTGGATGGGAAGTTGGGCGAAAGAGCTGCTGGGCAGGATGAGGGATAAGAAGAGCACGGTTGAGGTGGATGGGAGGGAGGACTTCGTGCATTGGCATGCTCGTTTGCTGCGTGTTGGCCGACGGGTTTCCATCCTGGTGATGTGTTTATATGAAGGACATTCTCATGGCTAGGGAGGAAACAGATTGGTTTGTAGATATATATGTATTGAGGGGATATGCGCACAGTAATAATCGTGTGCTTCTCTTGTTATGGTAGATTTGTAGAAACGATAAGTAACTAATTCTATTGATAAGACATTCTGTACAGTGATACCAAAGGAAACTGAATGATAGTTTGATGAATGATACAAAAGAAAGATGAGGATGAATAATGAATCATGGTGCAATAAATACAATTCATAAAAGCCCCCGCTATTAGATATCTGCTCCTGCCGAACCTCCGAACCCTTCATGCAAGCTCCCGGAATAAGCTTTTACTGTACTACTTAAATCCGGCTGCCAAGAAGAAATTCCGCAGATAATCGGAATCAGCTTCAGCTTCAGCTTCCCGGAGCCGACTTGAGGAAAGAGCTCCCGAATCCAGTCACGAGCGCACGAGGCATACTCCTCAAGTTCCATCTATCTATACCGACTTGATAACTAAAAGAGGAGCCTCAAGGAGTCAAAATGCCACGAGCCATTAGAGGTAAAGTCCCCACTCTCATCATACATTTTATTTACATTAATTAATCCTGCCTTCCACTAGGTGTTCTCGTAGAATGTGACCCCTCGATCAAATCCATCATCGTCAAGATCGACAGCGAAGAGCATGCTTTCATCGTCGAGGACCTAGATGATCAAACGCTGGTCATCAAGGAGAACATGCTAGCCATTCTGAAGATGAGGCTTGATGAGGTATGTATCTGTGTTTTTTGTTTGGAAGGGAAGAGGACTGATGGAATGTACTGTAGGCCTTGAAGGAGACGCAGCAGCCGCCTAGTGATTCTGGGTCTGATTAGAAGGTGTGAGATGGGGCATGGATTTGGTGTTGATGGCTTTGGGGCTTCATGGCGTTAGGACAGTGGGAAAAATGTGGGCGCTGGTAGGATTTGGTTTGCATCATAGCTTGTTTCTGGAGATGGATAGCACGTTTGTTACGCAGAGAACGTCTAATCTTCACGGCGGTAGGAGAAACCTGCCTAGCTGAGGTTCAACAAAGAGATACTTGGGCGAGCAGTCGTCACTCAGTCCTATAGAAAGCATGAATGACTGTTTGATGTGTTTGATGGTGTGATATCCCGAAAGCCTCTTTATGATTTGTACATGGCTTTCAAGCTGAATTTTTTACAAGTTACAAAATGGATTTATGGTACAAACCCTACCTAAGCATCTGGAGACGTAGATGTAGAAGCTGTAGTTGGGATAGTTTCAGCAGTAGAGCCCAGGGGCATGGCTAACGGGATGGCTCTCCGCGGTCTCTTTAACTCCTCCATTGTAATCCCATCCAACTTCGTAATTCCAACAACAGGGGGATCTCCCTTCTTGACAAACTCGTACGAACCTAAATATCAATTGTCAGCATATAAGTCTACAACCTGGGCTGAGAAACTAACCTGGCATCTTGTTCCCAGCTAATCGGAAAGCATCTCTGGCCACTTGCTCGTGAACATCACCCTTTAATTCAAAGATAATTTTGCTAACAGCAATTCTCGACGCCCAATGATCGAATGATCCCTTTCCTTTACCCATACGGACCTAGCCACAAATTAGCAACACACTTCCAACACCAACTCACCAAAGCTTCAACATACCTCATTACCCTTGGTATACACTCCAATACTCGCACAAACTCTCTTGTACAACCGATACCGCATCCCCTTTAGCCGCACCTTAATAGCCTCCTCCCCATTCTTCAACTGCATGGCGCTGACCCGTCGATGATGATCTGCCATCCGCAGTCCAAAGTCTCCCCATACTATCGTTGTTCCTCTTGCTGACCCGCCGGTTGGCACACGCGGTCTGCCTTTACGCGATCGTTTCTTCTCGGGGGATGTTGGGAGGAGCCAATTGCCGCCCCTGGAGGCTGTGATGGAGAATGGACGGAGGATTCTCGGGGGGGATGCGATTGACTTCAGCGTGGAAGAGGGTGTTATGCGGGGTCGTAGGGGAGATGAGGATATTGAGAGCTTCTGGAATTGAGCGGCGAAGCTCGAGGGATTGAGGAGCTTCATGGCTGTGGTGGAAGTCGCTGTTCAACAAGCTTCAAGACAAGCTTGAGGTCTTCAAAATATTTGGAGATGTATGGCTACGGTGACCGATAGCACCATCTACCATGTAATGGCTTGGATTTCATTCCTGCACTATATAAAAGATTTCAGAGGATTAGAAGAAGTCAAAGAGTTTAAAGGAAATCGCTATAGCTACTTCTAGGTATCTACGGGAAGTAATATTTTGATCGACTTGTCCAGCTCTTTGCAGCTCTTGCCGTATGGGTTTTAAGCTGTCTACTTCGGAGGAAACGGCTCCCGTACATACTCGTAACCATACCATATTCTTCTGTCGCGTAAAGTGAGTCGCGCTTTTTGAACAAGTCGCGTCGTCATCAGCCTTCAAGATTCTTTTGATCGAAATTCAGAACAGCATGACTGTTTTCTTATAATTCATTCTCCACTTAGCGGGCTGAGCGATTCTCTTGCTCATACCAGCGCCAGACGCCCACAATGCCTGCGGATATTCGGAGTTTCTTTGGGGGCAAGACCTCTACGCCCATCCGTGAAAAGGAGACGAAGAAGGAAGAGGAGACCAAGAAGAAGCGAAGCAGTAAGCTACCTTGTGGATTTTATGATATTATTGCAGCATGCTGATATGGTATAGAAAGCCGCAAGGTCATTGACGACAGTGACGATGATGAACCCGAGTAAGTGTTCCGAATACTTCATCTTCATGCACTTCACTAATACCACCTAGACCTAAGAAATCCACACCGAAAAAGCCTGCCCCCAAGAAAGCCGTGTATGCTGCATCTTACTGTTTCGATGCTCCTCACTAATGAGCATTTAGCAAGAAGGAATCTCCAAAAGGAAAGGAGACCTCAACAACAGATTACTTTGCATCGAGCATTAAGCCGAAGGCCAAGCCAACACCAAAGAAGCCCATACCCGCACCAAAACTTGAAAGCAATGGCCGTTCCTCCGCCCGCAAGAACAAAGCTGTCTCATATAAGAACGACGACGATGATGAGTTTGCATTCTTGGATGACGACGAGGATGCTGGTGACGATATATTCGCGGCGGGCGTCAAGAAGCCAACGGAAGAGAAGGACGCTTATGTCGAGAGCGAAAGCGATGGCATCCCTATTGTCAAGCCGAAAAAGGCGGTTACGAAGGGCAAGTCCAATTCTACAAGGAAGGGCGGCGACATTCAGATGATGGATGCCACCGACGAGCACTCTTTCGTTATGATTGACGAAAGTGACGATATGATGGTTATTGACAAGCCAGCCCCAAAATCCGAAAGCAAGAAGAGGAAGTCTGTCGATCTAGAGTCCGAAGACGAGGAGCTTGTCCACAAGATCAAGTCAGTCAAGAGCAAGTCGGCGAAGCCGCCACCTGCGAAGAGAGCTCGTGCTCCACCCTCAAAAAAAGCTGCAGTATCAGAAAGCTCTGCCGTCCAGTCAATTCTAGATGACATTCCAACTGTTCGAGCGCCAACTCCTCCACCGCAGGATCCCAGTGTGAAATTTGACTGGAAGAAGGCCCAAGGTGCCGGAAACGGCGGCGCTCCTCCTGCGGCAGGCACAAGAGATATACCCACTGGCCAAGAAAATTGCTTAGTCGGATTGACATTTGTGTTCACGGGTATACTCGAAACCATTAGCAGAGAAGAGGGCCAGGAGCTTGTGAAACGATATGGAGGCAAAGTCACCACCGCACCAAGCGGAAAAACAAGCTACGTTGTTCTCGGGAATGAGGCCGGACCTTCGAAATTGAGAAAGATCCAGCAGATGGGTCTCAAGACGATCAACGAGGAGGGCTTGTTCGCTCTGATTTCAAGGATGCCTGCCAACGGTGGTGATGGGAAAGCTGCAGAGATAAATAACGAAAAGAAGAAAGTGGAGATGGAAAAGATCAAGAACGATGCCCTAGAAATGGAGCGACAAGAACAGAGAAAGCAAGACGAGGCCGTAAAGGCTAGAAAGAAGCTTGAAAAGGAAGCCGTTGCCCAAGGCTCAAAAGCAAGACTACCACCTCCTCCGCCAGCACCTAGCTCGCAACTATGGACCACCAAATACGCCCCTACATCGGCCAACCAAATTTGTGGCAATAAAGGCCAGGTTGAGAAGATTCAGAAATGGTTGAAGGGTTGGTCTGTCGCACATAAATACGACTTTCAGAAAAAAGGTGCTGACGGCCTGGGTGGCTATCGAGCAATCATGATCTATGGCCCACCTGGAATTGGTAAGACTACAGCCGCCCATCTGGCCGCTAAGCTTGCTAGCTACGATGTTCTTGAGAGCAATGCCAGCGACTCCAGAAGTAAGAAGCTTGTTGATTCGGGCGTTGGAGAAACATTAAACAACAAATCTCTGTTCGGCTATTTCTCCGGCGAAGGCAAAAGTGTCGAGGCAAAGAAAGGGAATATTGTACTGATCATGGACGAGGTTGACGGCATGTCAGCTGGTGATCGGGGAGGTGTCGGTGCCCTGGCAAAGCTTTGCAAGAAGACCGATGTACCTATGATACTGATTTGCAATGAACGGAAACTACCAAAAATGAAGCCATTCGACTTCGTAACGTTGGACATCCAATTCAAACGACCTACTGTTGAGCAAATCCGATCACGTATCGCAACGATATGTCACAGAGAAGGCCTCAAACTCCCCATGAACGTCATTGATGCTTTGATTGAAGGTACCCACCAAGACATTCGACAAATCATCAACATGATATCCACAGCCAAGCTTGATCAGACTGCATTGGATTTTGACCAAGGCAAATCGATGTCAAAGGCATGGGAGAAGTCTGTGGTATTGAAACCCTGGGATATTTGCCATAAACTCCTTGGAGGGGGACTATTTGCGCCTTCCAGCAAATCCACACTCAATGAAAAGATAGAACTCTATTTTAACGACCATCAGATTAGTTTTCTCATGATCGCCGAGAACTACCTCAAAGCCAAACCATCGCGAGCCAACAATTTGAGTGGCCGAGAGCAAAACCTCAAGGCTCTGGAACTCGTTGACCAGGCCGCTCAGAGCATTAGTGATGGAGACTTGGTCGACCGGATGATCCACGGATCTCAGCAGCAGTGGAGCTTGATGCCAACACATGCCGTATTCAGTACTGTCATACCTTCTAGTTTCGTCTCTGGTCAATTGATCGGAGAGACCAGGTTTCCATCATGGCTTGGCCAGAACAGTAAGCAAGGCAAGCTTGTTCGATATGTCAAGGAAATACAGTCACATATGCGCCTTCGTACGTCTGGAGATCGCCATGAAATCCGTCAGCAATACCTGCCTGTTTTATGGACTCAAACTGTCAAGCGCCTCGAAAACGAAGGGAAGCCTTGTGTAGATGAGGTCATCAACCTTATGGACAATTACTTCCTGACAAGGGACGACTTTGATTATATAACTGAGCTCGGTGTTGGACCACAAGATCAAGAAGACGTGAAGATTGATACCCAGACGAAGTCGACCTTCACGAGACTGTAAGTATGATGCCTGATTTTATGGAATCTTGCTAACATAATTCAGGTACAATGCACGTTCACATCCTCTTCCATTCATGAAAGCTGGTAATATCGTCGCCCCTGCTGCGAAGACCAAGGCGGAAGTTCCTGATCTCGAAGAAGCATTTGAAGAGGAAGACGAAGGCGAGGTTATCGCCGATCCTGATGCGAAGGAGGGTGAGGAGGACCTCGAGGACTCTTTGAAGAAGGACAAGTATATCAAGAAACCAAAGGCTAAGAAAGCTACCGCGGCTAAGAAGGCTCCGAAGAAAAAGGCCGCCAAGAACGATAGCGATGATGATATGATTGATGACGATTCTGAGGAGGATGTCAAGCCGAAGAAGGGCAAGAGTAAGGCCAAAGCGGCAACGAAGGGCAAAGGAAAGAATTGATGCGAACGGAGTTTGTAAGAGTATACTCGAGTATACCTAGGTAGTGCATTGCAGTGTAGGGGATCTAGAGCTTAACTTGCTTGGTACGAAGTATAACATACAGTAGACATGAGCATGACCGCCAGAGTATTGGGGAATAACATGAATTATACCTAATTAAATACCACAATAAATAACATAACAAATTGTAATATATTATCACTATGGGCGGATAATAAATACTAGTAATACAACAATAATATCTCTGATGCTTTCGAGTGTTGATGGAAGGCGTGAGAGGCGGTGCGGTAGAGGGGTATTACAAGCTAGTCTATTTTAGACCTAGCCCCCTTGCATAAGCGAGCCCGCACAGAAACTGCGACCATGGAAATAATTTCCATCTGAGGTTCTGCAGATTTGACTTGACGTCGCAATTGATTTCGCAACGCCCCGACGATCAAGCAAACATGACCGAACAATTAATCCTCAAGGGTACCCTCGAGGGCCACAGCGGATGGGTTACGTCCCTCGCTACCTCGCTCGAGAACCCAAACATGCTCCTGTCTGGATCCCGCGACAAGACCTTGATCATCTGGAACTTGACCCGCGACGAGAGCTCCTACGGCTACCCAAAACGCTCTCTGCATGGTCACTCTCACATCGTCTCTGACTGCGTATGTAGTTCTTGCCTTACCTCTGCGAATTTTCCCCGATCAATAACAATGAATGGTTCGGTGAACGAAGAGTATAAGAATATTGTGTGCTGAGACTCTTTTCTAGGTCATCTCCTCTGACGGTGCCTATGCTCTCTCCGCCTCCTGGGACAAGACTCTCCGTCTGTGGGAGCTCTCTACCGGAACCACCACCCGCCGTTTTGTAGGACACACCAACGACGTTCTCTCCGTTTCCTTCTCCGCCGACAACAGACAAATCGTTTCCGGCTCGCGCGATAGAACCATCAAGCTGTGGAACACTCTTGGTGACTGCAAGTTCACCATCACCGAGAAGGGACACGCCGACTGGGTCTCATGCGTTCGATTCAGCCCAAACCCCCAAAACCCAGTCATTGTTAGCAGTGGATGGGACAAGCTTGTGAAGGTGAGGAAATTTCTTTTTGTTCGGCCAAAATGGAGCATGCGAAGTCAATATGATGTTATGCAACTTATAAAGTATTTGCTACTTCAGAGCCTGGGAGACCAGGCCATGAGACAATTTTCACCAATGCCCTGATAACCGATTCGCATAAGACCATTTTTAAGGCTGTTCTCTTTTTCTTGAGAAGCTGTGCTAACTTCTTTTGTGAAGGTCTGGGAACTCTCCTCCTGCAGATTGCAGACCGATCACATCGGACACACTGGCTACATCAACACCGTCACCATCTCCCCCGATGGATCTCTCTGCGCTTCCGGTGGAAAGGACGGAACCACCATGTTGTGGGACCTTAACGAATCAAAGCACCTGTACTCCCTGAACGCCGGTGATGAGATCCACGCCCTTGTCTTCTCGCCAAACAGATATTGGCTCTGTGCTGCGACGTCGACCTACATCATCATCTTTGACTTGGAGAAGAAGAGCAAGGTTGACGAGCTGAAGCCAGATTTCCAGTCCGTTGGCAAGAAGAGCAGAGAGCCAGAGTGTGTTAGCTTGGCGTGGAGCGCGGACGGTCAGACCCTTTTCGCTGGTTACACTGACAACATCATTCGGGCTTGGGGTGTTATGTCGAGGGCATAAAGGGGAGTTGGACTTTGATTGATTGCATGGGGGGAATGATGGCCAGGGACTCTTTGCGGGCTTTGCGAGCTCTTGTCGATTGGCGAGCTGTACTCCAGATTATGGCATCTCGGGAGCACAATCAAAAATACAAATTCCTTCAATGACCATGACCTGAGGTTGCGTGCATGATAACATGTGACTTTAGAGGATCCGTGAGTCCTGGCTCGCACTTACCTGGATTTGATGTGATGCAGCAGGGAAAAGACCTGGCCTTTCTTTGGAAAATCCGGGGACTTAAACCTTAAGTGGAGATGGCTGTCGCGCTAGGCCGCGTAGTGATAAGATCCTCTTGCCAATTACGAAAGCAATGAACTAACACTACTTATGTAGTACTCATTGACTATCTAGGTAGGCGTTCAGGCCCAGTTCTGGAGGGTTGAATTGCTTTCGGATGCCTGCCATCCCGACTTGACATCTCTCGTTTCCCCCAGGCTAAGAAGTGGTCGTTCTTTCACTTTGTGGTACAGTACATCGACGGGTGGCGCCTTACCCGGGCCCTGCATTCCGAACTCATACCTTCTGCTTGATCGTACCTACAGCTACGTAGTTCAAATTTGGACATTGAAATTAGCTTTAACTTCTCTCTAGCGGATACTTACCTTTCCGAATTTGGTACACCAGGAGACCAGGTATGTAAAGGCAAGGCCTGCCTGCCCCAGTTGCCCTTTCAGTCAATTTCTCTTTGTTTCAGAATGATCACTCGAAAGACCCTCCTTTTCCAGCCCACCTTGGAAGAACCCAATCATGGTTACTGGAATCTTTCTATCGGATGAAGAAATCGCAGAGCTCGCTCACGCCTTGGACAAGAAGAACACTGGATACATCTCATACGATGAGCTTGAGCTCAAGCTCGATGAAGTCTACGCAGAACTCCTCCCGGAATCAAAGGGGTCTCAAAGTCGTGAAGATGAACAGAGGCATACGTTTCTACGCAGTGTCATGGGTACCGAGCAGACCAGAATCTCGAGAACCGATTTCGCGAATACCGTGAGAGGTTGGAATGTCCCATCTCTGAATCCGGAAGCACAAGCGCAAGAACATCATGAGCATTATATGAGGGCTATGTCTAGGGGGAGGAGACTTCGAGCGTATTGGTCGGTACAGGGAAGAGAGATATTGTTTATTGCTGTGGTGGTATCGATGCAAGTTGCATTTGGGACCTGGCAGCTCGTCGAGTATCTAGTGACGCCGAGATACAGGCATGTTGGTCAACCTCGACAGCTCTCCGTGGAACTCGCTCACTTTGAATAGGCATTCGGATGGGGGCTCATCGTTGCCAAGACATGTGCTGGAGTCTTGTAAGCAGCACTTTCTCTCCTCCTACCAGCTCTGTTGTTAACCCGAATCACAGATATCCTACACTATTCTTCCTCATCCTTTCCATGTCACGATATCTAGCTGCCATGTTAAGGAAACACACTTCCTTGGCAAATATCGTCAACTGGGATAAGTCGCAAAGCTTTCACATCACGATGTCAATTGTTGCCATCGGATTTGGTACACTTCATGGCATCAGCCACCTGTTAGGGTATTTCGCACTTCTTGGCAAGATCTTAACTTCACTGATATATGGCAGGACATTTCTCTACGGAAGTCTTCCATCTCAAAGATCAGCCGTGGCAGAGGTTCTTAAACACCACAAACCGCGATCTTATCTGGGGTACATAGCCTCTGTTCCAGGCTGGACAGGTATTGTGATTTTAGGTCTGTTCTGGACCCTCGCTCTCCTTAGCATGCCAGCAGTCCGGAAACGAAGCTACGAGCTCTTCCAATTAGGGCACCTGCTTATGTTCCCGATCATCGGACTTCTCATGGCACACGGGACGGATGCATTATTCCACTATCCCATGTTAGGCTTTTGGCTCGCGTTTCCCACATTCCTTGTTGTATTCGAACGATTCGTCCGAATTTGCTACGGCTTCTCTTACATACCCGCGAAGCTCGCAATCCTTGACACAGACACCGTCGCTGTTACTCTGACCGTTCCTAAAAATAGGTATTGGGAGTATTACGCCGGGCAATACATCCTTCTCAAAGTCCCTCAATTGTCACACTTTCAATGGCACCCTTTTACAATATCAACATGTATTGGGAAAGAAATGCAAGTCCACATCAAGATGGACGGGGATTGGACGTCGAGGCTCCGCCTCATGGCTAAACATGGTTCTGTTGAAAAAATCAAAGTCGCCATCGACGGTCCATTCGGAGCGCCTGCTCAACGATTCTATGAGTTCGATCAGAGTATTATACTTGGGAGCGGCATAGGAGTTACACCATACAGCGGGATCCTTGCAGATCTCCAAGCAAGAGTAGATATACAAGGCGCAGAGAATTCTCCTGGTCCGTCTATAGATGAGAAGACTCTCGGGCCACGGAAGGCGCCTAGATATCGAAGAGTGGACTTTCACTGGATAGTAAAGGATCGGAATCAATTACGTTGGTTTTCGGATCTGTTAAATAAAGTTACGAAGTCTGCGGAATGTTCCAACGGGGAGATGCCTCTACTCGATATAAGAGTGTCAACACACGTCACCCAGAATCGCAAAGACGTCTCGACGCATGTTTACAGATACCTCCTCGAACTACATCGGACGGAAGAGAACCCAGAGTCAGTGCTCACTGGATTACTCAACGTCAGTCAGTTTGGACGTCCCAATCTGGGCAAGATCCTGGATGAGCATTATGAGAGCATGTTGCAGTATTACAAAGACATGGAGGATAAAGGGGTTGGGGTGAAGAGATCGAAGAGGAAAGTGGGAGTGTTCTTCTGTGGGGGTAAAAATATTGGGTATGAGTTGGCTGATCGGTGCCAAGTACTTACTTTGAGGGGGAGGGAGGATAAGAGCTTTGTTGAGTATCATTTCATGCTTGAGGTGTTTGGTTAGGAAAGGTATAATAAGATATATAGTAATAAATGACAGCCTTTTTTCGCTAAGGCAGGATAATAGCCCGCGAATATTGCATTCAAGCATAGACTGACTTCGATGAATTCAAATGATACAGTTAAATACTACAACGCTCAACCGTAAATTGAACGAGACTTGACTACTAGAAACGGGGCCGTTCATAAAGGAAAGGGATGGAAAATAGACCCTCGGAGCTCGCCATTTCAAAAGGGGGTGATAACACGTGATCACGCGTCTGAACGATGTAATTACTATGTAATCTACGATATCTGTGAAGGAGAATAAATTGCTAGGAATCACATCAAAATTATTCTTTACTCCCGTGTGATCGCATAAAAAACTTGGGCGATTGATTTCGCGGCCAAAGTGCCTGCCTGATGTCATCGACGCGATATCAACGTCGCGAATGCCCCATCCCACCTCTTCCATACCAAAGTATGTGAGAAATCCACAACGAAATGTGTGGCCGCTACGCCCTCGCACTGGTACGATATATCTAAATCCATCATCTAAGACTCTAGCTAACACATCAAAGCGCCCTGCGCAAGTCCGCGCATATCTCGAAAACGCACACATGCCCGTCTACGAAGCCCCCGCAGATGACGATGACGAAGGGGGGCCTCGACAAAGCTACAATTTCGCACCGGGTTACCACGGTCTCGTATATCGCGCTGATACACCGGATTGGGGTGCTGGACCGAGAGTGCATGGGAAGAGTGGTAGTGGTACTGCGGGCGATGCGGAGCCTGAGGATGAGGTTGTTGACGATGAACCGGAGCCAGCAGGGGATGAGGAGGTTAGATATAAGCTGCAATCTATGAAGTGGGGTCTTATTCCCTTCTGGACGAAACGCAATCCGGACTACGGGTCTCTAATGAAGACGATTAACTGCCGCGATGATAGTCTGAAGGAGAATAAGGGCATGTGGAATACGATGAAGCAGCGTAAGAGATGTGTGGTTGTGGCGCAAGGGTTCTATGAGTGGTTGAAGAAGGGCAGGGAGAAAGTTCCGCATTTTGTGAAGAGGAAGGATGGCCAGCTGATGTGTTTTGCCGGGTTGTGGGATTGTGTGCAGTATGAAGGTAGGTTGGTGCGTGGTGCGATTTCGAGGCGGGAGCTTTTGCTAATGCGGACTTCGTAGGGTCGGAGGAGAAGGCTTACACGTTCACGATTATTACTACCGATTCCAACAAGCAGCTAAAGTTCCTCCATGATCGCATGCCTGTTATTCTGGAGAATGGCTCGGAAAATATACGGACTTGGCTTGATCCGAAACGATACTCATGGTCCAAAGAGCTACAAAGTCTACTGGTCCCATATCAGGGGGAGTTGGAGGTCTATCCTGTGAGCAAGGATGTTGGTAAAGTTGGGAATAATTCTCCTAATTTCATCATCCCTGTTGCGAGCAGCGAGAATAAGTCTAACATTGCAAACTTCTTCGCAAAGCCAGCGACAAAGGGCGATACCCAGGCCACTACAACACTAACGTCCTCAAATATGGAACATACGAAGAACGAAGATATGAACATGGAAGAAATTAAGCACGAGCCTGGTGAAGATCGCAAGACTATCGACCACGATGGCACTGAAGACAATGCACCACTTCCAATCCCTAAACAAGAATCCAAGACGAGCATCAAACGGGAACTCTCAGACGAAGCAGCTGAAGAGCCGCCTAAGAAAGTCCCCAAAACATTCGCCAGTCCGGCGAAAGCCTCACCGCAAAAACCGGCTGGCAGGAGTCGAAGTGCTACAAGCAATAATACTGCAAGTCCATCCAAGTCTACGGGCAAGGATAAGGGCAGTCAGAAGATAACGAGTTTCTTTAGAAAGTAATAAGGGTTGAGTGGGCGCAGGATGGCAGGTTGAGGCGTTGGTAGGTTCGTAATTGCTTGATTCTCTTGTGTTTATTAGACCCCTAGTGAAGAGTATTAGCGACCCCATTTCTGTACATATACATATTTCTCCCAGCTTTTGATTCAAGTGGGCAATATTGAGCACTCGTCTATATATATGTATGCGATCTGGAGCAAGCTTGGTGTCTCTAAATTGCTTGCTTGCCATCATACCAATATACCATATAGTATCTATCCAGACCACTACCTACTTATCATAAGGGTCAAGATTCTCGTTTCTCTTCTTGACCACAACTTCTGTGACTGAACTCACGTGATCGATATCACCCACGATCTCAAATTCTATTTCCAAGCGGATAGGGGTCGCAATCCAAGAGATGGTCCGAGGAGATATCTCATGATCAAATTTTTCATTTCCCTATACGATTAAACACTGATGTCTCGCTTGGTATATGCGACGAAAGTACCCAAAAGGGGGAATGTCTCGCTTGTATTTTAATGGGGCGTAAAAGCGCAACAAGTAAACAATAAATCGCAACACCGTAAAAAGACGCACAAAAAGAAATCGCAAGACTAAAAGTATACATTAATAAATTAATCCATTCATAGACTATAGAGGCAAAAGAATTTCCCCACCCTGATGTGTCTAGCAAGCTAGCACACCATTGTGGAATACATCCCTCCCTGCCTAACACTTCGAGATGTGGTAGAAAAGATTGTAATTAATGGTTATCAGATTGTAACTCACGCTACCAGACTACACATATTTTATTGATCAATGCCTAGACCAGGATCCATGGATGATCAACTGTTACTGCGCTCGAGTATTACCTGGGATAGTTTATCGTCAGTTACGGACCGTTTTTCAGTTGAGCTAACAAGAAAATATGAACTGCTTATTTTGGGTTATTTTCCGGTGAGCGGTTATGGTAGGTCTTCGCGTTTGCTTTGCGCTTAAGTGCTAAACCGCCAGCTGCGTTGAGCCTCGATTGCTGCATTGCGAGCACACCTGATACACTTCGCAAACATTCTCAACAGCAACGCGAATAATGTATTTCAATGCTAAATTTTGAAATCCAGAAGCGCTGCTAAATAAAAAGGTACATGTTCAAGTATAACGAACTTCAGTCAAACTTTGGAGCCAGCCCCTTTTCCGAAAAAGGCGGCGTCGAGGCCTCCGTTGTAGGAAGACTAATATTGGATGAACTTGATCCCCTACTCCTGATCCGATCACTTCGAATTGATAGAGTACTAGGAGTGTTGCGTATGACCGCCGAATTTGTACCCACCCATTCATGAGTGCCAATATTCGGCACGAACTCCAGCTGGAGCTTCTCGAGCGCCGTTGCAGCAAGGTCGGAAATGGAAGCACCTCCTAGTACTTTGAGAACGGGCATATCCACATTCAACTCTTTCATGAACCAAGATCTGACTTCCACTGCTACCAAAGAGTCGACGCCGAGATCGATCAGCGGAGATTTCACATCGGGATCGTCGTCCAGGAGAAGACTGTGTTGGATTCTGGTGGAAAGGGAAGCTACAACTTTATTAGCGTACGCAGAATAGAAAATTCGACGGAAACTACCTTCTATGAGGGCTGTTGCTTCCTCTTCCGTTGCGACCAAAAGAAGTTGACTTTGCAAGGAGGCAATAGCTTCTTGATTGTCTCTCTTAGTCGTCACTTCCTCCGGACTTCTTATAAAATGCGAGAATTTCGGATTGTTGCCCCAACTAGCATTTTGGTCAGCACTCACTTGCTGCAGGCCTGCAGTAAACTCAGGATTCGCTCCAGAATCTGGGGTTCCACCCAGAACCGCTTCTGCAAACATCTGATGGAAATCCTGCTCTGACATCGGCTTGAAATTTATCTTTGCAAGTTGCTTCTGGGTCACATCATCGACTCGTGATACGTAGCCAATACCAAATATGCCGCTGATGTTCATTACCGATGCTGCTAGACCGCGCTTCCGCCTCTGCGCTGCTAGGCTGGTCATGTACATATTTGCTGCGGAATAGTTGGATTGACCGCTGTTGCCAAGAACTGCCATGAGGGACGAAAAAAGTATGAAGAAATCTAGGGTGTGCGTGGAGAATATCTCATCAAGATACTGCGTGCCTTCTACTTTGGGCCGTAGGACAGTCTGAAGCTCATCGTAGCTCATCCTGGGGAAGGATGTATCGCGGAGAACCATTGCACCATTTGCGACGCCGCCTACAGGAGGCATTGTTTTACAGATATCATCATAGATCTTGGAAACTGAATGCCGATTGGTGATGTCCCTAAGAGAAGTTAGCATGAGTTGTGCCGAATAAAGTTGTGGTGTAGTTACATCGACATAACTTTTACGATAGCGCCTCGAGAAGCTAAGCCATCCAGCCATGTGGGATTTATCTGTGGATTCCTGCTAGCGATGACAACATATTTCGCACCCTTGGTCAACATCCATTGACATAGCGACTGACCAAGATCTCGAGTAAGTCCTACAAGCAGGTATGTCTTGTTTTGGAAGAATAGGTTCGCCGAGTCAGCAGGCTGGATCTTGACAGAAACAGAGGCATGTGATGTCCAATCGATAACAGTGGTTGGTTGCGGCAGGTTTGGGATGCTTGCAACTTCTTTCAAAGGGACGCACTGCGCTGTACTAAAATTTTCAGGATTGGCAAGAGCGGATCTCGAGAATGCTACCGCGTCCTTCAGAAATCCAAGAAATGAAGCTTGGTCACCAAGGTAGAACTTGGGCATCCTTTCCTCACAAGGCTTGGGGAGACATTCTCTAATTCGAGATCCAATTTTGCGTGCATAATCTGTACTTGCACAGTCAATGAAAATTGACGGACCTTTCGGCAAGGCCAGTTTGATCATTCGCTTTGATGATCTTTGATAAATGGAAACCCAAGGCAGGCCCCGCTCATGTCCATCTGATGCTATCAATGTAAGGGAAATTCCTTTCTTAGTAGCTTGAGCTTTGAGAGCATCTACAAGATATGGCTCTGGATCGTTTAACACGATCGCACTTCCTGATGGAACATTCCCCAGAATACTCAGTGACAACAAATGACTGTTTGCAGTAAGGATCGAGTGCACTTCTTGATCAGGTGGAGGACTGTAGGGTATGCTGTAGTTTTCCGGGACATCGACAACAGATGTAGTGGCATCTGACAGGAAAATGACCTTCGTTTGGACCCCATTAGTTTTGGTTGATCCGAGGCAGAGAAAGAGACTGGCTTGAGGCGCAAGCCTGATGGGCGATATCAAAGAGTATGACATTTCGATTCGATGCATTGCCAAATTCGGGAAACTATTCAATGGTACAGGAGGTAGGATCTTGGGCGATTCAGTAAGGAAGTATGTGCCTTCCTGGTTTTCGAGGCGGATCAGGGACTGCGTATCAGCTTCCTTCGTAACAAGCCGTCTCGACGAATTGTAACGGTTGTTCCGGTCCTTTGAGGGCATCATTCGTAATACGTGTAGCTTTCCTTGTCGCAAGATATACTCCTGTTCTGTGGACCACACAATGTCATGCAGTTGCTCTTTCTGTTCCCAGTAATCCTTCATCTGAAGGCGGAGTATCATTTCCGACAACAGGTCCGCCTTGGGCATTTCCGACGACTCTATATCAAGAAGCTGAATCTGGAGATGTGGCAACTCGTAGCATACAGAACGGCAAAGCCCAACTGTCATATTCGAGTATGGCTCACCGTCCAAGCAATCCCGAGTAACCCATAAGACATTTCTTGAAAGGTCAAAGAGCAGCTTCAGAGCCTCCCATTTCTCCTCTGTCATAGTCTTGAAGATGGGTCCATCAAGTTCTGTCAAACTAATGATTGTGGTCATTGGGAACATGTTCGTGTCGTGAAGTTCACCAAGTCCTTCAACCCTGGTCACATGTTTACAGTACTTGCGCAGCGACCAAGTCAGATCTTCAACCAGTCGAGCTGTTTGCGGAGTCTTACCCCCAATGATAAGCAGGTAATCGATAGATTTCTCAATACCCGTTGAAAGTAGTGGCTGCCTGATGTGAGTAATTCTTTCGTCCACAGCTTGGGTTGCAAACACTGATGCCGGATACGGCAGAGGATCATTCGCAGGAGTTGCCGAATCCACTCCAGAGAACCCAGTGTTTTGAAGAAGAGTATCCCATTGATCCAGGGAGATCGTTGGAGAAAATGTACGCCCATCGTCCGCTCCTACCCACCAGCCTGGAAGTCCACTCATGACAAAACCGATACGCATCGGCTCGTTGTTGGTAACTTCCAATAGGACAAGATAGCCTCCCGGCTTCAGCAGTCGCCGGACATTTGCCATAGTCTGTTTCAAGCTCTTCGTAGCATGGAGAACGTTAGAACAGATGACAAGGTCATAGGAATGATCTTCAAACCCCTGTGGAACAGAATCAGCTTCGATATCAAGAGTTTGGAAGATCATTCTGCTGGAAAAGTCTTTGAAGATATCTTGAGCCTTCTCAAAAAAGCCGATGGAAATATCTGTAAAGGTGTAAGATGAGAAGGCACGGTCTAGTCTGGGCAAAATCTTCTTTGTTGACCCGCCTGTTCCGGCACCTAGACTTGAGTTAGCACTATCCATTATTTCGAGTGCAAGGAGGCAAGCTTACCAATCTCAAGGATGTTCATGCGAGGGTATCGATGCGCAATCTGAGCGACCATGCGGCTGAGCAGCTCGTGTGAGAGATCAAAACCCAGACCACGTTTATAATAATCGTCTAGGAGACCGTCTTTTGCCATATGCTCCAGAATGGTGGTCTCGCCTCGCACAACCCCAGGAAGATTTTCTCCCACAGCACGCATAATATTGAAGTCAGCACTATCCGGATATTTGCTCATCTTCTCGATTAATGCTCCCTTGCAATCCAGGTTCCACTCTACCCGAGCAAAAGGATGTCTCCCCTCGGACACCTGAGATATAATCTCACTAGCGGCATTGAACAAGCTTAGGTGATGGAACGGCATGTTCAACTTCTCGCGCTCTGCGACAGACACTGTCTCTACTAGGTTTCTGTAATAGAAATATGCTACTCCTTCACAAATTTGCCCAAGTTCTATGTCTTCCTCGGTGGCTTGGTCTTCAGGCGTGAGAGCACTTCCATCAGGAGACGCAACTCCCCAGATAGCCTCTGAGAATAGCTCTGAGTCATCTGTAGCGGTTGCTTCAGAAAAGGGCTTGAAGGCCATTCCCTCCATTTTCATAATTGGCGTAGTGCTATCTTTGGTGAAAATATCGACGTCTCCGGATAGCGCATTGCAATCTGAGCCCACGGACTCTGCATCAAAGAGGACTTTAGAGCCCATGCTGGCACCACAACGAGTAGGAACGATGGTGATCCGACGAACTCCGGTGGGCAAATGCAGAGACCAAAGTCTTCCGTCATAAGGTGAACTGTACGCGACAAATATGGTCTGAAACATCGCATCTAGTACAGTGGGATGAATGAGTAGCGAGCTTGCGGACCCGCCGTCCAACGGATTCGTAATGAGCCCAACTGCCTTGTTCATTTTTCTTCTCATCGAAGACAATGATTTGAAATCCCCAGAATAGTTGTAGCCCAACTCAGCGAGGGATGCGTATAGAGGTTCACTATGCACTGGAGTTAACGTTTCATCCTCTGGAAGTCGGTCGGGTAGTGAAATATCTGAACAAGCTCCGAGAACAGCTTGAACGGTCCCAGAAGCCATCATGACCATGTTACCCGCTTGCTTGTTGAGGCAGCTATAGCAAGCAAAATTAGCCGTAATCCCTTCCTCTGCTCCGTTGTGGGATGTGATGGAAGATAGGATAAACTTTGTCTCGATCCCAGTAGAATCATCATCGAACCCAAGCGCTCGAAGAACCTTCAGGTCCTCAATCTCTAGTAGAATGATGCTTTTCCCTCGAACCATCATCATAGCAGCCTCGATGGCCATCGTGATGTACCCGGCTGCGGGAAAAACCTTCTGCCCCTGAATAACGTGGCCGTTCACAAAGGGAATCTCATTCGGAGAGAGAAAGTTGACCCATCGGATTTCTCCATCAATACTTTCTGGTAACCTGGAACCAAGAAGTTCATGGCGTGGATCTCCGCGGGTCCGAAGAAGCATCGAGCGTCGTGATTCATGCCAGTACACACGCTCGTGATCCCACTCGTACGAGGGTAAACCTTTCATGAGCTTTAGAGCGCCGTCAGTATCTCTGATGGACTTACCATAAGCTCTTAAATTGACAGCAGATGGTTTTAGGTGGGACCAGACGAACCCTAACATCTCTGCAAAGACTTCAGCGTCATTTTTTCCTCTGGACAGTGTACTAGTGTAGAAGCTTTCCGAGTCAGATATCTCCTGGAATGTGTGCTGTACTGGAGCTTTCAAAGCCTGATGCGGACCGACTTCTAGAGCCATGACCAATGAACCATGGGTCTGAATAGCACACTGGACAGCCTGCGAGAAAAGCACAGAGTTGACCATGTTTTCTCTCCAATATGTGTCCTTTAGCAAATGGTTCGAGACCATTTTCATTCCCCCATAGACACTAGAGTACCAGGAGCAGGCATCCGCTGGTGGGATTTGAACCTGGATATTGCAAGCCCTCAGAGATTGCATATACATATCTGAACATTTTAACATGTGATGCGAATGATATGCAGTGTCAATTTTCAGAATCCTAGCAAACTTCGTTTCTCCGTCGAATCTCACTTTTATCTCTTCAATTGCATCCACGTCCCCCGAAAGTGTAATACTTGAAGAGGAATTACTCGCAGCGAGTTTGACCCGGCCTTCGAACTGCGGCGATGAGCATAATTCCGCTGCCTCTTGATAAGTAACGCCAATAGCTATCATCGCACCTCTTTTGCCACTAGGACCACAAGCATATTTCGCCAACAGGCCGCGATAATATGCTAATCTGATGGAATCGCAGGCAGATATGAAGCCAGCAGCATAAGCAGCGGCAATTTCTCCAGAGGAGTGCCCAACAACGGCATCGAAGCGTATCCCAGCAATACGTAGGAGGTCAACGAGGGCGATTTGGATCGCCGTACAAAGGGGCTGGGATAAAGCTGCTTCGTTGATGCCAGAAAAAGAAGCTTCTGCAATTATTTCTTTTTGAAGTGACCAAGTTGGACGATCCTTTTCTGGCAATCGAGCCAGGGAATCTTCAAGCTCCACGATGGTCCCTTGAAATGCCTCAGACGACCTGAGTAGTTCACGTCCCATTGTTGCCCATTGCGCTCCTTGGCCAGTAAATACACCTAGGATTCCGGACGCACCAGAAGAGGATCGTATCGCGCAGGGTATGCTAGGATTACCATCAAATAGGGCGAGTTTTGTATACATCTTGGAGATAAGGTCCGGGCCTGTCGATGCTGAGAATGCGCCTTGAAAGGAAATACCGACCTTTGCGATAATGTGAAAGCAAGATTGCTAAGATGGATAGATTCGTTTGCCTTGATGTGACTGACAAAGTTTCGAATAGTGGCCACCAGAGAGCGCTCTGAAGCGGCTGAAAATACGAAGGGTAAGAGTGCAAGAGAGCTTTTGACTTTTGGCTTCTTTTTCGAGCATGGGTTCCTCTCAAGCGGATTGAAGCTTTCTAGAATTGCATGTGCATTTGTGCCACCGAGACCTTGATGTTATATTAGCGTTGATATCAAATGGAGGGGTTTCTTGTCATTACCAAAGCTGTTCACGCTTGCACGCCTCGGTTGACCTTGCGGTACAAATGGCCAGGGAGTTGCAGCCGTTGGGACTTGCAGATACTTATAGAAGGGTTCGATTGCTGGGTTCAGTTGATTGAAATGTAGGTTTGGAGGAATTACTCCATACTGTAAAGCTAAACTTGCTTTGATCACCCCAGCAATTCCAGCAGTGCCCTCAGTATGACCTACCACTGTCTTAATGGACCCCACAAAGAGCATATCATCGGGTGGAATATTATTTTCATGGCCAAAGAAAGCAGTTGCTACTGCTTCTGCTTCTTTCGGATCCCCTACAGCAGTGCCGGTGCCATGTGCTTCAAAATATTGGCATCTGTCCTCTTTCTTTGTCAAGTCAAGGCCGGCTCTCAGATAAGTGTCTCGGATCAAGGCCGCCTGAGAGGTTTCACTAGGCATAGTAATGCCTTGGGTTCGTCCATCTTGGCTTACGCCAGTCTCGCGAATGATACACTCGACATGGTCTCCATCTTCAATGGCATCGCACAGCCGCTTGAGGACGAGTGCACCTATCGCTTCACCGCGAGCGTAGCCGTCTGCTGCTGCATCCCACATTCGAGAACGACCGGAAGAAGACAGCATGTGAAGATTGCTTTCACTAATGTATGCTTCTATAAGTAGATCAGTACGAATCACCTAAGAAGAAGAAAATTGGGGGTTCATCTCACCGGGACCGAATATCAGATTTGCTCCAGCTGCTACTGCGGTGCGAGACTCATCGTCCCTCAAAGTTTGAACAGCTTGGTGAATTGCCACCATACTCGATGAGCAAGCCGTGTCAATAGTCATGGAAGGCCCGCGCCAGTCGAAGAAATAAGAGACTCTATTAGACATAATGGCCCGAGAAGTACCGGTGACTGCGTACGTAGGTAGCGAGTTCAGATCTCTGCGCATAATTTCCGAATAATCATCACACATCAACCCAACATATATTGCAGTGTTAGAGCCTTTGAGACTTTCTAATTCCATACCTGCGCTTTCGATTGCTTCAAAGACAGTTTCGAGTAGAAGTCTCTGCTGTGGATCCAGAGCCTCCGCCTCAGCTGGCTGAATATTAAAAAATTGACTATCAAAACGGCGGGGGTCTTCTTCCATGAAGTAAGATTCCTTAACATTTGTTGTACCAAAGTGAGAGCCATCTGGGTGGTAGAACGTATCGATGTTGAAACGATTTAGTGGAATCTTTTTGGCTAAGTCTCGAGGCTCTCGGAGCAAGTCCCATAGTTTGGATGGACTGTTTGCGCCGCCGGGAAAGCGGCAACCGGTTCCAATGATAGCAATGGGCTCATGCTTTTGAGGTGGCATATTGGTAAATTGTTGGATTTTTGGCTAAGACTTTCAGTTGCAAGTTCCCTATGAAGGTTGACTTTAAGTGAGTCTAGAAGTAAGAAAAGGAGTGAATGTTATAAGAGTCATGTCAAAACACCGGGAAGCTCCACCTCCTCGCCTTGCGTCTTATCTTTTCGCTGAGGCCGGTTTGAGGCTCGACACAGCTGCCTTGATAATAGGCACTTCGCGCGAGGCTCATCTTGCCCAATCAATAACGTAGGTGTGAAGGCTCGAACTACATGTTTTGTTGGTGTTGGCCATAAGCTGACGGAGCTACACCCATCCCACATGGTAGCTTTGCAAGGGTGTATTGTAGAAAGTCGACCTTGACGTGATGCGGCTTCGTATGTGTCTTGATCCATCGAGACCATACCAAATAGATCATCCTTTCAGCTGTCAGGCCGTTTTCAATTGAGAAGGTGGCGTATACACGTCGTCTATCTAGTGGGAATATAATTCCTAAATTAGTATATCCTTTAGTACGCCCTTTGCACCTGACCTGAAGCCCAAATGTTGGTAGTAAATGGTCTTATGCTAGGTATGCAGGTATATCTGAGCAATCCATGGTGATTATCAGCTAAATAATCTTCAGTACCGGTGGATGCTGTTAACTCGTACCGTGGTAATACTGCCTTCTCCAGCAACTAACCGCTAATCAAGTCCACGGAAAGTGTGATCGAAGCTTAGAGTTTTTGGAGTGGCATGTACGACTATAGGAGTTGACAACATTCAGTTTCCCACTGATCGTCTAGATATGATAGTATTAGATATCTCAAGTAGTTACTTTGTACTACTTTTCGCATCGGTGGCTTGTATGCAAGCACCGAATATAGAGTTTGTGTTCGAAATTGGCAGCAAAAAGAACTTCAATTGATCAGGTTAGACTTACCAATACAACAAGCTTTCCAATACCAACACGCAATTTGTCAATCCATTTGTATCTCGATCCCTGATGTTGCATTGCAGCTGATGCAATACGCATTGATCCTCGGGACATCCTAAAACAGTTTAGCCTTTGCTACATGCGGCTTATCTTTCTTGTTGTGGACAGATGCGGGACGGCTTGAAGAACGCTTCCAATAAACCAGAAATGCTCCTGAGGCATCAATAAAAATCGCCATGAGGTATTGTTTTGGGTACTACAGTCTATTTCGGTCAAAGAGACATTCTTGGGACTCTCAATCTGTCAGCATCAGCCCAATGTGTGTAAGAAAGAAGAGGATTGGGTGGACTCACTGGATAAGGCAAAAGCAAAGAAGAAATCATGGGAAAGGACGAGACAACCAAACTTCGGGATGCAATGAGAACTGAGAGCGGAAATAGAGGTTGAAATGCATGCATTACTTCATGACAGCCTGGCTCCTCTATGGTTGATTTCCACAACTTGTACAGAAAATTTGACTCGTGAATGCCCCTGAACACCTTTGCTTCATGATTCATCCCTCATTGTGACCACTCCGGAAAACCCACCCGACCGTCCAAAATACAATGCAACTTAGCAGCCGCTTACCAAAGTTGCAAACGACTTAACACTCGGCTCATCACTGCCTATTCCTCCCCTCAGGCAATATCCTGCTCAGACTTCTCAGAACCTCTTGCATTGGCAGGTCTCTTGTACCCGTCGCTTCCTTTTCCCTCTTATCCCTCTCTTCTAACCTTACGGCACTTATTGCCAATATCTTATTTGCAACTCTGCCAGCAGTTTGTTGGTACTGCTCCATCTTGTGCACACCATCGGCGAACTGGTCAACCTTGAATTCCAGTCCGGACTGTAACTCTTGTAGTTGTTTCGACACCCGAGTTCGTAAATCAAGAGCAGAAGCTGAAGAAACTGAAGCTAATATGGCAGCCTGTTCGGGATCGAGAAGTGACGCGTCTATTTGGGTGGGATCTATGTCGTCAGAATTGTCGGGGAAGAGAGGAGGGAGCGAGGGCGCAGGTTTCGCGAGAGCCTTCCATTGTTCTTTTTCTTCTCTTAATCTATGAAGTCGGGTCAGTATGCTGTTTGTTAACAGGAGATTAAGCTCGCCTACATTTTTATTCTTGCTTCTAAACCGACCAGGTTCTCTTCAAGCTCGATATTCCGTGGATTGGGCACCTTAATAACCTTTCTCGGCGCCGATTCTTCTCGCGTGAACCAATCCGAAAACTCTGATTTATTCGCAAAATCCTTAAGCAGGCCCTCTTTGATTGTTCGCGCTGTGAATATTAGCTTGACCTGTTTCGCCGAGGCTAGATGCAATTCTCACCTGCCTGCTCAGCCAGGTCATTAGCTTCCCCATGAGCTGGTTTCTCTCCCAAACATCTCTCCCCCGTCCAAGTCAACAGCTGCTTCATCCTCCTTGGCTCGCTCAGTCCGTCTGCTTCAATGTGTTTGTAAAATTCTGCGGAATTCACCTCTCGATGTGGTATTGCGCTATGGCCATTATCGATCAAAGAACTTGCTCTTCGCCCTCGAAGTCCCAAGCTGCTCCTTCGTGACCCAGTATTCTTCTTTCTCATCTCCTTGTTTCGATTAATGACAGGGGTGTCGCTAAATGGTAAAGAAATCACTGTAGACTTGCTTTCCATTGACTTGTCCATATTATCTGGCTCGTCGGCTGCTGCTGATCCAATTAAGTCTATGCCATCGTAGTCGTGAGTTTCTATTCGTGAGGCATTCATGCTACTCTCGGCATTTTGCCCCTTCCCCGCCGAAGAACGCGTGCTCTTCCCCTTCTTCGGATTGATGATGGTATCAGGCTCGACTTTCGGCGTCGAGAAACTCATTTTTCGTGTTCGTGACTTCTTCTCCGTCGGAATCGCCTCATCGTCGCGTTCCTTGGGTTTCCTACCCCTCTTTGCTGATTGTGGAGCAGGCGCGGGTACAAGTTCTGGGACAGCTGGTGCTGTCTTCGTTCGTTTGGATCCGCGTGTAAACACGAAGTCGCCATCTTCTTCATCGTATGCTATAGTCAAATGTCAGCTTTCCGGCGCGTGTGGACTCCGAGTTACGCTTCAGTATCCTTACCTGCAAGCCGCTTGCTGCGTCTCCGACTAATTGGCTGTTGACTCATGCTCAACGTTTCTAAAGGAACTCGCGTTCGTACGATGGTAGTCATTGATCACTCTATAGAATTGCGCATCTGTTTGCGTGGGGAAGTATATCGAGGTGGGTCGGTGTACGTCGCGGTCGCGGTCGGTCCTGGAAAGTCGGCGCGCCTGTTACAATTGCTTTCGTGTTAATTGATACTAGCTTCCTCGGGATGCTTGACGCAAGCAATGCGCTCCTAGAGTGAGGATTTTGGGGTTGTCGTCGCCTCAAGATACTTGAGTCTAACGATCGCCGAGGGACGGCAGTACAATTGTTTACATTCGGTGATGGAGCTAAGCCTCATTTGGTAATCACGTGCCACCCCCCCTCAATGGGAATGATTTTCAACTTTTGGGATCCTGCCCTCTCTTACATCTCACCGACTTCAGTGACGAGCAATACCGTAGCCTCGCATAGGCACTTGATACATTTGTCTTACATATGCCAATAATTGAAACCTTATTACTGATCAGGAAAGCTTTTCACGTCGTATCACACTGATATAATCATAAGTATCATACACATCTTCTATCGCCGGTCCCCGTCGGTCCCTCTTTTGACGAAATCCCTGTACCGCTGAAAGTTCCAGCTTCAAGCTTCAGCTTAGATACGTACAGCTAGATAAAGTTTTGTTGGCATTTGTATCCTGTGATCGTTATGCCCCGACCCCCAAGTGGTGTTTCTCATCTGAACTTTGATTCCGTCTTGGGACGTTCGTGATATCATTCCTGTGATAACTCTGGATGCAAATTTGTCCTGCCACGTCAGAAAGTTTTGATTCGGCAGGCTCATTTTATAACAATAATCCAAGATGGATTGCGATGCGAAGAAATCTTGGCTGCTTGATGTGGCGGCCGAGAAGTCGGCAGGGAATCCAGAGATTTTTTTACTCCGTATCAAAAGCTTCGTGTTCTCGGAATTGCGAAAATCCATCCTGAACGATGCTGGGGACAATTGGCGAAAAGCATCATATCTTAGCAAGATGATCCCTCCTTCATTCCCAGACAAATCGACGATTATTTTGGTATTTTCCGCGGCTTTAGTGCGTGAAATGAAAGTCTCGAGCAGGAATTCAGATTTGTTAGGAAAAGTTGGTTCAAAAGCATGATGATAAGTGCAGCTGTCTGAATATGCCGGGTTGTCATTAGGAAGTATCCTGATAGATGATGGTCTGTGCTGACAACTTCTGGATTTGGATACCTACGTATGGGGATTTGCCGTCGTTGAGACTGTGGCTCATGACAGCACAGGGACTTCCATCTCGTCGCCTAATTGAGGGCGCTCCAGCAATGCTAGCGAGAATCGAGAAAAATATAATACTGATTATCGTTTAAGAGAAAGCAAGTATGCATTTTACAGAAGGAGGAGAGGAAGAATATAAGGACTCCCGGAGGAAAAAGAATACGTACTGAAGCAGTGTTCATTTGATTTATTCAACCCGTGGCACGGTAGGTACAATCTAATTATTTCATCAAGATTTTGAATTCTAAACATATAATTAGCACTCATATGTCTGCCTAAGTTATGCCACGATCCCTACAATGTCAATCCCCAAGCCGCTTTTTGGAAGAAGCAAGTGAGGCTAAAATATTAACACTGCAATAAATGTAGCGTGCTTTGATTCCACGACGCCAGCATCGTAAACCTTCATTGGTCGTTTATTGTTATTTTCCCCAATATCATTCACTCAACAATGGCCGCGAGTTCCATAGTGTGGCCGCTGAATGTAATATGACGCCGAGTTAGTAGAGGAAGAAGTTAATTACCATCAAAGCCACGTGAGCAAGTTTCACAATATTTCGAGAATGCTTGCTAATTCTTTTCACAGTCGCAGTCAAGACGATAGTTAAGACGCCCTTTGACACACGTTTTTCTTGTTAGGAACAATCCGCAAACCTCGAGGAGGTATGTCACAATATTCAATGGCACGTGATGAGCTTCCCCTGAAAAGCCATGGTTCAGCGCTGGGCCACGCCGTAGCATCAGGGCCATTTGCGAGTCAGTACACTAGAATTGCCTGTTAGTCGTGATTTTTTTCGTTCTTGTCGTGTCAAGCCTTAATGGTGCAAGTGTCACTTTGGTCTTTCGTACCGAAGTCTAGCGCAAGTTTTGCCCATTATCGCAGCATCAGCAGTTGTTACAATTTTGCGGATGCATAAATAGATCGGCTCTAAAGTCTAGTGTGGGCTTCATAACCACACAATGATTTTCCATCTTTTGGTAAATCTTCATTCAATGTCTGGTACCGATTATAGCGCAGTCTTGGTTACTAGAATGAAGTCACTTGACCCGATTTGTTAACGCGCAATGCTCAGTCCAAATAGAATCATATTTTGAAATTGACTGAGCCATGGCTACTCAAAGCTCTTTCCTCTCGTGATTCACCCACACATACACCAACTTTACAACTCTTGGTTTTCATTTGCACCAGAGTGTCCTGCAACTCCAAAGACAATAACATCAAGCCTTTGAGACCCACAAGCCTTCACAGTCACCTCAACGTACAACAAACCTCAAGAACACCACCGACAATCATCTGGGCTGCCAATTTGATCTTTCAGACATCCAGCAATATGTCGTCGCTAGTCAATGAGTCTTGGTACCAACACCCAAGGAACAGCCGCTATAGCCGCTTTTCTACCAATAACAACCACTACGTCACATCTACCATAAAGTCCACCTACGGCCGACCACTCACCGCGGCTGAGCTCCTCCGACTCCATCCATGGGACGAAAGAGCACTCGAGGTGGAAGCACGAAGACTCTCGGGCCTGCCCGATGACCAAATCTGCTCCTGGGGCCACTCCGGAGCTGAGATCAAAAGCATTTTGGCCTTCGCGGTAGCTGAGCATGAAAAGTTATCTGTGCAGGAGCCACTTAGAGAAGAAGAGATTGCGCATACACCTAGACCTACTAAATATGCGGTTGATATAATAACAAAGAAAGAAAAGAAAGAAATACGCGCCATGTCTAAGTGGCAGTGGCCTTCTCCCGATACACCGACACGGAATATACCAGAGGAGCCAGTGTGCCCGCGCACCAAGCCAATGACGATGAATCCTCTTTTCGATCCAACGCTGATGCAGGGAGTAAAGCGACGGTACCCAAAACCATGGAAGAAGGCCTCTTTGTAAGTGAAAACAAGACCCACTTCCAGCTCAAGAGCACCGCCAGCGACCAACGGGAAGCCTTTCTCGGCTCAGAGCCCGAACTCTCACCTCGTGCAACCCAGCAAGGAGCACTGGTCGGACAAGCGACGCAGCCTCGGTCATCCACTTCGGGAAAGACACCTCAACTGCATGCCGTGAGTAGGTATTCACAGCCTGAGATCCCTCCAGCCAAAAACACCCGACATAGTCGACAACGAACGACAGATCTAGAATGCATTCGTGGCATTCCTTGTACGCCGGAAGAAGGACGTGGATGTTGAGGCCTCAGGCGGTGAAGGAAGGTACCTGGTAGTGATGGAGAAGTTCATCTTAAAAAGAGAACCTCAGTCTGGCGTACGAAGTCGTGTAGACGGAGCTTAGTGCGCAAGTGCATATGGCGGATTAGTGGGCTTCTGTATAACACGAATATGGCTCTCTTGTTTTGAGATCTAGAAGTAGATGTTGGTTACGGAAGGTTGGGAGCTGTTGCAGGAAGAGGCCATGTACCTACTTAGTTCCAGTTGCGAAGAAAAACCATTATTACAGAGCCTCAACTCGCTTAAGTCCTCGTAAAGCCTGAGGAGTCAAAATCCCCACCCCCTTAAAAACTACAGTGGGCGACTGGTGGACCCTTGGTCACCCCACATGCCAAAACCCGTGTTAGATCAACGGCTTCTGAAGAATTCGATGCTGGCCTGACACCGGCAAGCTCCCTACAGTGCATTCATGAACCAAAGTTACTTCCTTCACCAAACACCAAACACAAAAACCCTCGTATCATGAGAGCTTCTGGCTGAAACGTCCGTTCATCAATCATGAAATCCCACCTCGCCAACAAAATACAATCAATAACCAGACCCCCGCTCACAAAACAGACTGAGGTTGAAATCAAGCAAGGTGGCGAGTACGAGCGTACAGTAAGGGTTCAAACTTCAAAGGAATGGGAGGCTCAATCATGCCCCCAATGCCTCCACAGGAGCAGGGGCAGCGAAAACCGCCCCGTCCCGCAATTGAAGGAGTGACATACACGACCAGCCTCGTCCAACTGCTTCAACCTGAGTTACTTTCAGTTTCGCAGATATGACGCGTCTGAAGGAATGAGGATTTACAAAGTTACTTCTGAATATAGGCCTATGATTATCAAAGGTTATTTAGGGGGCAGATTTTGGAAATAAATACGCAGCAGCGTGCGCGGGGTGCAGTATGGTAGACTTGCTGATTTGACGGCATTTACGAGCCGTCTTTTCCTCGCAGATACGAATCACCGTATTTGGTTGAGGTGGGGGAAACTTCAGCTGAATCATAGCAAACCTGATCTAGGGAGATTAATCATGAAAGAATGAATCCAAAAACGAAAACAAATGTAGCTAAACTTGATTCTGTCACTACTTGGAGCAAACACGTACATCTTTTTACTCACCGCACAGTAATAGTCAAATAATACAAGGTAATAAAGGCAATTAATTCTTAGAGGAGTGATCCAATAGTGCCATCGCTAGACAGCCGTTGTGATTGAGAAGAGTAGCAAGCCAAAACAAAACGCCAGCTTCCATATTGTCCGTCGTAATGTGTGTTGGAAATAATTCTCATTAAAACAAGCAATGAACCTCCCCATACGATATCCTAACAAAGCAGCTCGCAGTCGAGCAATGTATCCAAAACCGCTGGTGCACTTTAAAGAACCGTCTTTTCATAGAGTATCATAGACGGCTATTGCGCTGGAGGGACACCCCACTGAGCTGACAACCAATTCCAAAAAGGGATTGGTTGCACGTTGACAAGTGGGTTGAGGTTCGGATTCTCAAAGTCGTACCTTCGTTGTTCGGTCGCAATCAACTCTTGAACTCGAGCCACTCTCGCGTAGTCTTGGTAATAGGTAGCGTGCTGAAGATGGGCAGCCAAGTCCCGAGGCTCTATGACATCCGTCGAGAACATTTGCACTGTACAAGTCAGCATATTATCCTTGAGGCTAAAGATATAGTTCTTACTTCCTCGAACAGCTGCGGCCCACTGCAAGATTTCAGTTACCGTCCTTCGCTCTCCGGACATCCTGAACTCTCCTGGCCAAGTTTGCAGACCTAGGTCAAGGGCTGCAATGACGAATCTCCCTACATCATAGACCGAAGTCAGACAGACGTAGACAGGCTGGCCAGACGTAGTGCGTTCGACTACCTCAGCAGTTCCATGGCGGGCGTTCATCAAGTACGAGCCTTCGTTCTGGATACCAGTCGATGTGCCGATATCAAGGGCAGCCATCCCACCGTTAGCAAACCGCTCGTAGAAGATACCACAGGAGAATATCGTAAAGTGCATTCGGTGACGAGGGTGGTTAGACCAGTTTCGAAGTCGATCAATTGTAGCTCGCTTCCCACGGTCCAGAGGGTCATTTCCAGTTCTTCGGGCAGGTGGTCCTTCAAATTCTGCTGGAACAAATCTGCGTACGCCAGAGTGGGCAGCAGCATCGATAAGGTTGATCTGAGGAACACCAGAGACGGTTGATAAGACAAGATCAATACCTCTCAGGGTAAAACGGAGGTCATCTTGGCTGTCATAGTCGACGACAGCGACCTGATATCCGTTCGAAACCAATGCAGGCTGGTCCTGGGTGGATAGTTAGTGTCTCCATATCTGTCGGGATGTCTTCTTCAGAGCTTACTTCTCGAGAAAGTATGATGAATTGATGGACCGTGTCATTGAGGTATTGAGCAAATATTTGGGCTAACCCACCAGAGCCTGCTATGGCTATTCTCATCATGTTGCCGGGAGAGTTCATCTCACGTTCGTAGCTGGTATATATCTAAATGAAATGGGTCTGTCGAAGGTATACGCTCCTTTTCAAAGCTTCGTTGGTCAACAGGAGCCGGGTATTCTTCATTCACAACATATACCATAAGGCAGAAGCATGGCGCCCTACTGAAAGAGGCAAATAATCTTCAATACTAATCAGGCAGTTAGTCATTTAGTGACGCAAGACTTCCGCTGTAATGTGAATGGGTAGACTGGGTCAGAAGTCCATGGCATGTTACAAAAGTTTTCCGGTTTTCCTACGCGGACGAATAACGGTAGGGTGGAGAAGTAAAGTTCTATGCTGAAGGAATTCATAGGATGCTGCTAACGGTAATATGATTAGAAAGGCCACTGGGATTCTAGGTTCGTGGCGAATCGGTTGCCGGATACCCTAGAAGCTGGTGCCATGCACGCAAGTGTGTCCCTGGACATAAATGAAAGACCGAAACCTCGACATGGTGCCTATTCTGAGGCTCTTTGGACCCATGATAGGAATGTGCTGACATTGTCACACCTACCCTTTAGAACCGCTCGAACAAATGGCAACAAGAAGCGATGAGAACTTCTGTACCTGCGTAGGATGTAACGTGAGTACATGATGTCCTAGCTTCACAAGCCTGAAACTTGAAATTTCTGCTATCATAACCGCTATTGACTACCCTCTGTTCGCACCAGAAGATAGCAGGTTGCTTGATCCCGCGGCAGGTGTAGTAGTAGCAGTATCACAGAGTTATGGATGGAGGAGCTCAAATGTTGACGTAAGTCTCTCGGGCAAAGCACTTCAACCTTGAAAACGAGTATGAAGGATAGGTACAATGCGATGCAGTATCACATTGTATTCCTCAATCGATGGCCTACTAGTCTTCCATGTAGCGTGGCAGCCTAGGGTTCATTTCTAATAGCATGTCAGTAGCGAACAAAAGCTCAGGATCATCAAGTTATACGGAGAATATTTTAGGCTACGCGGGGGTGACAGGATATAAGAACGCTGACAGAGGCTCTCATTCGCGTGTCCTATATTACCGGTATCTCAAAAGACGTGAGAGGGCAATAGAGACCCTCTGTAGAGAGTGGGCTAGCCCCTGGACCCCCTTAGAAACTGTCAGAGACGAAGGTGTATGGGTCACGATCCTAGCTAGTTCCCAGCTAGTCAAAGCGGGGATCCGTGGTCAAGCAGGTAAGGGCATTTCGGTATGCAAAATGGGTGACCGGTGAGACCCTCGAACAAACAAACCAATGAGAGGGCTGACGGTCACCAAGCTTAAACATGTCTGTAAGGAATTTAGATGGTCTAAGCCGGCAGCTCCGTAATCAGAGAAGCATGCTCAAGGTACTGTCTCCAGCCATATGCATAGGAGGAACGAAAACGTCCGATTCCGAAGAGTAACGTCTCTTTGGTGACCAGTAATCCGATCCTGTAGGGGCCGTTTGGGAATATGACGAGTGCTCGATATTTCCACGTCCATTTCAACGTCTTTTTACTGTACAACATCCTGTCAGTGGAATAGGGACTGGAGATATCCATTGACCGGGGATTGAGCTCAAGGGAATGATTGGAGAGAGAAAGTGGGAGATTTGTGACTCTAAGTGGGAATCAAGTTGACCGCCGTAAGGCTGAATGAGAACCACAATGCGCGCTACCTGCACCTGCATTTGCATCTGCATGCGAGGGCATGTCCGTACTGTACCGTATCAGGGACCCACGTTGGAGCCTAATCGTTGTCTGAGGACGCCGCGTTTGTGGACGTGCTCTCCCCTCCACACAAGGATGGATTGTTAGTTCAGTGCGGCTGAACCAGAAAGAAAGTAGGGACCAACAGGACCTACGATTTCATGCAGCTACGTGACGACATGGTGATCGGAAGCGTGACTTTGTGAGGCTCTATGATATCTGATGCCACCCATACCTATAAGTGAACAGTCGTACGATTGCAGGTTGGGAGAGTAAGCAAGTGGTTGGAAGAAGAAGGTGGTTTGAGGAAGGTTGTTGTCCCCAACCCAGAAGCCGCATTGTTGCCGAGAAGTCAGATCCGATCATGTGACCGTTGTCTGTCTCCGCAAAAGGGGCTGCTGTGGCCCCCAAATCTAAGTATGGTAATGGGTTCGCATGCAGATGGAATCCATTGTGTTCATCTTTCAGAAATCGCGACTATAACTGCTAGTCCAAAATGAGGTCTTTTTAGGAAGAGGAAAAGAGTAAAGGAAAATGAGACGGTTGAAGTGGTCGTAAAAAGGGGCTATTGGCAACAATGATTTGATTGCAGCCATCACCGACAACTACTATTGACTTTCTTAAGTGACTAGAACGTGATACCTTTAAGATGGACTCCATGAAGAAGATCGGAAAGCAAAAGCAAAAGCAGTTAACCTTTCAGGAGTGAAAACACACACTCAAAGACACTAACTCTAGATGTGACTCGCAACGATCAATTCACCAGACAATTCTCACCCTTTCATCAAATATTCACCCAAAAGCGAGAACAGAAGTCGACAAATCATAAAGACAAGCTAGGAGAGAGTGCGAGCAACAATAAACATCACCGAAGAAGAACAACTCCGTATCAGACCACAATACAGCAACAAGCAAAGGCAATCCGATACTCAAAGACACGTATGACCCCTGATCATCGAGATGGGAGCCTCTGCCGTCAAGGACGACTATCAACGACACCACTTGTCGATGAGTCCATCTCCACAGCCACCCCCCAAATACGGCCAATTCTCTTTGGAGCCTTGCGACACGCCACCACCGGAGAAGACCCCGACAACGAAGGACCTCAACTCAGCTCAGAGAGGATCTGCTTTTGCTAGAGAAGTCCACCGCCTGTACTCCGGTGGTATCACTCCAAGAAAAATTCGTGTTTCAGCAAGCCACCCTGTAGATACATCTAATGGTCGCTGGACGGGCACACTTCACGAAGTAGAAACCTCACATCAACAATCTGACGACCCGTTCATCGGTGGCTCCATTCCAACCTCCCCCCTTGGCGCCGAGATCACCGCTCGCAAATCACACAGCCGCGTACTTTCTAACGACTCCGAGGTCGAGATCGTCCGCTACCCAAGAAAACACTCCGTCAATACATCGCACAACAGAGGTATCGACACCCTGCAGCTCCAAGCTTCCAGCGGCAGTCTCCTCGGCTCAAAAGAGGTCTCGATCACTGATGTTAGTCCGGGCACTTACCATACGAACCACTTCTTACACGGCGAGCAGCTGGTGTTCAGCCACGTCAAAGTCAAGAAGCCCCGCTCAGCATCTCAGCCAGACAAGGAAAGCACCCGCAAGCGCAAGCGTAAGGTTCGCGACGAGTATCTAATCCCACTCGCTGGCCAAGTGATCGGTGATGATACGGGTAGGAAACTTGCTCTTAAGTTTCGCGAGGATGCGAATCGTTGGTGGAATATTGTCGTTAATCCTACTGGTCGATGGGTTGATTCTAGGACTTGGACGAATAGAGTGGGAGAAAATCGCGTATTGTTTTGAGTTTTGTTGGACGATGTTCTGTTTTACTTCGTTGGGTGGGACTGGAGGATTATTCCCGAATATTTCAAGATGTCTAGTTTTGCTTTTGCTGAAGGCAGTATGGAGGAGACTTGATTGCAGATGGTAAGGTGTAAACACCATCCAGGTTCTTCTGGACAAAAAGAATACAATATTCGTGTATCTTTCTTGGGGTTGCCCCCTCATTTTATGAGACTCCTGTTCATTTCTCAACCTAAGGTAAGGGCATCCGGCATTCGCGAGAGCGCTCCTACTTCTTTGAGTCAAAGGCACCGACCTACTATCTGACTGTTCTTCCATATCGGTGACACGCTACTTTTCGATATTCCGATGAAGCTCTCTTTTTCGCGGACTGTTTTCGCGTCAATACTATCATTTTTTCTTTCCAAGCGGATGTCTTCGATACGATGCATCATTCAGCCCAGATACCTATTATTCTCAAGTGAGAATACCAGAGAAGCTTGGGAGATACTCTCGATAAACGATCTTGTGTGAACAAGTCTCGCCGATACAAATAGTCCGAAACGATACAATTCTCCAGGTACAATCACATCTCCACGACTTCTAATCAAGGGTAAATTAATCATCAAGGCAGGCAGCTCTTATAGTACACACAAACCTATAGCTACGCCGCATCCCAGATCGCCTTACCACTCACCGCTCACCACATGCCCCAAACATCAAACAGCGCCGATTCCTGACCAGGCTTCCAGCTTAACTTCTGCACCTTAGTTTTTATGACTCAGCCCGGCCACTTCAAAAACTCCTTCTGGCATAGAAATGGCAAGTATTGTAAAGTGGCAGGGGAGCGCGCTGCGCAAGGCTGCCATGATCCTTCGGGTTCAACGAACCGAACCCCGAGTATCTAGGGATAGAATACTATGCAGCTGATGACTATAAGGCTGGTTCATACACTGTATTGTTTTGAAGACGTGTGCAAGGAATGTGGGCGTGAATGGAAAGTGGCAAGTTACTTCTTCTCTTGGATTGAGACTGGAGATGTGTTTTACAGGGTTTCGAATTTTGTATGTTGAATTTTTGAGGTAAACTTCAAGCTATTAGTTTAATCAATTTCTTGCACGCATATCCTTTTCCAGCGATCAAGAACATCTAAACCTCCAATCTAAGATTCCTTAAAAGCCCCCAATTCCATCTTCCCCTCCCTCAACCTCCACGCCCAAAGCGCATCAAACACCAAAATATCAAAGAAACTAAACACCAAGCTGCCCCCAAACACCAGACTATGATACGTCCACGCATCCCCCTTATCCAGATGCGCAACCTGGCACACAATGGTCCACGGAAGTACGTACAGCATGTTCGAAGCGAGGGATTGGTACAGATACCAGCGCGGTCGCGTCGCGAGCAGGATGGTGGAGAGCTGTGTGGACACGGCGTAGAAGATGTAACACCAGTCGATAGTTTGCCACATGTGTGCCGTGATTTTCGCTACGGTTTCGGAGTTGCTCAGGTAGTGTGCAAAGGGCTGGGCGCCGAGGAAGGAGAGGAGGAGGCTGATGGGGATTTCAATTAGCAAGGCGAGGCCGATGGATGTTAGAGCAGGGCGGATTATGACTCGTGTGTCTTTGAAAGGGATGGGTGGGGTGAGAGTTGCGTTTGCTTGTTCCCGCCGGTATTTTCCCCAGAGGTGTCCGATGAATGTTAGAGACGTGGCTTCCAGTGCTTGTACGGGGACCATGACTAGGCCCCAGCGGATGGTGTTGAAGACGCCCCAGGCGGTGGAGTAGTTCGATCCGAGGGAGACGATGCCGTGAACAAGCCACAGGTAAAGGGCATTGCGGACGGCGGATTCGGCGACTGTGAGGATTCCGGGGCGGGCTAGAACTCCGAGGGCGCGGAAGCTGGGGCGTGTGCTATGGTTGTCTTCGGGTGCGTGGGCAGAGTCAAGGAGTAGTACCCCTTTCCTAGTAGTGTAGAGGAAGAAGCAAAGGCCAGCTATGGAGGCTGTCATATTGCATGCGAGTTGAATAGCTCCCTGCATATTTACTGTAGGCGTGAAGCTTCCGACATGGAATCGTGATATGATGAGTAGATCGAGGATGATGTTGACTGCGAATTTACCACAGCTGATTACCAAGGGGACATCAGGTTGATCAAGGGCTCGAGTGGCTGTTGAGACCGCCACCTCGAGCGCAGAACTCAGAGCTGAGAAAGCGCCAATGCGAACATATGCGAGGCTCGTAGCCCGTACTTCTACAGGGACGAACCCTTTTGCAAGTGTTGACGCGGCCGCGACGAAAACGATGCTCATAATAAGCCCCAGCGCAGACTGGACAATGAGCAATGTGTAGGAGAGCTGGAGCAGCTGACGATATGAGCGCGAAGCTTTATCTCCAATGATTAACCATGAGGCTCGGGGTAAGCCTTCATTAAGGACTTCGGCAAAGACGCCTATGTAGGTGTAGACATCTGTGGTAACGACGCGGGAGGGTCGATGTTGGCTACCCAGAGTTTTGAAAGCGTTGAGTAGAGAGCTGGAAAGAAGAAAGCTGCCAGATTGAAGACCAGGGCCCCGGCGTATCTGCTGAGTGTGAGTTGCTGGTCCGGACTTTTGAGGGGAAGCGTACGTATTGCGAGAACAGATCGATCTTAGATCCTTCCATGTCCTTGGTGAGTTTCCAGTACTAGGGCTAGAACTGTTTGGCCGTGGATCTGAGCCAGGATTGGCATTCACTTCGTCGGATGGCACCATTCTGTAACGATAGCGAGGAGGCAACACCTCAGAGAACAGGGAGTTTAAATACATGTTCGGCTTCTTTCAATTGCCTTATCTGCATTCTGGAATATAGAATCGTTGACTGATGAATGATTGTGGCGTTACAGAAACCGTGCTGCGGGGAAGCGGGGGGTTTTCTGATTGGAGCAGAAAGAAAACGAACATGGTTTGTAGAAGCGGAAAGGTGTGCTTAACAAGCATATCCAATATTTCTTTATGTTTGTAGTTGAAGACAACGAATCCGGTACGTGCTTCAGCGGGAACAGCTGTAAAGAGATAAAAGTGCGAAACGGCAGGTCAAAAAGGGGGGGAGCTGCATCATGAAAGATACGAAAAATGACTATATTCCAAGCCTTGTTTTGCCTCATTCTCACATTCTGCTCTCTCCAAGACAGCATTCACTTGGAGACTCCACGGCATTCTCCTTATCCACGTAATTTTCCTTATAGCAAATGCTTCGACTTACGCTCGTCATATCGCATCTTCCTCACCGAGCCTCACAAACTCAGCAAAGAAGTAGTCTTCAAACAACTTCTTTCAACTTCTTCAGCACGTGCATATTAGGAACGACAACCTCAGCGCGTTCATCAAAGTCCAAAAGGCCAGAACCATGATTACTATCATGGATTGTGAGAGATTGTGTAGACATCTTTAGTATCGAATGATACTGTCTTATTGGGCTGGAATAGGCAACCCAAAAAGCTATAAATGGAAGTTAATGGTTGTAGAGCAGACGGATACAAATAAAGTCTTATGCTTGGGTGTAGTGGTAAATGCCTTTCTCAACAATCCATTCCTTCACCAGAGGGGTGCCTCATCTGTCACGTAATCAATATAGAGCCCCCAAGCACCCCGCTGATCCGCAGAGAAAAGCATCAATGGCCACGAAAAGCCGCCAAACGAAACAAGGAAAGTGTAACTAAAGACCGATTTTTATTTGTGAAGTAAACTGTACGACACTGTATCGCTATATGCGTTATCGGTGGAATTCAGGTACCTAGGTATCAAGCAACACTTGCCTTTATCTCTAGTCGCAATGTTTCCGGGATCTTTACAACATAGAAACCCCGGCTCACTAAATATTGTCGCATCATATAGAGTGCTTGCAATGTAGGAAGACGTTGGGCAGTAGAAAATTGCACTCGGAGAAATAGCAGAAAGGCAGACCTCGTGACTAAAGAGGACGACACGTGATCAACCACAGGTTTATTTGGCAAGAACCATTGGCTTTCTGGTCTCATGTTCTGCGAAGCATGAAGTCGGTAGAAGAGGAAGCCTCTTGCCCGGTAAGCAAAGTTTGAAGGAGCCACTAGAGAAGGAAGAAGAGGGAGACAGAGGTACAAGGTTAGATATCAGAGGTCTCTACTTAGACAACAACAAACACCAAACAGAGTCGACAGACCCGTAACAGACCTATAGTATCGCGACTCACCACTTGATGCTAAGGTAAGCAAATATAGATTGAGGCTTTTGAAATCTTCAGCGCACCGGCCCGCCGTCCGGTACATAAACACAAGGCAGTGCAGTGCTTAGAGAAGAGTGGGTAAGCATCTGGAAGACATGCCATGCCTGTGATACAACCCTGGAAAGAGCTATAAGAGGCTACCTAGATACGCCAATGTACCACTGCCCCCATTGTAAGAATAGGCTAAATGGAGAGGATGGAAGTTGTGTCGCCCGAAACGGCATGCACACGTGATGTCCTTCACTCGCTTGTACAGTACTCGAGTAAGCGCCGAGTGAAATAGCTACGAAGCGCGAAGACGACATCCAATCATCTCCCCTCTATCTGCAGTCTTTAAATAGTGCCAAACACCATGACAGCGCCTACACACATGAACTGATCCGGTCTGACCACAACAGCACGCGAAAAGACATCCCTTCGAGGCTCATCCTCTAGGGAAACGCACCTCGATTGTTAACAATGACGTGGGATCCCTTCTATGACCGTCTACTCTGGGTTGAGGCGTTCTCTATTGGCGCTGGAAATAGCCCCCCAGCTGCAAGGCAGGAGACGAGCCCATTTATAGGCCGGCGTCAAGCTGACTATCTGACTACCTATTCGACTATCTAAACTTTGGTATTGCACCGACCATCGCGGGGTTCATTTGTACTGTATCATCTCTTCGTTACCGCCAGCTTGTATCATCATCTTTCTCATTTTCCCATCTCATTTTCCTTTCTCTCTCCTTTCTCCGCTTTCTATCTGCATTTCCATCTTCATTTCCTTGTGTTTACGGACTGAGAATGGGTTGTCGATTGCGAGGCATTTATTTACTACAATTTTAATAATGTATGGGACGCTGGTCGATCCTGAGACTCTAATATTTTCTTCAAGGTCAGTCCAATCCTTCTCATGTCTGCAATGGTGCCGCCTGGGGGTGTTGGGGTCGATGTATGCAGCCCAATGCGTGAAACGGTACAACATGTACAGCCACTTCAGCAGATCAACACTGCCTTCTGAACATACTCCCTTATGGCACAGAAGATGGGACTCGAAGAACAAATAAGAAATGCTAACAACTCCTTCCAACAGCTCCCATGAGGATGGCACGATGCTGGCCAAGCCGAATCCTATTGATATACGCATATTCAACACTCACCAACGCGTCGACTTTCCTCTCATCAGAGCTGACGAATTTCATTCCCGAATGTGCTCAACTCTGCTTCATATCATTCCTAGAAGCCAACTTTCCTATTTCAACTTGTTCTTCGATACCCACTTTAGACTGCCTATGTTCCCACAATAGCACAACTGGATATACGGTTGGGGAGGGAGCCGTACAATGTATAATGACGGAGGACAAGTTTGCGTTCTGCAGTGGGGCAGACGCAACAAGTAAGTGCTTCCACTGGAGAAATCTGAGGAGTTCCTGACTGTTCCTATAGATGCGGTTGTGCAGGATGCCTATGCTATGTGTAATAGCCAAGACGATGCACTACCTAATACACACGCAACGATTGTTGGAACATTAGTTCAACAAAGTTCAATGCCCAGCGTTTTTTTAGTGAGTCCAGCGACTACTACCGCTGTACTCATCTCTACATTTTCTACCTCAACTCAGCCAACGAGCACTTCGATCGCTTCGATTAGTACTAGCATTTCAACAAGTTCCAGCAGCTCAGACAGCACTACCAGCTCAGACAGCACTACTAGCTCAGATAGTACAACCATCTCTACTACAACCAGCTTAATAAATCCAGCTTCTTCGTCGAGTAATTCAGTCACCGCATCAGAGTCTCCCACCCTCTTTCCAATAGCTTCCAAGCCATTACCAGTGGCTTCAGCTTCAGCTTCGGCTTCGACTTCAGCGACTCCTGCTCCGGCACCAACCTTGACAAAAGCTCAAGTTATTGGGATTACAGTGGCATCCGTATCAGTTGGTGCACTTGGTATTGGACTCCTCCTTATGCTCGCATGCTGGAAGCGGAGAAAAGCGAGAAGAGAACGAGACAGCGACTTTTTACCTTTCCAGTCTGCTCCTAATTACATCAGCTATTCAAATTATACAAAATCTACAAAGTCGAGCAAGAAGTTTGGGTTCAGTCCTTTCAGACCAGCAGGGAGAAAAGAAATTGGGCCAGGGGGGACATCCAATGGAGTGGCAGCAAAGATCCCACCTCGAGTGCCCCAACGACTTGATACTCAAAGCCCGAATATGTTCTCGCGGAGGAGTCTTAAGCCTGATAATATTGGACTTGCCATCTCGCCAGAAAATCAGAGACAGAGACAAAGAACTTCAAAACTTCTTCCCGAAAGGCCGATGTTGAGATTGCAGACGCCTCCACGGACAGCTAATAATCCAGGCGTTGGGCCTTCGGACCTGTCACTTTCTCAACCTGCTACGGCTCCGGCTCCGGCTCCAGCTCCAAGGCAAAGTACAACTACTCAATTTGAAGAGGACGAAGAGGACCCCACAATAGGTGGAGCACGAGATACTTGGGGACAAGCGGATACGGACGAGCGACTAGAAACCGCAATTGGCAATTGGCAAACTGTTAGAAACGTAAATCCAAATCCCCCACCAGCAGCGTTCTTTATAACAGGCGGAGACGGCAACCACTGGCGTCAGGCCAGGGACTCGAGCAGTAACCCAAATGTACCAGAGTACTATGTGAAGCCTCTAAACATCCAACGAGGCGTAGGTTCGTTCTCGCAACCGCGACGACCAGACGAGTATCCTCCGCCCAGACAACAAAGTTCGGCTCCACTCGACGCATTCCCGGCTCCCCCACGTTCTAACCAATATCCCCCAAAACTACAAATTCCAACAGGCCCAAATACAGCTACTTCCTCCGTATACTCGACACGCACATCGTCACTTCCAGCCGGAGCGCCCTCTCCCATCTCCCGCCAACAGAAGAAATATAAACAAGTTGGCCCCTACGACGGGCACAAATCCTCCGGCTCAATGACATCCTTCGAGTCCAACGACAGCATGTTGAACACACCAACGCCAAAAACTCCCCGCACAGCTGACAATCCACTCTCGCCCGTTGCAGAATTAGAGAGCCCCACTCAAGGCCGGAGTCCAGTGTCTTATCCCAAGATCCCTAAACTGGGACGACTACCAGAAAGCACGATCCGCATGGTTCCACCTCCACCCCAGCCGGACTTCGGTTCCGTTATGGCGAAACCCAACCAGCCCTGGCGAGCTGCTGAACTTGAGGCCGCACGACGGAGACGAGAAGAGCAGCTAGAGATTCAACGAGAAGCTATGTATGAAATGCAATCACAAGCTCAAGAGCAAGCGCAACGGCCACACGTAGGATTGCAGTATCAAGAGCCACAGCACCAAGAACGCAGAAAATCCCTAATAGAGCTCCAACTTCCCCTCCAAGGCCCCCACCTCCAATACCCCGAACGAACCTCCTCGCGCTCCCGCCACAACGCTGCCATCTTACCCTCGTCTTCAGGCCTTAACACCCTTCCCTCGCAGCACCGACATCTTCAATCCCAATCCCCAGTCCCACGCGCACCCGGCTTCGGCTTACCAGTTGGCCCACGCCCGAAACGCCTTCCCGGACCCGGGCAACAGCCCGTCAACACACAGCCCCCAATCACCTTCACGCGCAGCAGCAGCGCGCTATCGCACATCAGCGAAGGAAGTAGCAACACCAGTAACGTGTCCCTGCTTGTGAAGAGGCGCGGGGAGCAGAAAGCGGCAACCTTAACATTGAACGATGCGAGTACGAGTAGTAGCGGTGGTAGCAAAGGGAACAAGTGGCGGGTCTTGAAGGAAGGGGATATAGAAGCTGCCAAGAGCCCGGGGTGGCGGCCTATGCTTTCGAGCCAGTACCATCATAATAATCAGGGTAGTGTGAATGTGAATGCAGGGCACGAGAGAGATGTATATGGGGAGCGCACGAGGGTTTGGGAGAGCATGGAGCCGGTGGAGTTACCGGGGACACCGGGGTGGGTTCCTAGATTGACGCCGACGCGGAGGGGGGATGAGCTGTTTATTAGCGTGCAGTGATCGACCCCGATGCTCTTGTCCTCTTATACTTTACAGTACTTGGTTAACTCTCTTTTGTTGGATGGATTCATATATACCCAGGGAGGCCTTGCTAGTTTCGTTTCTTGTATAACATCTTGTAGCAGAGCAAAGGAAAGCAGAGAAGCAGAATATGAAGCGATGGGATATGAAGGAGGGTCTTGCATTTCTAGGCGTTTTATACTTCGCTTTTGGCATATGCCGGCGTTTTGAGGGGCTGTTTCTTTAAAATCGGGAGATTTTGTAATATTTAGTGGCATATACTATACTCAGCATGTTTGCATCAAAAATGAGACATATAGACATTACTTGGCAGCTCTCGGTCGAGGTGAACACTTAGGAGACATATGTGCTTCATTCATTTCATTGGTATCTGTCTAAAATGCCTCGAGCTTCCTCTCATGCCTGCCAGCTCAAATAATCCCTCTCCAGTCCGATGCTACGCTAAACAGCCAACCTCCGCGAGTATCCCAGTGATCTTTGAATCCCTCCACCTCATGGCCCTCATCTCTATCGTGTCAATGCAAACGCCCGCTTTTGTCGAAAGATGAGAGAAATTGAAAATGAATCGTCATAAGCTGTCTTATAACCACCACTCAGGCCTGTAAATTCGTACCCGCACGACTTGACTTGGTCACATTCTTGATGATATTTTCGGTCTCGTCCCAGTCATCGGTTGGCAATCGGATCAAGTCGATTTGATAGTAGAGTGCGATCTTGTTCAATGCATTGAAGCTCTTCTTGTCGAACACGAAACTAATACTGACACCAACGCGTCCGAATCTCCCCGTACGACCGATACGGTGAAGGTATGTCTCGGCATCAGGCTCATCATCATTTCGGCCCTTCATTGGTACATCGTAGTTAATCACCATGTTGACGGATTGGACATCGATACCGCGTGCAAGGACATTGGTCGTGATGAGAACCTTGATTTTGCCTGTTCGGAACTCTTCAAGAATGCGGTCACGTTCTGCGCCTTCGAAGGCACCATGAACGGCGACTACATGATGGCCCTCTTTGGTCAATCGGTCTGCGATGGCATCTGCAGTATTCCTGCGCTATTAAATGGTCAGTACGGGAAACGTTTTGGTCATACTGGAATCTTACCTTTACAAAAATAATCGAAGATCCCACCGTCATGGCACCGTACAATTGCGAGAGGAAATTGTATTTGCCCTCGTCACCAGAGCAGTCCATATACATCTGGGAGATACCTTTGACCGTAAGCTCATCTCTCCTCAATTTGATGGTGTTGGCGTTTGGAGAGAATATCTGTGCATATTGCATGACGGCATCGGGGAAGGTAGCAGAGAATAACAAGGTCTGTTGGACGCCGGGGAGCATTCTAGATCACGGTTAGCATGTTTACCTGAGAGTTTGTGAGAGGCCAACCCTTTGACACGAGAGCACTGATCACCAAGGCCTTGCTGATCCAACATGCTATCTGCTTCGTCTAAGCACAAGACCTTCATTTGCGACGCATCGAATTGTCGGCGCTTGATAAGATCCATAACGGTACCAGGGGTTCCAACAACGATGGATGCTTGGATTTTAGCACCCCGTTCAACAGCACCAGGAACTGCAGCTTGGATCTTGAGGCCTTCTACGAATTGGCCGATGCTTCGAATCACACCCTCAATTTGGCGGGCAAGCTCCCGACTCGGTGCCAGTACAAGCGCCTGAGGTTGAGTCGGCTTTGACAAGTCGATGCGAGATAGTATTGTAATTACGAAGGCAGCAGTCTTTCCAGTGCCTGACTGGGATTGTGCAATCATGTTCGTGGGTGGGTTCAACAAGAGATAGGGGAGGGCCTTTTCCTGAATTTTTGATGGCTTCTTAAAGTTCATTCCGTAGAGTCCCTTCAATATCTCCTCCGAGCTACAAGATAGATCAGGGATAGATCTAAGTAAAAGCGAAGAGAAAAAACTCACATTCCCAGCTCCTCGAATGCAGTGATCGAGTACAATGGCGAGTTAACATCACCTTGGATGTCGCTCAGCTTCACTTCGACCTCGTACCGTCCATCTTGGAGACCAGAACCATTAAGATGCTCGACTTGTCCATCAGCCTGCGCAGCGGCCAGGCTGCTTTCACCTTCCTTGGACTCGGCGGTGGGAGAAGCAACCTCGTCTGACCATTTTGACGACGTGGCTGGGGTTTCGTCTGCAACAGCTGGTGAGGTTGGCTTGGTAATACGATCTGCTAGGGAGGCAGGGGCGGATTCTTCGGCCATGTTGGCTTTATGTAGTGGTGAGATTGGGATGTATTTGGGATTGTAAGATGCGAGATCGAAGCTGAAGGGGGTAGCTGGAGGAGGTTGGAGGTGATATGATTGAATATGATGCGCCTAAAATGCGACAAGTCGTCCTGCTTCAGTTCAGATGGAGAGCCGCAGAGAGAAATTGAACCAAGGGCACAAGAGATTGATGCTGCATGAATTATGTGTAGGAAAAGACGCAAGCAGAAGGTGGAGGAGGAGTGGAATGAGGGATGTGATATTCTGAAAGAGTTTCAACAGCTTCAAGATTTGTTTTGGGGAACGCGGGGTCTAGAATTTAGTGGGTCGGTCACGTGGGAAATGCCCCTCGAGGTTGTCGAGTCCTCTGTACGGCGGTCAGAGCGGCCTGTTAATGCAATCCTAGTCCTGTACCTGTACCTGCGCTACAGTATGAATGGAGTCCGGTCCCGCTATGAATGTTCCAGGTCAACATCAACTCTTCAAGGTCTACCGCATCTCGGGCAGTATGGCTTACATTTACTTGGAAGCAACATCCAGAGTTTAATATTTGATTATGCCACTCTGCAACTCTGCGTACTACATTCATTCATGATCCCTTTTTTACAAACGCCTCACTGTGGTAGGAATCATGGCAGATGTAGATATTGCCCCGAACTTTGGCCTCGAGCTGAAGGTATGTGAGCGCATGCGCCATTTGTATGCTATGATTTAGCTGACCCGTATAATTCAGGATGGCTTTAAGACGGCCAATGCATGGGTTGCGAATGGAATTATCTGGCTAGACGACATTCAGTCGTTTTACCGCGAGCGAAGTGTCATCGAGAAGGAATACAGCGCGAAGCTTAATGCCTTAGCAAAGAAATACTACGAGAAGAAGGCAAAGAAGTCTAGCAGTTTGAGTGTTGGAGACAACCCTTCCATGACACCTGGGTCTTTGGAAAGGTAATAGAATGTTACAGAATGAATGAGAAACTGCTAACATGGACGGGTTCAGTGCTTCTTTAACAACATGGACCACCCAAATTACAACTCTCGAGTCCCGGGCCGCGGAGCATGATCGATTTGGAGGAGAGTTGATATCACACCTGGCAGACCCTCTTAGAGTCATTGCGACGCGACACGAAGAGCTTCGGAAACGCCATGCGGAATTCGCGGATAAGCTGGAGAAGGAGCGAGAGTCAACTTACGGCGATCTGCGAAAAATGAAAGGGAAATACGATGCCACTTGTCAAGAGGTCGAAAACAAGCGGAAGAAGGCCGAGTCTGCCTTTGATTACTCGAAATCGAAAGCCCAGAATGCATACCAACAACAGATTCTCGAAATGCATAACGTCAAAAATAGCTACTTAATTGCTATCAATGTAACCAACAAGCAGAAGGAGAAGTACTACCATGAGTACGTGCCGGATCTTTTAGACAGTCTACAGGATCTTTCAGAATCAAAGACAGCGAAGCTCAACGGTATATGGTTATTAGCAGCGCAACTCGAATCTGGAATGTTGAAACGCAGCTCCGACTATATTGCCCATCTTGCCCAAGAGATCCCCCGAAACTTGCCTCCTCTAGACTCAATGATGTTTGTCAGACACAACGCGGGACAGTGGCAAGAACCTGCAAATAAGGTGTTTGAGCCAAGCCCAGTATGGCACGATGACGATGCTATGATCGTGGATGATACCGCGAAAGTCTTTCTCCGGAATGTATTAGGCAAATCCAAAAGCCAATTGGGTGAGCTTAGGAGGGAGGTTGATACGAAGCGACGAGAAGTGGAAGGCACAAAACGAGTGAAGCAACAAATCAGAGAAGGTAAAGACAAGAGAGATGAAGTAGAAGTTGTCGGATCCATCTTTCGGTTACAAGAAGATTTGCATCAAGTTGATCACAAGCGATTGACTGCAGAAGTCGAGACCGAGACTATTACTGGGGCTGTAGGGGATGTTACACTCGGGGCAAAGAGTCACAACTTTAAGTCTCAGACTTTCAAGATACCGACAAACTGTGATTTGTGCGGAGAACGCATATGGGGTCTTTCAGCAAAGGGGTTTGACTGTCGAGATTGTGGTTACACATGTCACAGCAAATGTGAGATGAAGGTTCCTGCTGAATGTCCTGGAGAACAAACGAAAGAAGAGAGGAAGAAGCTGAAGCAAGAACGCCAAGAAGCCGCGAATTTCGGAGTCAAGAGCTCTGGTACACCATCGGACAGCGTTGCTGAGCTCCCAGATATGAGTCGCTCGAACACAATGACCTCTTTGAGCTCCGGATACGCCGCAAGTGCCCACCGTTCAGTGTCAGGTCCTGGTCACCTATCGCCGGCAGATGAGACTCCTCCCGAAAGACCAGCCTCTTTCAAACCAAACGTTACTGGATCCAGCACACTAAAGAAGAGTAGAATCGTTGCTCCTCCACCTACGGCATACGTTAGTGAATTACCAGGAAGTCAACCAAATGGCTCGACGACTTCAATAGCCACCGAGCAAAAAGGGAGGATGATGTATGCCTACGACGCTAATGGCGACGGGGAATTAACAGTCACTGAAGGCAAAGAAGTCACTATCCTCGAACCAGACGGTAAGTTCGCCTTCTCTTTGTCATCGAACCAAACTAACACGCAAGCAGACGGTGGATGGACCCGTGTAAAGTCAGGCTGGAAAGAAGGTCTTGTCCCCACCGCATACCTCGAAATGCTTGCCGCGCCGCCAACACCACGCCCCTCATCCATTTACTCCAACTCCGGCTCATCCGTCGCCGGTTCCGTGCAAGGCAAAAGGCAAGGCCCAGCCGTAGCACCCAAGCGTGGCGCGAAGAAACTCAAATACGTAGAAGCGCTATACGAATACACGGCACAGAGCGATGCGGAACATAATATGAGCGAGGGCGAACGCTTTGTGTTGATCAAGGAGGATCCGGGGGATGGGTGGGCGGAGGTTGAGAAGGGTGGGCAGATCAAGAGTGTGCCGGCGAATTACGTGCAGGCTGTATAGATGGCGGGATATAGATCAGCGGCTTTCTTGAATGATATGGGTTGCGAGCGTTGCGAGATGATGAATGAGAGAATGACGAGCGAACGTAAAAACGGGTGGGATAGTGCATGCATACATTCGCGAGGAGTTCTGGGGCCTGTCTAGCATTTTGGGGGCTTTTATCATTCTGGTGGTATATCTTTGGAGAGCAGATTAGAAGACAGGGTGGGTACCTGGATTGTAGATTTGTTTTGCAAGTCAATGGGTAGGGTAGGCTCTTGAATTATATTTTTCCCGACTTAATTCATATCTCCTCCATCGTGGGCCCCTTTACTTTTTACTATATTGTTTTGACCACGGGCTTGAATTGCGTTGTACCCACTGTAATGTCAAGTGCCTTTCAAGCTAAAAGAGCAAACACATACTTTTGGAGCATTTCCTGTGAGAACTAATGCGACATGAGTATTGGAGACTTGAGTATATAAATACCTCCCCTTCTGCTTTATTCTATCCTCTTAACAACACTGCATATTTCCTGGCGCTGTTTTGCAAGGTCCCGAGCCCAAGCCATTCTACTCTACTTAACTTCACTTCAACTCACCACGGAGGAAATTTTCGGGCATGGCAGCGATGTAGACGCCAATGCTATGCGTTTGTGTTTTGAGGGAGTTTGAATGAAAGAATGAATGAATGAATGAATGTGTATTTCTATTGACAGCAAGTCTTTCTCTGACAGTATCTTTCATCGGGGTTTGAAAGAGATTTAACTTTATTCTGCAAGATTGGTTTGATGTGTTTCGCGAAAATAGATACACTCCATTTGGAGTAAGTAATTGAGTGACTGAGGCTTTGAAAGTGCTTTGCTCCTTGATATTTCTTGCTGCAGAGAAACATCGAAGGGTAGTATTCATTTATTTGGAGTCTGGAGAATCTGGTTCGTGGTTGGAGGTGCGGTATTTATACAGTACAGGACAGTACTCTATTTGGTGCAGTGGCCAGCCACGTCTTTGGCGGGGAGTTTGTGAGGCATTTTCTTTTGGCTTGATGCAGGGTTGTAAAAGCGAGAAGCGCTATATAAAGTAGAGTGCCAACAAGCATTCAGGATCGATAGGAATAATAAACTGTGCATTGAGAATGTGCATGGCGCGGTCGGAATCCATGTTCGATTAATTTTTACGCCTTGCTTCATTAAGATCCGGAGACTGCAGAACGACTTTTTGCTGCTTGTTGCTTGTTGCTTTTGGGTTTAGGGAGGGGGAAGGTATTTAGCTGTATAGGGGTGGAAGAATAACTAAGTAAGCAAGTGGGTTTCGCGGATTGTTGCATGGACTTGGGAGGTTCTGCTTGATGGATGTACCGGTATGGGATGGGATGGTTATTTGAACTACTCTGCGTCGTCATCTGAATCGGCTGTGCTCGTACATGCTTATTGGTAGCTTGATTCGATTTGACCCTTCTTGGGAACATCCCAACACGTCGAATCCTTCTCGTATATCAGGGGTCTTGTTCCTCCCTTCTCGCCTCACCCCTATTCCTTAACCCCATGTCTCGCTGCTGCATCGTTATGCTATTACTTTGCTTCTAATTTATTGGTTAATTAACAGTCTGCTCGATCTAGATCTGGTGTGATATTTGAATCTGTAATGTGGATGGAACAACTTATACATCGCGCGGCGAGGTTATTTGATCTAGTAGTGTATTTCTTGCTACCCCAGCTAAAGCTTTAATACCGTATTAAAGGTTCTCGCTTTACACTGTATTAAAAGTTGAAAGACGAATGAAGGTGTCAAGAACCTCAAGCATAAAATCAAGAAACTCGTCAAGAAGAATGCGGACGACAGAGCTGACCGTGCAACCCAGCAACTAGAGATTACTCAACTTACAATTAACGGATGTCAGTAGGCTTAACAAAAAGAAACATCTAAAAGCTTAAAAGTAAAAATAGAATGATCATTACTAGCAATGAGGTCATTGCAAAGCGACAAGCCAACATCGAAATGTGTGCTGTTAATGACTTGTTTGATGTGGATAAGGATAATCGGCCTTGGAATAGAGAGACAGGACTTTCATTTTCAATACCGAGTCTCGATGCAGAAGATTCAAAGCCACGAAGTATATCAATTCACTCGATAGACAATTATCACCAACTTTTAGCATTGTTGTCAAGGATTTGAAACGTTCAGATGCATTCATTGGCAATGAGAGTTAGGTAGCACCATTCATTAAACAGAAAAGAAACGCCTTCACTGAGTAGTAGATCTTTTGAACTTGCAGTGTTGGGAAGATAATTTGGGATCTGGGCAAGAGCACGTGGAGTATATTGGTGGGATGCCCACAGATTAAAGTTGTGAGAAATAATACGAGGAAAGAATTTGCTTTGGTACAAGGACAGGAGAAGAAATACTATGCCAAGAAGGGTCAGCTTAGAGTCCCAAGGGATTTGTTGAAGAAGAGATAGAATTGACGGCTACACTTGGATGCTGAACTGCTTGCCAGGTGAAGATATAGAATGCTGCTTCTCACGTGGTATCGTATACCAGAGACCACTTTCGAGTGGAGGAAGGCGCTAGAGGGCGCTACTGATATCATGTTGCCATCGCGTGAGTAATCAGCTGAGTGAGCCAGGAATTCCAAGAAGCCAAACCATGAGTAATACGAAGCGCTTGAAAAATACTGCATTAAATAAACAAATCACTCGACTCTTGCAGAGGTTGCAAGTTTCGTAAAACCATGCGTTGTTCGAAATCTAAACCTTGAATTGGGTGGCCAAGCCTTTCAGGGAAAATCCCAAGATGTTTCGCCGTCGTTCAATCGCCAACACGACACGGCTGCCAAGTCGCCAAGCCGTATCAGGGATGCCTGAGTGGCAATTTCTTGGGTACGGTACATGTTATAAATGTAAAACACGTTTCTGTCGAACCTTTACGAAGTAAAAGTGTACAAGTCCCTGTACAACACAGGAATAAAGGCACATGTGAAACAACGGTAGTTATAACGATGACTTGTAGGGGCCGAAGACTTAACACCTGCACGTGGTGTCCCCTATAAGCCTGTGGATTAGCTATGCAGAATTAAGTAGCTGGTAATAGCGATTTCGGTCGCTTTTACTACTTGTATGTTGCAATACGATTCTAGCGCTAAAATTGAGTCAAATTAAGCTTAACTTGACTTTAACCTGCGGCTTAGACTTAGAGGTAAAATTTAGGGAGGATCACATAAGTAAGGAGTATGAGTATAGAGGCATATTAGATATTTATGCCTAATAGGCCTAAAAATCTAGGTTTTTCTTGTTTTTCCTAGTAACGCAGTATACGTGAAAAGCTAGCAAATAGCTGGTAGGATGGAAATATTAGGGGATAAACCGCCCATTGATACTACGCCAAATAGGTATATATAGGGCTCTATGCTATTAATATAGTGGGAGTTTCATAGTGGATTAGAGGATATACTATCTAAGGATTGGGGATCTGGCTTAGGCAGAGAGGTCCCAATGTGTTATATAGTCTTTGACTCGTATAGCACAATGAAAGGATCTATAATGACGATGACTTATCTATGTTACGAATAGATTTGAGAGCCAAGAAATGTTGGAATGACGACAGATCTTCGGGTTCACTCGCAAGTACCCAGCAGAGGCATAGCATATTAAGTTGCAGTATTCATCACAGGCAAAGATACCGAGTACGAGTATATAACCTCGCCTCGTTTGGTTCCCTGTGAGCTACCCTACCTTTGATTTTGGAGGGGAAGGGGCCGAGGGGCATGAGAAGAATAAAAGCCTGATTAGGAAGGAAGGATGCATCACTCTTCAGTCCATGCGAATCCTGCACGGTTACTGGGTGGAGGAGGAATCTGCAGACAGCGAACAGAGAGATGAGGATGTTCACGGTGAGAGTGAGTTTGAAACAATCCAAGATCAGCAAGAGCGTGGGGCAGTGCAAAGGAGGGAAAAGGGGCAGCTGCAGAAGGAATGATTGCACCAAGAAAGCCGTAGCCTGTTGCAGATATCGGGGGTTGTCTAGCACGGCTGATAGTCCAGCTTTTACCCGCTGGGACCCACTTGCCAAGCCTTGCCCCATTTTATGACCCACCTTTCTCCTGACTTTCATGACATCGGCTGGCGCTAGTGAAATACCCCTGCAAAGTCAATCTCTCTATGGTTGTCCTCCCTTCACACCCTTCACTGACTGCTCTCTTCCTTTTCTCTCTCTTCAAACAACTTTCAACGACCTCACCAAGTTATTTGAATCCGCATCATCTAGGCACACTCACTCTTTCGTGTTGTCTCCTTCCGTACCAGCTTCTTAATTGTCCATTTTCTTGAACGCTCTCTCACTCTCTTGAGACGTTCCTTCCCATCTATCAAAATTTTAGCCGATTTCTAGTTGGATTTTTGTATTGAACTGAACTGTCCGCGACATCTTTCTACCAAAAACCAGCCATCGTTATCTACTATCAGCTATTTTATCACAATGAAGACCTTCAGCGCCATCGCCGCATTGGCAGCAGTTAGCTCTGTATACGCCGTCCCAACCCCCACAGAAGAGCTGGTCCCACGATCATCGTCATCTGGAACGGCAACCACTTCCTCAGTCGGAAGTCTAGCTCCCGTCACAGTCAAGGGAAATGGTACGCATTGAATCTTTCTTTCATTCCATGTGTAGTACTACACATCTCCACGTGCTAATCGTCAACCTCCAGCTTTCTGGGTAGGAGACACCCGATTCTACATGCGTGGTGTGGACTGGCAGCCAGGTGGTTCGTCCGACCCTACGGACCCCATGGCCGATGAGGCTACTTGCACCCGTGATATCGCAGAGTTCAAAAAGCTGGGCTTGAACGCTGTCCGTGTCTACACCGTCGACAACACTGCCGACCACGACACCTGCATGAAGGCTCTAGACGATGCCGGAATCTACTTGGTGCTCGATGTCAACACCCCCAAGTACTCCCTCAACCGGGCTACCCCCTCGCCATCCTACAACGCCCCTTACCTTCAATCCCTCTTCGCGACCATTGATGCATTTGCCAAGTACAACAACACCCTTGCCTTCTTCTCTGGAAACGAGGTTATCAACGACGACACCACCACGGCCTGTGCACCCTATGTTAAGGCTGTCACTCGTGATATGCGACAGTACATTGGAAGCCAAGGATACCGTAAGATCCCTGTCGGATACTCTGCCGCTGATGTTGAGTCAAACCGATATGAAATGGCTGCGTACATGAACTGCGGTACTGATGATGAGCGCTCGGATTTCTACGCTTTCAACGACTACTCGTGGTGTGATCCTTCTTCTTTCGCGACTGCTTGGTCCACCAAGATTGAGAAGTTGGCTGGATACGGTCTCCCCATTTTGTAAGTCATTTCCCAACAGGTGGCCCCAGACATAGCTGACTCTTCCAAGCCTATCTGAGTACGGTTGCAACACCAACACCCGCAAGTTCGAGGAAGTTGCATCTCTCTATGGCAGCGACACGTCTGCTATCTACTCTGGTGGTCTCGTCTACGAATACTCTGAGGAGGGAAGCAAGTACGGTCTCGTCACCATCTCTGGAAGCGACGTTACCGAAGGCCCGGATTTCACTGCTCTCCAGACTGCTTTGGCCGCACAAGCCAACCCCACCGGTGACGGAGGATACAACGCTACTGGTGGTGCCAGTGCTTGCCCTGCCCAGTCCGACAGCTGGGACGTCTCCGATGACTCTCTCCCAGCCATCCCACTAAAGGCCGCCGCCATGATGAAGAGCGGTGCAGGAGCTGGACCTGGTCTCACTGGTGCTGGATCCCAAAACGCAGGTGACACCTCCCCCGGTACTGCTACCGCCGGCTCTGGATCCGTCTCCGCTGTCTCAACAAGTGCTGCTTCCAGCTCATCTGGTTCATCCAAGAAGAGTGCTGCTTCTTCCCTCAGCCCCATGGACTTCCGTCCCATGGCCATCTCTGGTGTCGTATTGTTCTTCTCGTTCTTCGGCGCCATGTTGCTTTAATTCAATAATGAGCATGATGTGTATATAGTGGAGAAGCATATGATAGGCTCCATGCGGTTTGTAAAGTTGGGGCGGGGATCTTGGATAAAGTAAAGAAAGGGTCAGGGGTGGAGGAATGAGTCCTCCACCTCAACCCTTCAGCGTGTTTGCGTGCCAGCATTTCCGGTGTTTAGCTACTTTCCTTGTGTTTTCCGTTCAGAGTTGTTAATTTCTGCTGGACCACGACTTGGTCTGTCGTCGGATCGTGTGATCGGATCAGCATCGTATTCCATGCGCTGTATGGGAATCAATAGAGAATAGGATACTTACCTTTTAATGTTCATTTCTGTGCTGGCAAATATATATAACGTTGAAATCGTAGCCTTGAAAATTCTTGTCTCCCGAAACTAACTTGTAGGCCTTTCGCCGCAATCCTGGTAGTTAATTCCCTGTCCATATAAAGAGTCATTCACTCCATATCAAAGTACTTCGACACACATCGTACTCATCATGAGCCAATATACCTCTGCTTCAAGACCGAATGACATTTTAGTATTCCTATCCACGAGCAAGAGAAAGCATGCCATCTGCAATTAGAACTTGACGAGTGGAGACTTGCACCTAATTAGATGAGATTCAATTCCAACTCTGCTGTCAAGATGAATCCACGGTCAAACCTTACCGAGTTTTCTATCTTCATAACGTATATTCAATTTAATTTGTAGATATCTCTTGTCTATCCTATTTCTTTCTTTGCTTCCATCCGAACACTCCAGCCGCATCTCCTCAATATGCTCAAACGCTGTTACGAACGAAACATATGACCAAGGGACCTTAGGCCCAACGACTGAATCTCCGGACACAGTAGAACCCTTAGGAGGACTCGTGGTTTCCTTATAGTAAGTTAATTATGCAAGTAGACCTACTTACAGGTTGGTCGGCGGTCAGTACGCTACGAGACAGTTAGCTCACGTGATAGGATGGTACCCGCGGAATACGAGTACTTATGATCCAGAGCTCTATAATGCTAGTGATCCTTTTGTTGAACTACATTGGGACATTGTCGCAGGAGTCATTCTAGTCCGCCCATCTCATATACCAATACAAATGTGGGGTACTTTATAGTTCGGCGGTGGTTGACTTGATTGGCTATTTTACTGCATATTGTACCTTACTTCGTACTCCCGCGCGGGTTAGCTAATACAGATGTGAAAGTCCAGGGTATGGTAGCCAATTAAATTAGTCACCGCCTGTGTAATTGGAGTACAACGATCTTTATGATTCCTGAATTATTAGTATTAGGATTGTGGGATTAGAGTTGACGGATTCAATTTGAAATCAATGGGTTTAGAAGACACCGATCGATGGCCTCTAATCTTGTATATATTTCGTTGAACACCCTGATATCTCAGACTATCTCTTACCCGCCTCTCATTAAGTACAATAACTTGGTCAAACATGTCTTCAATCAACTTCGATAGACTAGAACGTGTTGATGTTCATTCTCATGCCATCACTCCCAAATATCGCGAGTTTCTCATCCAGACCGGCCATCAAAACCCAGATGGGATGCCTGCGATTCCCGTTAGACGAGTCTGAAAGCCCCTTTACTTGTTATGTGATTGACAGTTTTTAGGAATGGACACCAGAACAACATATCTCCTTGATGAAAGAAACTAACATCACTACCTCAATCCTCAGCATCAGCACTCCAGGTACTTATCTCCTACCTTTCAATCAGTCCCTCACGAAGGAAATATCCCGCACCACCAACATTGAGCTTTCCGAAATTTGTGCTGCCTACCCTCAGCATTTCCGCTTCTTTGCCTCTCTCCCTCTCCCATTTGTCGCAGAGTCTATAGCCGAAATCGATTATGCTCTCGATACCCTGGGTGCCGTCGGATTTTGCGTCCTCTCGAACGCCAATGGCGTCTACATGGGTGACAAAGCTCTCGACCCTATTTTCGACAGACTGAATGAACGCAAAGCTATCATTCTTATGCATCCAACATCCTGCAAAATTCTATCCCATGCCCACTGTCAAAGCGGTGCAGCCGCTTCAGACTCGGACTGCGGAACGGAAATGACGGTCGTCAACCCGCTTCAAATTCCTTCAGGTCTCCTAGAATACATGTTTGACGAAACCCGGGCAGTCGTCAATCTACTTCTCTCCGAGACCATAACTCGCTGTCCTGACATCAAATTCATCATGTCTCACGCAGGATGCGTGCTTCCTCTTGTTCTTGAGCGTGTTGCTGTTGCCATGCAGACTTTCTTCGGCGCTGGGGTGGATTCTAATGATATGAAACGGCTCCTCAGAGAGAGATTTCATTTCGATCTTGCTGGGCTGCCGTGGCCGGACATGATTCATGCTTTGTTGAGGATTGTAGGTCCGGAGAGGCTGGTATATGGGAGTGACTACTGCTGGACGCCACCGGCTTTGGTGAAGACATTGATCCAGAAGATGGACGAGGGAGCTGAAGAGATATGGAGAGAGGATACCATCAAGGAAGTTTATGCGGGGAATGCAAAGAAGCTGTTCGGGCTATAGCGCTAGGAGTTGCTATGCTATCAAGGATCTTTTCAGTTGTTTCTGAATCCGGTGAATACCTTAGGGTCAAGTCATATGTGAGAATTTACATTTAAAGACCTAAGGCAAGCTGGCTGGGGTGAATGATGTTGATTCCTAGTGACGACGCGCCTATGAACAGTGAGTTGAGTGGGAATAGTTTCAAGTTTTCCTATTTGGGACTCCAGCTGCTGCTGAAGGAGAGTGTTGGTGATGGCAGGAAGTTCAAGGGGTAAAAGTGGGTCTGGTTGAATTGTAATATATTCCTCGATTCCACCCAAGTTAGTACTCAATTAAGGAAATCAAGACATTCAACGTCTTGAGGAATCGAGCACCGGGTTTCCCGTTTCCCTCTTAATATCTCCGTAGAATACATTCCAGCCATATTCACGTTCCGTATTTGTAGGAACAGCGGGAAATTCGTTTCATCGTATGTTTATTTCCAGTCAGTTAATGATAGTTCTTGTCAATTCCAAAACGCACATTCATGTCATGCCCATGGGCCATCTGGGAGCAATAAAACCATAATTACGACGACATTGCCGCTATAGAGGAGTCGTTCTTAGGATCTGGAAGTCAAGCAAGTGACACACGTTTCAATGACATGTTGGCGAAGAACTTTTTCGTTCTGCTTTAATATGAACATCTGCAAAGTGATTGTTTGTGCTTTATAGACAGGAAGAATATGGCTTGCGAAGGCTGAAGGAGGAACAGGCGACTGCTAGAATGTGCTGTAACAGAATTCGCTTAAATTAGCGCAGTCACCCATATCTTTTAGCGACCACCCCCTGAAGACCTGCGGCTGCGTCCGTCTACACAGCCTAAAAAGGTGAAGTGCTCAAGTAAATGGTACTTCTGCTTACCTAGTTCTTGCAACCTTCGAACCTTTCTTGATATAATTTATATCAGTACTACTTTTACTCTATCTGAACACCCCCACGGTCACATCGCTAAAGTAATAACCATAGCAGTTTATAGAGCCGAGCAATTGATAGCAAGGCCAGAAAAACTCTGATTGGGAACATGTTTTCGTCATAGGTAGTGTAAATTGATAGACCCCGTGTCAGTTATTCCAGTCACAGTACTTTTTACACATCCCTATCTATCCTTGTAAATAACCACTTTACCCCGACCCGGTCGGACTAGACCTCCTCTATACTTACTTTTGTGACGCTATAGTAACGCCGATACCAGATTGCCAAACAAAGATAACAACTGAATAGTGGTTATGTAAATCTTAGTACATTGATGACAGTGCTAAATGCCGGTGCCAAGGGATATTTCAGCCGTCAAGGCTTCTGTTGACAGCTCCAAGCAAAATCTCTCGCAGCGTTTGAGTGAAATCTGTGCTTTCATCCCGATCTGTGAATGTTTTTGTGTCGATGAACTATTTCATTACGTTAGTTTGTAAACATAGTCGAAGTAGGTTATCCTTACATCTCGAACCTCGTACTTATCTTCAAGCTCGTTGTCAAGGCTTTCAAGGAACACCGCTGCATCCTTGTCATCCCCAACCTGGAGGAACTGAATTCCTATTTGTGAATCCGGGGCGAACATTTCATCCAGCTTCTTAGCTGTCCTTACCAATAGCCTTTTCAATGCTTTCTCGTCGTCTGCTTTACCATCTGTTAAGACGATGATATTGAGTGGCTTTGGTGGAGCGGTTGGCTGTTTCGCGACTTTGCGGTCGAAATGTTGTTGGTACATAATAACATGTGGACCCAGTATCTCTGCAAGTGGAGGATTCATAAATGTTCCCCCAACAGACTTCTCCAGAGTAACCTGCTTTAATAGATCAAGTACCTCTTCTCCACTTCGGATATTTTTGCGGTTCAACTTAGTGCTGATAAGGAAGTGAACATCAAGACCATCCGAATCATACATGGTTGCAATGTTTGCAATGTACTGCAGAGCTCGGGTAAGAACGTCCCATCGGCTTTTGGTCTGGGGGGTGTATGTCTCTTTCGAGTTGGCTGCTAGTTGCATTGACCCAGTATCGTCGACAACGAAGACGGTATCAAATTGACTCAACTGACTGAAACCAGAATTCTCATCATTATTGGCGCTAGATTGATCCAAGCCTGGCAGGGAAAGAACACCGATATCCGAAACTGTTGGCTGTACAGACGACGTAGGTAAGGTCGGAAGCCCCAATTTCCTTTTGATCATGTTTGCGATGGTGGTTGCTGGGAGTCGTGCTTCTGTTGCGCTGGCAAACTTCACCATGTTGACGTGGTTTGCATCGATCTCGATGGGGGCGATATCTGTCTCGAATGGCAGTATTGCTGATTCTCGCGTTGTCTACAAATACATATCAGTGCCCAAGTCAATGATGGCGAGGGTAAAGGCAACAGACCACTCTCGATGGGCCATCGTTTCTCTTCTCAATGAACACCAACGTTTCAATATTTTCCTCTGTCTTTATCCGGTTATAAGCCATAGTAAGATTGGGGAGGTTCTTTGAGTTGGTTCTCATCTCGGATAGATAGCTCGAGTTCCTGTTGGTAAAGGTGCCCACGATAGATGCAACCGGGCTCATCCAATCAGCATTGTCGCTACCTTGGAATGGGGTCCCAAAAAAGGCTACCCCATGAACCATGTGTTGAATGAACTGATATTCTTCCTTGATCGCAGGTTTAGTAAAGGCCAAGACAAGAGCCTAATGCTTTTCGTCAGACTGCTCTTAAAATGATACATGTAGACCAACCTGCGCTATCGCTATACCTCCATAGCTGTGACAAATGAAAAATATCGGCCGCTGGCAACCCTTTACGATGAGTTAGATACAGTATGGCATATTTCGATCTTTACCCTGGAACATGCTTACCTCGGGACGATCTGCTCTGATGTAAGTAAGCAGAGATTCCGCAGCTCCTTGAACAGTCCTGGACTCTCCACTGTTCAGCACCTTTGCGTCGTAACCTAAGGTTGAAAATCGCCCGCGAACGCCTAAGTTGAGGCAGTGTTGGGGGAAGGAGTCTCTGGGCCACATATGACCTGTGTCGTGATACACCCAAGAAGTAAAGGCATCTCCCTCAATACCATGGACAAAGTAAGCACTACAGACGCCGGTTAGTGTGTGTCCATCCAAGGGGCATGAACTTGCGCCACCTACTCAAACTGTGGATTGTTATGTTCTGCTAATGTTATCGGACCAATGTTGGTGGCATCTATTTGGATATCGGTCATTTCATCTCCCTGCGCAGGAATGAACTTTTCTGAGTTCAGCTGCAGGGCACGCTTCTTCCAGTTGGATTTCAGTGTCACTGTTGTGCACATATGAGTTCCAGCTCCATGCTGAGTATCCTGGAGGAGGGGAAAAACTTTGGCATCAGAGTTCCTGAGCCTCGTATCAAAGAATCTCTTAACATCCACTTCCGTGGTTAAGCGGGGTAGATTTCGCACAACAACTGCTGATCGAGAAGGCATTTTAAAGTGACAGACCCTTTGAGCAGGCTGAGGCAGAAGACGGTGGGTCTTTATTTGTAAGTCTTACCAAGTGAACAGAGCCTCCTCAGTTTTTGCTGGTCACGCCTGGCTATAGCTAGAAACACTCACCTGTATAGGCGTGTTTGATACGTCCAACAGCTCAGGTGGAGGGTTCCACAACAGGATGGTGTGGCAGACCTTGAGGTCTACCCACGTATTGTTAGCCATTGGGCCCGTACAAGAGAAGCATTTGCGCCTCATGTACTGTTGCCTGCCAAGGCAAACCCTATAATGGAACGCTGACTGGGACGGCATCGAAGAAAAAAATTGGGGCTGAGGTGCTGCGGAATTGCGGCCCGGGGACGTGGGGTGTATGAGTACACGTGACCGTCGTCTTCCTCCCAACTTGGTATGAGATTGAAACTCGCTACCGGTATCTGTACGTTCTCCTCAAGGTCACTCAACTTCATCTTGCCACAAAAGTCAACCTCGACTTTACATTACCTAGGCTGAGTAGGAGAGACTACAGGCTCAAGCCAGTTGTCTCTGATGAAAGGCTTGTGACATAGCAAACATGCCAAGCTCCCTGGGTGTGCAAATGGTACTTAATGAAAGGATACCTGCATGAAGCCAGAACAGTGCAACAAGGAGCCCATATTCTACGACTGCCATTCCGAGAGAAGTGTACAGTCAAAAAACGTCATCCGCAATCCGCAATGAGCCTCTCAACGGTTTCGACGGCCACCGCTGTGGAAGAACAGGAACTCATATTGTTACCCCCCGCCTACTATCAACGTATTGCTGATTTTATTGGCATATGGTCGTTCAAAGCAGCAATCGCGTTCGGCTCACGACTTCATCGAGTTTTTACACGAAGACCAAAACATTTGCTGAAACCCGAGGTGAAGGCATATCCCATTCGACCCCTCCTCAAAAATCGGATATTCCGCCCGCGAGGATCTGAAAATAAAAGGCTACCTCTCTACCTTGATCTTCACGGAGGTGGGTGGGCGGTTGCGGATCCGGAGACAGACGACGAGTTCTGTTCGTTCCTTGCCCAAAATTTCAACTCAATCGTGGTCTCAGTGAATTATCGAAAATCACCATCTTACAAATTTCCATATGCCGTTAACGATGTGGTAGCTATTACGGACGCTGTACTGACAGATGAGTCGCTGGACATCGATAGCAGTAGGGTCGCGATGGGAGGGTTCTCCTCAGGAGGCAACCTCGCATTTGCAGCCTGTCAGAATAAACTCATCAAAGATCGAATACATGCTCTAGTTGGATTATATCCCGTATTGGATCTCGCTGAGAGCTCAGAAGATAAGCTCAGCCATCGACCGAAAGAAGCCGGAAAAGATATACTCAAGTCAAGTGTGAATTTCCTGGCGCGGGCCTATGTTCCATATGGTACCAACAGGAAGGACCCCTTACTGTCTCCAATCTATGCGCAACGAGAGGATTTACCTGCCAGTGTTTATCTAGTGGGGGCTGAATACGATATGCTCTGCCACGAAGCAAATCGAATGGCGGAGGCCCTGGCTGGCATCCAATGGGAAAGAGAGTTCGAGCAGAATGGATGGAGGCAGGGTGGAATCAAATGGGAGTGTGCAAGAGCTAAACATCATGCATTTACACATATTGCGACGAGTGGAAGCCAAGAGACGGCTAGAGTTGAATTCGTCCGCGAGTTATATAATAGGGTAGGAGTATGGCTTCAAGGAGAAGCGTGGGGATAATCCAAATCAGAATCAACTTATCTGTGCTAGTCCAATCATCGCAAAGCATTACCAATCGAGAGGGTTACACATTTATGGTACCACGATGTTTCATTAGTGCATGTAATATAGCGATTTGGTGGAGGCTGTGCTGCGACGTGGTGGTCGCCTTGCAGGACGCCTCACCATCTCACCGAGCAGGTCTTACACATGTTGACCATCTCACCGAAAAAGCTCAAAACATCTTTTAGGCAACCAAATCCGCTCTAAGATAGAAAGCAGATGCATGACTTCCATTTACTGTCGAGACGAATCAATTATGTCCATTCCATTGGTTCCTCATGCATGTCAGATCCCGGCTAGGGCAGCTAGGTTGCGGCAGAGGGTAGAGGAACCGTGGAAGATCTTCTTAATGATCGCGACTCTTCCATGGCCTTGCCTAGAAGCAGCTATCGAGCAAATACTTCAGGAGTCTGATGAAGCTTTGCAGGAAAAGCAACTTCGGGAGTGGCAGCGGCTTAAGGCGCTTGAGCTTAGAGACGTGAGCTTCGTTGTAAGTTTGCCCACCTTCGAAACTCCGCCTTTGCAGAACTACAAGGGTATATTTTTAATTCTTGTAATTAGGGCACGCTTATTGCATCTGTCGTTGTCGGGTCTATACAATGGGGATCCCTTGAGAGAGCAAACTTGTCTGTATGGGCCTGCTGGTACGGAACATTGTTACTCAGCCTCGTGTCTGTCATGTTGGCTTTTTACCTAGGCCTGCTGTTATCGAATTTTGCAATCAATCCCTCTGGCAACAAGCTGCTGCTCAAAGCGCTGCATATGCCGAAAAATACAATGAGAGCGCGATGGGCAAGCTTGTTTGCCTTGCAGGTCCCAATCATGCTTCTGAGCTACGCTCTCATTGCATACATCGTCGGCCTTGCACTCTTGATTTTTTGGCCACTGTGGAGCGAACCCTGGGGCCCGATGAGCTGGGTAAGTCCCGCTTTCTGTTTGTGTCTGCACAATATTATCACTACTTCATATCTAATCCTCAACATAGGTCGCGGTTGTTTTCGGGGTTTGTTTGATTTTTGCCACAGCCACTTTCGCTTCCGTGTGTCATTTTATATATGTCCGGAACGCAGAAGTCCTAAAGACAGAATGATGTTGAGAGAGTTTGGTCGCGTCTGAGGCTCGAAGCAGGAAATAAGGAAAGTGTTTAAGAAGTGCTGCAAAGCACATGATGACTTGATTCCAGAAGTTTATTAGAGTTTGGACTTCAAAGCTAGTGGATTGTAACCAAATGAATGCCCAAGGCGGTATACAGCTGTGGAAATGACGGTCTGGACCAGCTGCTTCCTATCTTTGCTTTGGCTCTATTCATATTATTTCAGGGGCCATGTTCTCGTTGGTTCGAGTAAGACACCGGGCTCCCGAAGCTATGGGAGATATATCCTATACCTCCCGATTTAATATTGGCTTAACCGCGTTTAGGTTCTATCTTAGAAACAAATTTGTATTGAATAGTTGTTGAAATTTTGTATTTGCGAAGTGAGGGGAGAGGAACATGTCTTAGCAGCTTGTAGCCCGCGCTTACTTCGTGCCCTTGAAAGAAGAGAGGAAGGTACTTACTACTTGGGACCCTACAAAATCACTTCACTTCCACAGGTCTCTCAACCTCCTCCCTGCGACAATACTCACACTGCACCGCGCGACTCTTCCGCACAACACTAACCAATTTATCGACCTCCTTTGCCCTGCCAGGCTCCTCCCATGGACGCTCGGCAGTCACGACACAGGTGGCGCGCGTGGGGAAGTCGTCGCGGAAGGTGATGGGCGTGTTGGTTAGGGCGTTCCAGCGGCAGTCCCAGATACCGATGTAGCGGGGGAGGGGCAGGAGGGGCATTTTTCGTGGATTGTGCGACACATTGGGTTGGGTTTGTGTGTGTCTGGTTTGGTGGTGTGTGGTATTCTTTTGGTGTGGTGTAGTGGAGTGGATATAACGTGATATAAGGAGAGGGGCAGACGCCCTAGGGTGGGAAGGGGGTAATAGATATGAGATGATAATACATTGTTCTAGAGAGTCTAGGAAACAGGAAAGAGTGTTTCTTTGTTGTTGTGTTGGAAGCTGAAAGGTTGTAGACAAGGGAGATAGATATACATATGTACGTGCTTGCTTGCGTGAGAAAGAAAAAACAAAGGGAACAGAAAAAGCGAAGACACTTGTCTTGCAGGCTGTTTTGCAGTATAAGACTTTGTGTTAGTGGGTATTGTTAAAGTCTGGAGAACTCTTATTTTCGAGATAGTGTAGTGAAAAATAGGGAGAAGATGTATACCAAGGGACATGCAAACAGTTTTAGCTATGCTTCAAAAGCCTCGACTATATGATATGATAGGTAAGGAAGTGAGGATTGAACTAGGAGAAATATAAAAGTCACTAATCCCTAAGAGAATAGGTAGTCAGTTTACATAAGAAGGTAGAATGCAATGAGGTTCAAAGAAGCGTCCTAGCATATTCCAGGCCAAGCAATACATTAGCCAATAAGCAATACGCAAGTAAAGTACTTATTTTCCTTCTCAGCTTTCTCTTTCATCCTTAGAGATAAAACTACATCGTTTATTACAAGATACTGTAATGTAAAATAAAGTACTCCGCACTTTTTTTATCTTCTTTATTTAAGAACCCCCGCATTTACTACCGGTATAACTAGCACGGTCCCACAAATGCGCCGACGGGCAATGCGAAATGCAACAAAAGAAAATAAACAACGCTCCCTTTCTTAATCCGCGGTAGGACGCTTCTCACGGGTATAAATGACATAGGGGTGGATCGGCTAATAAACTACACGACAAACAAATATAGAACTACACATTATGATTTTCTGTCGTTTACGTGGCTGGCAGAGAGAAATAAAATGAAATAAATACCGTGGTATTGTTATATCATAATATTAATCAGCTAGTCATACATACATACATACATACATACATACATATAAGCTTTCTCATCGGCCAGCCGGTGAAATGTGTGAGTCAAAACAGCTATAGAATCGCGACATCACACACCTCTGTATGCAAGCACTTTGTCTCGGCCGTTCCGCCAAGAAGGAGAAGAAATCAAAAAACGTTGGTAGATTTATGAAAGTAGAGATCAAAAAGTGAAAAATTAGAAAATAGAATAAACGGACCGATAGACGCGCGTAACTTACCATGCTAAGAACTTAACGTATTGGAAGGATTCAAGTGTTCGCGCTTAGTACCAGTGCTCACGTGTTTTGATACTTATATACTTCGTACTTCGTACTTGTCTGAATGGTGCTTACTATATTGATAAATGCACTGACCAGGTAGATTTGTTTATTGGGAAGGGGAAATGAAAGAGGAAAAGGAAAATGCGCTGAAAGTCCAAGTCTGATGGGAAGCTTGGACGGGATGGGCTATACTATACGGATACGCTACCGAGACGGAAGAATCCTTCCTCGATTTGTGTGGTTGAAGGAACCGCGACCACACCACCGTGGGTGTGGTGTGTGTGTATCTTGATCAGGAAGGAGGGGGATTCAGATTTTGCATAAAAGTGTTGTCTTTCCCTCCTTTTTCTCGTAAACATAATATGAATACCTATCTATTTCCCTATGTGTATATCTGCATACATGCCTCGTAGTAACTCATCCTCATCCTCCCCAACTTAAGCGATACGATTAATTACCCAAATCGTCGGGCTGACCATTGATTGCCGCCATCGTGGCAACTCAAGGCGATGCCGATCTTACCAACCCCCTGTACCTGTCACCCTTGTGTACACATCCTTCTAGCGCGCCTTCTAGAACACTTCCTCTCCCGTCCGGAATCGAACATCGTAACGTGATTGGACTAGCCAAATTTCCGGATCGATCGATTGGTTTACGGCAATTGTGCAGCGGAATGCGCGCGCGTGTGAGAGAGATTTGCCAAATTGCAGCAGCATGCGGGAAGCATTCTTGGGAATGAAGGGGTGGGGTGGGGGGCTGGGACGGGTTGTCATTGGCTGGGAATAATCAGTATTCCCGTCCCAGGGAAAATAGGGTTTGGCCCAATTCAGGCAGCGCTGGGCCTATCCAATACGGTCGTTCAGCTATCTCTACGCGTGTGGCTAGAAAAGAGCGCTGGGCGCGGGTGGAAAGAATTCCGAGGATTGGGTAGATGATAGATAGGTAGGATGACTTTATTAAATTACGATAAGAGAGAGAGGAAGAAAGTACTCGGTACGGTGTAAAAATGAGAGAGAGAGAGAGAGTGTGAGAGAGTGTGAGAGAGAAACAAAGTTCTGCAGCGAAACTCATGATGCACAACGGCCATGTCAAGTCCCAGTCCCGTGTCTCTGTGCCAAAGCTCGATTTACGCAGAAAGTGCCCGTGAGTCTGCGTCACTTGATGAACGAGACAACAGGGGTGGAGCTAATCTCCAGCCAATCATCGTCTCGGTTTCCTGCACAAAAGATATCCACAATGCACATGCACCCACGCTTTCCCGAAAACAGGGGCGCATAACTCTGGTGGCTTGGAAGTTCCCTTGAACCCATTCCCTGGGCGAGCACTAGTGGCAAAATCTCCGCACGGTGATTCGATGATCGCTCCCTGCCGCTCGGAGTGAACTCGGAGTAGATAGTCTGCCCGGAGGTAGGCTGTGCGCTAGGCTGTCTCGGTGCTGGTATGGAATCGCCATGGTGCAGGTGCAGGAGTAGTAGTAGGAGCAGGCTTGCGAGAGCCAGATATTGGTCCATGATCACCCATCCATTATTCGCCTTCACTTCACCACACGGCTCAACTTTCTCTTCCACAAACAAACTAAATGACATGGCACTCAGTCGCGCCCTCAACAGACCTCACCTTCGAACTAGAATACTATCGGCACGATACAAATAGGTAGCGCGCGCCCTTATCCGCAAACTCCATCTCGATAATATATACTCGCGCCGTTTATACAATACACTCGTTTCCAAAGGCCGCCACAAGACACTCGCTTCAACTTGGATTCGATTCTCTTGGCATCATCTACTACTCACCCATCCACTTCCCGCGTATACACGGCACGCTCTTCACATCTGCATTCAGCTACGGCGTTTGGACTGAATGGCTTTGTTATAATCGCGCCTTTTCCCCTCGTTCGATTCTGGAAACTATAAATCATACCACGATCAATCACCATGTTCGAAAACTTCACATTCGGCGCCCAGGCGCAAACAAAATACGAGGGAGATATACCTGCCTCACCGACCGATACATCATTCTCTTCTCCAGTCGAGGCCCCTCCACAATATTTCTCTCCATTTGATTCCTGGGAATCAGGTCCTCAACAGCAAGGACTGAACGATATCGTACACCAATTCAGCAACCACTCTCTCACGTTCGAAAGTGAAGAACCACAACGGTCAATATGGCACGAAACACGACTTTCCAGTCCAGATTGCAACATGGATCCCTTCACGGAAGAAGAGTTAACCTACGTCTCAACAACTCGCGGCATGACGAAAGTTCAGCACAAGACGCATTCTTCTGCGCCTGACACACCTCTCATGCCATCTCCCAACAATGGTTCAGTGGGCTGCAGACGCTTGCAAAGACAGCTGAACGTTCAATTACAAAGTTGTTCGAATCATATGCGGGACATTAATACATTGGTCGAGGACATGATTACTAGCAACTCGCAATGCAACTTGCACAAATCTGCATCAAGACAATACCTCTCGAGTCCTCCACCTAGCATACACGGCGAGGAAGAAGATTTGGAGGTAGATTTACTGGACTACGAATCACGCCACATAAGCGTAGACGAAGACGAGGGATTTGGAGATTACGAGGAACCGTCGTTTATGAAAGACGATCTTTCGCTCAGGAGAGCCAGCACACCCACTGGAATCAGGAAATACGGCGGGTTGAGATATAGATCCAGCTCGGAATCTGTAGGAGCTAATGGGATGACGTTGAACGGGAGGATGAAAGTCAGAAGTCTTCCTAGGATGAGGAAACGGAACAAGGTTGTCAGAGTACCGGAATGATTTCTTACTTAATCTCGGGATGGAGTCATGATACCATGGGATATGGGGGAAATGGCGTTATTCAGAGATATGCAAGCAATTGCAATTTGGTGTTTGGAATGGGCCGGGTTATGCATCGACTTGCATGAATGGTTGTATGAATCGGACGAGGCATATATATACGTGATGAATTCAACGCGGGCTCTCACTTTGATGAACTGGAGCGACGCTGTAAAAGACCATCTTCAGCTGGCAGGTGTAGCAGAAAGACAGGAATGTCCTGCAACGAAACACCGTACGATATTTACATATTTACATATCTGCATGCATACAATATATCATAGTATATCATCACGCTATGATTCAAAGCTATTTGTGTACTCTCTCAACTTTATCATTCAGCCCAAAGTCGTGATCAGCCAATTCTACGTGGACTATACCTCGCTGAATAGAGATGGAAGAAAACAGGTTTAGGATAACTCATCAAAACTCATGGCTCTCGTCACTATCATATGGTATTGCGTGGGATGGAATGAAGCTGGCTGGTCACGGGCCTCGACAAATGTGACCCTAAGCTCACTTCACCAACGATTTAGCTTGCTAATTCCTCGCCACCTTCCGACGTAGTACAAAGCGCTCTAGATAATGGCAACAAAGCCATCCATTCGAGCATATTTTTCAAAGTGTCACAACAGTGGCCAAGTGATCAGCTTCAGCCAAGCCATGTGCTAATCTAAGAGGAGCTAGGCGAGATGGGTAAACAAGACACTTGTTATGAGCTGATGACCTGCATCGTATCGTGCCTTCATTTTGAGTATTGAATCGTTTACATTCAATTGTCCCTGCCTCTTTATTAGTTGTCGGTAGCATTGCATCTCGACCTTGAAAAAGCGTTGCCTCCATTTCTTCGCACTCCCCTTTCACCTAGAAAATATCTTACGAGCATAACCTACTGACTATTGACCTATCAAGATGCCGAGCAAAGGTATTCAATGCTATTCGTATATAGGCGTGGCAGGGTGTCAAATTGAATTCTGCGTCCCTGGAAATACTGTCTCGAAGAATGAACTTCATACATTCGGCAATGACCACTTGGAAATCGACAAGAAATTCATCAAAGGACCCTTCAACTTCACTGGCGCTTTCTCCTTTAAGGTTATCCAGAATGGCAACCAACTTGTGTCCGAAAGTATTGAAGTCAACGTCGTGACGGGAAACCTGGAAGGAGGAAATCTAAAGTCCATGGCGAACCAAACCTCAATCATCACAAATGAGGCGATTGTCACTTATGGCTTCTACGATGCGGGAACAGGCGTTGCAGACCTTCCAGACCGAGATCAGGTTTGGGTTACTGTTACCCCAAATCACTCAACGTGGATGGGACGGCTAGCACCACCAGCATCTCCTCAAGCATCCAAGCCCTTCTCCAAACTCTTCCTTCCAGCAGCACATGACATTGGCATGAACACCATGCAATCGGCAGACGCACTTCTCCAAGGCAGCTGCCTCGTTGATGTCCTAACCCATGTCGACCCCGTGTTTGCAAAAATCGCAGACATGATGACCCACGATGCTATTCTAGCAATCGCCCCCAACATCATCCGTGGGCTCGCCATCACGCAGAAGGATAGCCTCGCAGCCATTCTAAGCATTGGCGCGAGGTATTTCGAGTTCCGTCCCGCATACCTGCACAGTGCCATCCGTCCAGACCACCCAATCCCCGACGAGCTATATTTCTCGCACTCTGCCATTCCCGGGATGCAATACGATGAGTTCCTGCACGACACCGTCGAGTTCTTGATGCAAAACCCGGAAGAGATCGTCGTCGTACAGCTACGCTGGGATGGTGTACCCGCAGAGTGTGCAAGACCCACAGACGAAGACCTGGCAAACTACCTCAATACCGCGCTCTCGCCCTCAAACGGTTCCATTGTAGCAGGGTCTCTAGACGACATTCTACACTGCACCATCGCTGAGCTCCGAGACCAGCACAAGCGTCTCATCATCTTTGTAAACAGCGACTCTTTCTCTACGTACACAGACGCCGGAAATGCAACGCTGAATGGCGACACCATCATCGCGGAATTCAACAGTTTGAGCCCGGAGAAACAAGCCGGAAAGCCATTTACAAACCTGCAATGCCAGGCCACAGCTACGAATATTCCCAAAGTTGTGGCATACAGCGTCCTGGCCGCAAATGCTAGCAGTAGCTGTCTACTTGCAACGAAGCCAATGTGTGATAGCAAGACGTTGCCATGGATCCAACAGAATGCTGGACGGCTGGATCCGAATCAGTTGGTGGTGGTTATGAATGACTTTCTTGATGGCGCGACGGCTGATGTCTGTATTGAGTGGAGTAGGAAGAGATTGGAATAGACTGCGGATACTGGCTCTACTGTATGTAATCTTACATACATGTCGCATAAAGATTGGAAGCCGAAGCCCAAACTCGGACTTATTAGATTGGTTTTATGAATCCAGCTGTTCCAATTTTGTCACTTCATTGTATTGGAAAGTGGGCTCGATCGATCGGCTTACCTTGAACATTAACAAAGGTCAGCCAGATATAGAGCTTCTAACAACTGTATCGGGGTAGGTTTTAATCATCCATCGGGCTTTTTCCAAATCTCGAGGATCGATTCGTTTCACGTTGTCTTTTCATTCTGGAGTCCGGATGGAGTACGCACCCGTTTCAAGCGGCGGATTGTAAGATCTTACTATATGAGCTTATCATCTATCAACATCTAAAATCTATAGATCAATCTTCACTGTCCCCTTTTTCTTTCCCTTTTGGGGGGGGGGGGAGGCTGCTAACGCTCTCTTCTCCGTAGTAACTACATTGAACTCTCAGCAATCAAGCAAGCAAGCAGTATCCTTTTATCTATAAACATAAACTCTCACCCGTCCGTCCCTAAAGAAAATATGTCTTTGTTTTCTTGCTTCTATCTATCTTTCTCATATACTCTACTCTGCTCTGCTATGCAATTAATAATGGCTGGCAATCCTTTATCGTTTATAGTAACGCGGATTTTAAGTAGCGGTGGATCGGAGGTGAGGAAGAGAATGGCGGGGTAGAACAAGAAGTCCCATTTGCAGAAGAAGACGATGAAGAGATATGGGCACTTGACGAAGCAGCCAGTCCGGGTACAGAAAATGAAGATCCAGCCGAATCTCCATCTCCCAAAGAATCAAAAGCCATCGCAGATATTTTCCTCGATAATCATCCACGGCCAGCGAGACCGGTTGCTGGAGCTCGAGCACAATCGCCATGTGCAGTCATCATTCCCCAACGCAGACCCAAGGATAAAAAGCGCGGCTTCGTCAGGACATATGCGTCTGTCCTAGCGGATTGTGGAATCGATCAAACCGCCTTTCTGGATTCCCTAAAGTCGTTCCAAACGGCCAGTAAAGAGGATCCGTGGCTGCACGTTGTCAATATCACCGCTATGGCTGTTTCGACCGCTGTGCAAGTCGCGGTTGGGGTTGCGATGGAAGTTCAGAGACGGACTAGGTTCGTTCGTTCCTTCTCGGGTTTTGAGAATGCTTCATTGCTGATATTGTGGCTTATTCTCGCAGAGCAAACCCATTCTTGGACCGCATGAATGACGATTCCTTCGATCCTCGTGGTCTGTACTGCCTGATCATGACATATAAACCTGAATCAAGCGACAGCCATGGCTCGGTCAACATACGGAAGACAAAATGTGCTACAAGAGACTCGGAGGAGGAAGAGGAAGAGACACTGGTGGACGAGATAGTGGTGGATTCGTGAAGAAAATCATCCAGAAGGTGAGAAGACTATCGACTCTCCAAGATACTACTGCTTGAGTACTAACTTGAAATAGGATGTTCTTTACATGATGATTGTCAACCTGCCATCAGAGGAGGAAATGCAAGCTGGGGTGCAAGCTGTTGCAAACAAATTGTCACGATAGAACAGGAAAGACGCTTCAAAAAATACCAGCTCAACTGGATATTTAGTCATGGCCATGACTCTATGAAGTGAAGATACGAGTACAAATTTTGTCTAAATCCAAATGAGAGAAAAAAGACATGCGAACCCCATCCTCACTCAAAATCTAATCTAACCCTAACCGACTTCGACATTTAAGAAGACGTAGCCGTGGCGTTCGTAGGCGCAGTACCATTGCCACCTCCAACGCTATCTCCAGTCGAGTGTCCACCATCTGCTTGGAGAACAGCCGCAACGGCATAATAAGATGAACTAGACTGGTCGGCAGTGACGTTGATACCGATTTGAATCCAAGCAAGAAGACCATCAGTGATATCATCACCAAGATACAGGTATTCTGGGTATGGATCGTAATCATTATCAGCTTGTACGATGGACCACATATCATCAGCGTTGGAGGTGACCGATTGGGTGTTTGTGTTGTACGGGTAAGTGGCTTCGACTGCGCTACGGAGCTCCTCGTTCCAGAACAGCTGTCCGATGTGCGAGACTTCCCCACCTTGGATGGTACCATTCGCCAGTACAGTCACGTTTGAATGCGATAGTAGATGGGTGTGGGTAGCACGGTCATCGTAGTGACCTGGGAAGATGGTCTCGAAGGAAGCTACTCCGTCGGAATCACTGACTTGGATACCACGCAGGAACGTCGTGTCCCAGCTGTCCTCATTGCCAGTCGCGACGATGCCAGAGTATACCCCGGTCGAGTTGCAGTTCCAGATGTCGACATAGACATCCTCTACGGGTAGACAGGTGTTGATATCGAGATATTGTATCTCGAGGTATAGCGGGACACCGGCTTGGCCTTCGGTGACATTTTTGCGGATCGACTCGCCCGTGACGTAGTATGGACCGTCCGTGACTTCGGGTGTCAGGATGCAGGAGGTGTTGGCGGAGAAGATGGTGGTTTCCGGCGTGGCGATTGAGTAATTAAGAGCAGTCTCATTGTGATTGATTGCCTCGTAAACCTCCAAGGTTGCAAGATCACGACGGTACTTCTTTGGCTCTGCGTGCACTGTCAGCAATTGTTGGAATTTGTATTGTTGATTCAGACCCACTGGACTTGATGTTGCGCTTCTGGCGAATCTCTCGTGCGATGTTGGCTCTGCGGGCAACTGATCGAGCATTTACCTCTCGGTGCTTAAGCGAGCCGGAGCAAGAGTCGATGGATCTTTTGGCTGCCGAAGCCATCTGGTTTCGAGCCGCAACCTCACGTCTGACAACATGGGCGTCATGGTGCTCGCCAGGGTGAGCGAGAACACTACTGGCAAAGCAGGCGGCTGCGACTGCGATCTTGGAAAGATAGACCATGATTGCTAGGTGAGTAACGACGGAGAAATATGGCTGAATAGGCTAGGAAATGGGATATTGACAGGAAAGAGGGCTGAAGAGGATGAGAATGAGGATGAGGATAAAGAACTGTTCCTCAGAAATCAACCGTCATTTATACATTTCATGTCTCTCCCAACTTGAAAGCAGACAGAGCCCTTCTCCACAGCAAGGAGGCTTTGGACGAAGACTTCGTCAGCATTGCCAGCACAAATTGCGTAGTTTCGAACACCTTCACCTTCATTGGTCTATCCACCATTAGAGACAATTGAAGCCCACTTCTTCATGCAGCCTTGGCAGAGAAACAAACAGAGGCTAATGGATCTGTGGGGAGATGCAGGGAAGACCTCCAAGGCAAATGCTATTTTGAAGCTACTTGGAAGTATATCTCGGCAGGTACAACTGCATTGACCAGTGGGAAGCCGCCCTGATACGCTGACCAGATCCCTCCCCTGTACTAGACGCGGGACCTTGTCCCTTCTCCACCATGGCTGGATTTCGGAAAGCCAAGACGTCTGACGCGGCAACTTCAACGGTTCATGCAGAGCTCGAGGCTGGGTTGGGTTGAGTAGGGCAGGGCAAATTGGCGTCGTACGCAATGACTAGAAGGCTTGATTATCTACTTGACATTAGTCTCTTGACTCGTCAGCATGGGATTCTTCTGTGTTGTACGTCGTACTAACATCGGTATGTGGAGAAAAGATGCGGTTGTGAAGAACATCTGGACTCACATCGACGACGCGTCAAGTCTTGGCATACTTGGCGGTTTCAAATAGCCACGTGATCAGTCCCACCTTTCCCCCTTTTCTGCTCCTCGCCTCGACAAGATGCAAGAGTGGACAAGGAGATCAGAAGAAAGAGAACATTAATCCCGTCAATTTCTAAGATGGCAATTGATGCCACCATTTAATATTGCGAGAAGAGATAAAGAATAATAAGAAGAAGAAGAAAAGTCCGGTTATGGCACTGGATTCTTTGTCAACAAGAACTCTTGCCAGTCACTTCTCACTTTCAAGGTAAAAATCGAATCGAATGCCGGAAAAAGAGATAAAGGAAAGCTACAACAAAGGTAATCCAGCATAAGGGACACCAGATTCTGGCAAAGATAAGTTATCCTCCACAATCACCCTTAACTAACTGCCTCCAAATCACCAAAGAACGCAAGAGAAGAAAATAACATAAATCAACATGGACGCCTTTCTAGATGCCTTCACCTATTACAACTTCAACCGCCTAACAGACATCCGCTGGAACCCGCTCCCATATGTCTCCTCCCCAGCAGCAAATCTCTTCCTCACACCCGCCCAATCGTCCCCAACTGTAGCATTCCCCCTCATAGCCAGCATCCTCGCCATCTGCCTCCTCGCCATCCAAACCACCAACGCCAACCTCCCTGCAGACACCGTACTCGCAGCACATTCATTCACATTCCTTGCCACCATCTTCTGCACGCAAGTCCCCGCCTCCCTCGCGCTGGGAATCCTGAGCAAATCGCTCTTGATCTTTTTCGTGGCCAGGGCGGTGCCTAGGGTGTTTGCATCGGTAAGGTTTCTGAGGCAGCTGGTGAGGGCAGTAGTCGAGATAGGTATTCTTGCCTGGTTTGCGTGGGTGGTGTGGGCGCTCTGGGATGGAGAGGTAAGCCGGACTGTCGACAGGAAGCTCAAGGCGGTTGGTTATACTTGGTAGGGTGGAGAGGGTTCCGAGGAGTTGATCGATTAGCAGATGGATAATATGGGATCGATTGGGAAGATGTAATAAGTTAATAAAGACAGAAGTAGCAGTGAGTCATATAAATCTATACTACATTACAAATTGCAAAAAAGAAACCCCCAAAAAGAGATATTCAGCCTAGGACACCCCGAACATGAATATGCCGATAATGAATAAGGACAGGAACCTAGACCAGTACACCATTCATCACATTTGGATTCTTTTTTGCAAACCTTTTATCTACCTTTACATATCCCTCTACCTATAATCGGCCCGGCGGAAGTAAAGGATGCTTACTTGCTGAAATTGAGATAACAAAGAGGTCTGAATAATCCCAAGTCAGAAACCACTATGAAAAATAATAATCGTTTAATCGATCAATCTTCAATCATTCATTCATTCAGCAGCAAACTCAAATCTCTTACCCTATCCCAGCCATCAACCACACCATCACAATGCCACCAGAACCCCTCCCCTCCATCCCCATCCCCATCCCCCTAATCCCCTCATCCTCCTCATCCTCCTCCTCCTTTCCCTAGCCTCCACCCAACTATCCTTCCAAGCCATCGCCCTCACCCACCTAATCGTCTACCTCCTCTGGACCACCTCATAATATCCAGCAGCGACACCTTCTTCATCCTCCTCATCCCCAGCATCCCCAGCTCCATCTGCATCTGCTTCACGTTCAAGCTAGCCGGCCGTGTGCTTCTAGGCATCTAGCATGCATCGATCGCCGTCGGTCGTGTGGGGTTGAAAGTGCGGGGTATACTCGTACGCACGCTGCACTTTCATTTCCGGTTCTGGGGCGCGAGGACGCGCAGTACGGAACGAAAGCCAGGGGCAGGGGCGCATGTCGAAGTGAAGGGTGTTGGAGCGGGAGTGAATCCGGTTTATAATGGGAAGAGGAATGCTCAGGCCCCTGCCATGGCCAGATACCCCAAAAGAGACCGGAAGAGAGCTAGGAAATAAAGCGAGGGAGGATGGCGAAGGGTCCTGAGATATAGGGTGTATATAGTGGCACAATTATACCGCTTATATATAGATTTTTCGGTTTCTATTATAATTCTCTGCGACGCTGAATTTAATAATAGTAAGTATCGCGTTTATAGCAAGCTCGATTATCTCTAAGTGGCGTGCTTCCTTTGTGGGTGTGAACATACATACAAATGTATTTGCCTCCCAGAAGAGAGTGCAGTCTTAGTGACTCGGAGAGTTGCAGGTGCGGTTTTAGTCGTTTGACGATATCTCACTAGCAAACACCCTAGTATGCAACGCCCGATCAATCATCAGCATCGCCCCACCACGCTTTAAGATCATCTCTCCTCCATCTAGTTTTCCAACCTAGATCTCTTTCGATGCGTTCGTATATTTTCAGTATGGCGCGATGCTCGCTCCGATGGCTCATGAGTTTGCCTGCGATCCAGATCGGTTGAATGGAGTTAGTCCAGGCCCCGCTGTTTATTATTAGATTAGTCTTTGCTTTGAGGCTAGAACGTGTAGAGAGAGCTATCTTACTGATGGGTGTTGGATTCTGAGATGGCGCAGATCTGGCGGGCGTGCCAGAATATAGATTTCTATTTCATTGATGATTAATATGAACGTTTGAAAACTTGGAGAGGGCATAGAAGATGCGGTGCAAGTTCGGGGAAATAGGGGATGCCTACCTGTTTCCTTTGCACTGTCAAGCCAGCAGGCTTTTCTTGCAACATGAGCAAAGTGGCTGTATGATACATTTGGTTCCCGGAAACTATTCATGTTAGCCCAAGCATCAGTGGGCAAGACTTGATTTATTTTTATACTTGCAGAGCCATGGCCATATAACACAGTTGGAAATGGCGAGTCATCTTTCTCTTCACCAGGTGGAATCGAGATGATAGGTTTCATCTCCTCGGGCCTCCCTTCGTACCAGTCATCCAAATGACACACTAGCTCGTTCCAGCGATAGCACCAATCCTTGCCGGTAAGTCTGCTTTTTTCTCGGTCTTTGTAGTCTTTAAGGTACGCGGTGCAATATCCTAGCAGGAAAACTGCGTAGGCAGCATAGGTATCAAAATCCCTAGAGCTGTTACGGAAGAGCTTGATATCGGAGTCGAGGTCCAAATTGGAAGCCCAGCGCTCGACCGGGATGAGAGTCACGTCTTGGGAGATCAGAGCACCGCATACGTCTGCTTCTAGTCAGCGGAAGGTTTTGGCATAACGGTATATAGACCTTACCCATTCGAATGAAGCACCAAAACAGGGCCTCTTCTACCCCTCCGACGAATCCGTTGATACCCACCGCCTCCAAAAGATTCGCACAGCCTTCAAGGTGGCGCCTCCACTCTTTTGGCGAACCTAGAATGATCAGCAATTAAGGGGAAGATGCGCAATGCCCCTTCAAGACTCACAGCTCATCATTTCCAACACGCATAAGATCACGCAAGAAGCAATGACTGCTGTGTTTTTCGTCTGCAATTCTGGAAGCAGGAGGTGAATAGCTTCTTGATACAAGCCAAGACTCTCCGAAAGCGACTTCGAATTGTGTTTTTGTTCAATCTGCCTTGCACATACTGCAAGTATTGACTTCCTCAGGTGTGCTGAATGCTTTGCCATGATTGGAATCTTTTGCTCAAAGTGACGTTTGTTATCAAATTTATCGAGCTGATGCATGTTAGTGGTGATGATAGTTCCAAGCAAGGGAAGTAAACTTACCCATGGTGCCACTTCATCAATCCAAGTTTTCCACAAAACGTATTCTCTGTGAGGTGAAATCTCGGGTGCCTTTGATGATTGAACCGACTCGGGATCAGATTCTATTCTGGAGTCGGGGGCATCTGCATTGAGTCGAAAATCGGACCTCCCCAGGGGAACAGGAACATGATCTTGTTCTGGCGTTCCCAGTCGTGTTGGCGCATTTGAGCGAGCAGTTGAGATGAGATGATTTCGAAGTGTTGAGTGGAGCTCTTGATAAGCAGAGCCTGGCAAGAAAATTCCATCCCTTTCACCAAACATGGAAGATCTGAGAGAAACGTCATCTTGATAGTTCATTTGGGTTACAGAGATTGGTTGTTCAAGATGGACTTCTTCCATGGGGGTGTCATTTTCATGCACATAGCTTGATGAGTGATCTGTAGCTGTATGTGAAGACAAATATCTCAGTGTTAACAAGTCAGCCGCAGCGTTTTCAGCCAAAGCCGCAGACGTCGAAGACGATATTCTTGCCAGCGAATTGCCATCTGAGGCCGATTGTGGTGTGAAAGCCAGTCCATCGTTGAAGGAGGTTTGAGGCGAAGCAACAGTCCTTGGGCTATTGTCCATCTGTGGTGTGTAGCCATCGCTCATTTGATACGAAAATCTTCGGGACTGAGAAGGCACCACTGAATCCGGTGTATGATTGAATGGTGATGATTGCGCATCAAGACCAGTAGCTGCGCCGGCTGAGGAAACCCCCGAAGCATATCCTCGCTCAATCTGAGAGGTGACATTGTGAATCTGCGAGCGTTTAATACTAAGTCCACACCTATCAAAGCGATCAAGGAGTATCAGAAGGTAAATATAAATAAAAATATACCTCGAAGCGTTTCGGTCGTCTTCTCGACCCCTCAAGCATAGACGGATGCTCCTCCCCTAACGACTCGGCATTTCCGTCCTTGTACACGAGCTTCACACCCCACTCGCACGACTCTTCTCGAACCTTGCAATTACTGCATTCGGGCTTTCTCTCATCGCCTGCAATCTATGTCAGGTGCATGCTCATGTATGATGACTGATGGTAGGTACATTTTCTTCTCCGCCGTCGACAATTGCGGCAGCCTGTGCGTGTACGAGTCCTGGCCTTCTTCGCTGATGGTCCCGAGCTCAGCTCTTCCCCGGAGTCAATGCCGTGGCGCTCCATACTGCAGGTAGCCAATATTGAATGGCCATTTCAGATTACAGGGGATTATTATTGGAGTTGATGGCAGGAGAGGGCTCAGAGGAGGGACAAAGTTCCAATTGGGAATGCAATCCCAACTTAGCAACTTGGGATGGATGGCTGAGTACTAGTGAGTAGGTAGTGAGTGGAAGTGGGTCTAGTACGTCTGCCAAGGAGAAATAGCCACGCGAGGTTCCCAAATAGGGAAGAGTAGCCACTCCACTGTCCCAAGAACAAGGTCTTCCCCGGTATTTCTTAGTCAGCTGACATAAAAATTCTTCACTTCTATAGCGTAGACACTTCACCTTCCACACAACAGACACAGAATACAGACTATATTGTTTAATAATTATATGGCATATTTCATATCACATGACCTATTCTCTGGGTAAGCTGAGCTTTTACTCTCTTGTGATCTGAAGTGAGTATGAAGATGAGCAACGAATGTGTTAAAATAGCTGCCCGAGTGTGTGTTCAGCACTCAAGTCATTTTTTTTTGTTAATCTTATACCCTTGAAATATACAGATAAACTATCACCTCATATTTACACCCAGCCCCAACCCCAAGCCTAGCAAAATCAATTCCCACAATGCCCTTCTCAGTCGACATGCTTGACTTCTTGCTTCTCAGCAAAAGTGGTGACAAGATCGCTCTGTGAAACTTCCGAATCATCCATTGATGACTTCCAGTGTAGCAAGACCTTGTCACCAGTAAACAGTTTATCGATCTGCTCTAGCGACAGATTCTGAGTCTCGGGATAGCAAAAGTAGATAAGTGGGAGAAAGCAGGCGTTGAAAACTGGCGCTGTGTTAGTGAAGGCTAACTTTAATTGAGAATATAACATCTTACTAGCAAAGTAGATGTAAGTCCTCCACTCAATACTTTTGATACTAACTGGCGTGATCTCAACCACCAGAAAAGTGAAGATCCAGTTCGAGGCGGATGCGAGAGAAGCTGCGGGGGTCCTGATCGCGAGGGGCGCATATTCGGCGGGCACTTTGTTTGTTAGCGGGCACAAGATGTATCGACGTTCAGGCAGAAGACTCACGTAGCCATGGAATTGCGAGAAGACCGACTGCGAAGAAGAAATTGAACAGAAACAGCATCACAGTTGCGACGTAACCTGCTGATGTGCCGCCATTGGCAACGGTTCCGGCCAAGATCGCCATGCAAACACACTGGCCGGCTGCAGCGAATAGCATGAGCTTTCGGCGGCCGAGCCTAAGATACCGTCAATCAACTAGTTCAGAGGATAAGAGGACATGTTTATTTACCTATCAATGATCCAGATTGGGATCAAGGACGACAGGAAATACGCCACTCCATTGAAACCAGAAAGCAATAGCGACAAGCTATGGGACAGGCCGACAGACTCCTCGAAAATCACAGGAGCATACTGTGATGAATTAGTAAATGTAAACTCGCTACATTACTTTGGTGGAAATTTTTCTCACGTATGTTATCAGATTGATACCAGAAAGCTGTTGCATGAACTGCCCACCGATACCCAGAAGTGTTCTGTGCAGGAATCTCTGAGGCCCATTCTTGAATAGAGCCAACCGTCCTCCAGTTCCAGCCGCAGCTTCATTTTCCTCGTAAATAGCATGTTGGATTTCTGCCATATCTTTGTCAATTGCTGGGTCCGTGGGCTCAATCACTGCTGCATTCAGCTCTAATGCCCAGAGGATATGTCTCGCTTCTTCGTGTTTGTCGTGGGCAATGAGCCAGCGGGGAGATTCGGGAAGGACAAGGATGCCCATGACGGTCAGAACAGCGAAAAGGATTTGTAAAGCCAGTGGGAATCTGAACTGAGCTTCGCTGGTAACATAACTCATTCCGTAATCTGCAAGAGTTAGCTGATTTTCTTACTCTAAGACTGGAGTCTTAAAACTTACCAACCCAGTAAGCAGTCATTACGCCACTAAGACAGTCAGCAACCTGTATATGAATTTTGTTGTTGAAAGAGGGAGGGGAGCTCACAAAATATTAATAGCAAGTTCAACAGCCAGACCCTTGCCCCGTTTGTGAGCCTTCATGAGTTCTGCATGCCAAACCGGAATGGTACTCGTGTTCATTCCGTTCCCAAACCCGGCGACGATACGACCAACAATAAGTTGGGGGATGGAATAAGCACTAGCTTGTAAAGCTGCCCCGATGGAAAGAATAAAACTTCCGATCAAGATGGATTTCCTTCGTCCCAGTCGTTCGCCAAACATGAAACATAAGATGGCTCCGAAGAAGCAGCCCTATGGAAGGTTAGTATATCGAACCAGTTAAAATTTTCATTGCCGGATATCTGGTGCGTACAATCTCGTAAATGGCAACTCTAGATGGTCATGTTAGCAAAATAATTACAATTGGATTCTGGAATACCCACACTGTGCCTTGCAACGAGGAACTCCCAGTCCCCGAATCTGTCGTATCAATCTCAGGGAACTGTTTTGTAAAGGCGCTGCCAGTCAGGAGACCACTCATTACTCCTTGATCATAACCAAAGCTGTAATTTCCTATTAGCATATATAGCTCGATGCAACTGTCGGCAAGACACTTACAGCATGAATCCACAACCAGCAGTAGCAGTGATAGCCCATGATAAGGGTGCACCCGTCAGGATAGTCATGTTGGCGGGTTTCTAACGTCGACTTCGTCGTTCTTGGTTCGTCTTCAAACTAGAAATCAAATCAAACGCGAAATAAATGTCTAGAAAATCTTTTCATGTTGGGACGGAACGGATCTTATGTCTTTTCTTCATGTCATTCTGGAACTTGGTGGCTTCCAGGATCCAAGCGTGGGGCCCCGAATTCAGCACCCCATTCTACGATACTGGGGATGGTGGGGAGCATGAGGTACGAGGTGAGAGTCATGCAATGTTAATTTTGCGGGGATCGCGAGATGAGGCCGCTCCCGAGACTCCAAAAAAGGTTGCAGTAAGCGCCTTAGCGAAAGGGCTGGCTGACGGCACTAATACCTCGGGGGCTAAAGAAGGAAACCGACTGTTACTGAAGGAACGGCTGAAGAAACCGTTTTTTTTTACGTAATAGTTCTTTACAGTCTCCCTTAGCTGTTTCAATGTTCGAATGTTCGAGTCGATTATGGAAGCATCAAAAATTGTGCGATGCTTTATAGATCGGTCTGCTGTTAAGATTCGAATTTAAGAACAGCAATTTATTTAGCGGGATAGAGATAACAATGATGTTATCATGACATTACAAAAATATGATTTTAGACACTCCTGGCAAGATCCACAATCCTTCTTCTCTTTTGAAATCTATAAAACTTGCTCTATAATCTGGACCAGCATATTCGTGCTCAACGTGGCTTTCAAACCCACACGCTGGCAATGTATTATGCAGAAGCACAATGACCTCCATCAACCCTACATTAGGCAGTAAGCAATTGAAAATAGCTAAGGATAAGAGTGATAAATACCTTAAATCGGCACCCGTCATCCAAGAGCTTCCATCTGCGAGCAAGAAAACGGTCGGAGCTTTGAAATCCTCGGGCGCACCAAGTCTTCCAAGCAGAGCTCCAGCCATCCATGTCTTTTCCAACGCGGGTTCTGCTGCAAGTAATTCGTCGGTCATCGCTGTTCGAATGTATCCGGGTGATATTGTGTTCACACGAATGCCATGCTGGCCCCATTCTTGAGCGACAGACCGACACATCTGGTGAACCGCAGCTTTCGAAGAGTTGTACGCCGTGCAAGTCAATCCCTAAATTACGTGAGTGGTCGTCTTCAAATCGAGATCTGATTTCTTTACCCTGTTGGCAATCTGCCCCGACATGGATGCAATCATGACAATGCTTCCAGGAGTTTGCTGTTTCATGAAAATTCTAGCAGAATGTTTGATTGTCAAAAAGGTTCCGGTGACGTTGACTTCCATGATCTTCCGGAATCCATCCATTGGATAATCAACAGCAGGTGCTTTTTGTTGAATTCCAGCACATGCAATTGTGCCGTGTAGTGGTGCTTTTGCTTCTAACGCCTCGTTTGCAATTGTATCCAAAGTCTCAGAAATGCTTTCCTCGGAAGTTATGTCACATTTATGATATGAGATTGTAAGATTTGATGATTTCGCAAGTTTCTGTAAGGACGCCCATTCGACCGGCGACGGCTCTGGCAGTACGTCAATACAGGCAGCGTGTCCACCCGCTTCGAGGACCGCAGCAGCGAGGTTGATACCGACCCCGCGCCCAGCACCTGTTATTGCAATCGTGCGTCTCTCGAGCGAGAAGAGGCGGGGTACAGGCGCTTGCGAGGGTGTTTGGGCAGATTCTGGAATGTGGCTTGGAAGAGTGATGTCGCTGACGACCTTTTCTTCTATGCTTCCCATCGTGAGATTGGACTATGGCTGCAGACTTTGGAAGTGAAGGAATTGGTGAAGTTGATTGAATATGATTAGGAAAATGCAATGAATATTCTGTGGTTGGAGGGTGGTGAGAGAACCAAGAGAGGTTCTTTCATTGAGAATCCCTCATCAGAACTTACCAATGTTCAAACCCACCCCACTTCAGATTGAGTGGAGACTCTTCTTGCACTGATAGTGGGGTATAATTGCTTGAAACTTCCTCGAGTGGTTTCGCTGGATGCAGTGTTACAAGTTCTCACGAAAATAAGAGCTTGAGGTTGAAATGAAGATCGAAAGGCTTGGGACTGCCAATTTGAGACCCCTGAATAGCGTGTTCGTGGAGGGGCAAGCTTGGCGAGCTGCCGAAAGAGTGGGCTGCTAGCTTGAAAATGGATCCACACTGCCTAAAGAGGAACTTGTAAGCACTGGAACCTCACCCCCGCATTGCCGAACCCCAATGTATCTACTTCTACCTCCCTTCTCTTCACTGAGCTAACATTCTCCACCTTACCATGATAAAGCAACTGTAAGCGCAACCGATACAGAACAGGTCTTTGTCGTCAAGATGGCGGTTATATATCTCAATATCTGCGATGTGCAGCGGTGTAGCTGTGTGGTACTCATCACACTCATAATTGCAAAACAACAGAAAAATCTTCCAGCATGGCCCCATCAGCAGTCGAAAGCGTGTCTAACCTGCCGCTGAAAGTGGCTTCCAAAAAGACTTCTTCTAATGACCTCTTGGATCTCGACTTACAGGATTCAGAACTGGACGGGCGAGTTCTAAAGACTTTTCGATGTCTGATTGCAGACCTTTGCCAACAATTCAATGGCGGACATCCGGGTGGTGCTATGGGGATGGCAGCTATTGGAGTGGCTCTGTGGAAGTACGCCATGAAGTATTCCCCGGAGAACCCTAGCTTCTTCAATCGAGACCGCTTCGTGCTGTCAAATGGTATGTCTTCAGCTAGGTCAATGTTCCTATGCTAACTTTATAGGCCACACATGTCTTTTTCAATATACATTTCTACACTTAGTGGGATACAAATATATGACCTTTGATCAATTGAAATCCTACCACTCCGCAAGGACCGATTCGTTCTGCCCGGGCCATCCTGAAATTGAACATGAAGGAATCGAGGTGACAACCGGTCCATTGGGGCAAGGAATTGCAAATGCTGTTGGACTTGCCATGGCGACCAAACATCTGGGAGCAACATACAACAAGCCAAACTTTCCCCTTGTTGACAATACAACATGGTGCATGATAGGAGACGCATGCCTGCAAGAAGGGGTCGCACTAGAGGCCATCTCACTTGCGGGACATTGGAAACTCAACAACTTGGTCGTAATCTACGACAATAACCAGGTTACTTGTGACGGATCGGTGGATATCTGCAACAACGAGGATGTGAACGATAAGATGAGAGCGTGTGGCTGGAATGTTATTGATGTTGAGAACGGCAGCCACGATATCGAAACAATTGTCCGGGCCCTCATAACTGCCAAGACGAGCAGAGACAAGCCGACATTAATCAACGTACGGACAGTGATTGGAATCGGCAGCAAGTCAGCCGGAGACGCCAAAGCCCACGGAGCAGCTTTTGGTGCTGAAGATGTGGCAAACATCAAGCGCTCTTCTGGAATGGATGAGACGAAGCATTTCCAGGTATCAGAGGAAGTTTATGACTATTTCCGGGAAGCAAAGTCAAGAGGAAGGCAACTTGAAGCCGAATGGGATGAATTAGTGAGTGGATATCGAACAAAATACCCTGATCTGGGCGACGAATTTGCTCTTCGAATGAAAGGAGAGTTCACAGAGAATTGGGAAGAAATAATCCCTCCCAAAGAAAGTTTCCCGACAAGCCCCACGCCTTCGAGGAAATCCTCTGGGCTGGTCTGCAATCCACTTGCCGAGAAGATCAAGAACTTTATGGTCGGAACAGCGGATCTCACGCCTTCTGTCAACATGGTGTGGAAAGGTAAAGTGGACTTCCAAAACCCTGATCTCAAAACCACTTGTGGAATAAACGGCGACTACTCCGGTCGTTACATCCACTGGGGCATCCGAGAACACGCCATGGCATCCATTTCCAATGGGCTCGCCGCCTTCAACAAAGGTACAATTCTCCCAGTAACATCAACATTCTTCATGTTCTATATCTATGCTGCGCCTGGGATCCGCATGGGAGCTTTGCAGAGCCTGCAACAAATCCATATCGCAACACACGACTCGATTGGCACTGGCGAGGACGGACCGACTCATCAACCTATTGCGCTTGCTAACCTGTACCGTGCGATGCCAAATATCCTTTACATCCGCCCAGCAGATAGCGAGGAAACCGCAGGTGCATATATTGCGGCCTTGAGAGCGAAAAACACACCTTCAATCATCTCTCTTTCCCGCCAGAATCTCGAGCAATATCCCTCATATTCATCCCGGGACGGCGTTCAAAAGGGTGCATATGTCTTTATGGAGAAAAAGGATGCTGATGTAACACTTATCGGCGTCGGCGCGGAGATGGTCTTCGCAGTCGACACAGCCAAACTTTTGGAGTCGAAGTTCGGCCTGAAGGCTCGAGTCGTTAGCTTTCCTTGCCAGAGACTTTTTGACCAGCAGCCAATTGAGTATAAAAGAGAGATTCTGCAGTACAGATCCAAAGCCCCAAGGGTGGTCATTGAGGCGTATGCTGTGAATGGATGGGAGCGATATGCCGACGCGGGGTGGTCAATGAACACTTTCGGACACTCACTGCCCGGCAAAGATGCGTATAAATACTTTGGTTTTGACGCGGAAGTGATTGCTCCAAGGGTTTTTGAATTTATTGAAAATGTTAGGCAGGAAGGGGTTGACAACCTCAGAGGAGAGTTCAGAGATTTGAATACTGTCTCCCACTGAGACATCCTCAGTGAGAAGGGGGACCTGGTAACAGATGAAAGAGTCGACCAGGGAGACGCCACATTTTTAAAAATGGCACAGGTTCTTCCTAATGGCGGGACGAAAAAGTTGCCGGACTGTGAATAGTGAGGGTGGGAATGGAAAGAAGGAAAGTAGTGTCTGATTTGAAAGGAGGATATTAGAAATGTATATTTTCAGCCTGATTCCTCACTTGCTTCTACGTGCTCGCCAAATGACAGCCTGTATAACTTTTTTCGTTTGAGTGTTTCCAGGTTCAGCCACCTTTTCAACAACTAACACATTCAACCACCCGTTTTCCACACCACCTGGAAGCAAAACCGTGGGCGTGCCATGAATTTTCTTCAATGGTATGAGTCCTAGTGTGAAGAATGGCGTGGTGGCTGCCATGGTGTGAACGTATTTATTTGAAGAGGGTTCGCGGAGATTGAGGATCCGAATCAAAATGAATTGCCAGATATGGAAGCTGAAATGAGGTGGTGAATTTCTGCCGGACGTTTAAAAAGTTCAGGGCTGTTGGAGAGCTCGTTGGTGAGAGGTGTACTTGGCGGTGAAAGGTTATGTATAGGGATTACTTCTGGACCGACGGAGATACTGTGTTCCAGTATATGGAAGCCAGGAAACCCGATCGCCTTGCTTGCAGTGCAACTTCCTTGCTGGGGGTGTGCCTCCTCAGTTTCAGTTCTATGTCGAGACAACAAGATGATTGTGTATTGTACCGTGGGCTGTTTCTTCATTCATACAATAGGTCTAGACATTGGCACAGTAGCACTGAGCTGTAAATCACTGCCAAGAAGTTTCAGTGCTCCAATTCTCTAGTCAAGGCATCATGCTCCTTCCTTAGGGTATCTGGATTATACTCCTCAAACCAAAACGACCAAGTGCTCTGCGAATTTTGAAAGTTGTTATCTCGGGAGCTCTCAAGGCCGACATGTTGGACCAGTTGTGGCCTCAACGCAAGTCTTTGCTTTCCTCTCTCATCCGCGTAATTTTCAATCATCGTATCCGTCTGTCCGGTTCCAATTGCCCTCAGATATGACGCAAGCTCGGGGACTTGAGTTCGTGGAAATATAAGCGCTTGTGTACAGCATCCGAATTTGTTCATCTTGAAGACTCCGTTGCGCGGGTACAAAGAATTTTTCCCCACCATGAAGAGCAGTGACACGAAAGCTGGGATGGTGGCCAAACATATAACTGCGATCGCCCAATTGTCCAGATATCGTCTTGTGCTCGGGACAAAGCAACGAGTGAGAAACAAGATAACATATCCAAGGATGGCGGCCGTCGCAAATATCGAACCCTTGTAGTGGTACATGAAATCCGTCTCTTCCCATCCAACAGAGGTTTCCGTATAAAAAATCCGTAGGTATATCCAGTTCCAATATTTTTCTCCCTCAACCCCTGCGTATTTTTCGATTTCACCAAGTGCCTTTCTAGTCTTTATCATCCAGCCGTCTGCGAGAATGATATCCCCCTCGAACATCGCAATGTAAGGTGCACCAATTTCATAGCAGTAGTCGAGGGCGTAGAGGTAATCACTGCCGAGCTTAATCAGCTCAAGTTTCACGCTTCCGAGAACTACTTACTAAACCCCCTTCTCGTAGAAGTTGCGCTTTCCCTCTAGCTCTCGCAGATGTTCCATGACCGTGGCATTCACATTGTAGCTCAATGCGGCATCGACAGCATTCTTCAGCCACGGCTGGTTCCATGTTGGATGTACCGTTGGATCGGTATTCGCAAAGAAAACATAAGCGTAGAGTTTGCTCCTCTCTTCATCCGTCAACCCTTCCAACATTGACCCGATCCCAGCATCGATATATTGTTTCTTCTCCCTCTTGACCGTGACAAATGCCGCACATATATCGGGGTGTGATGATGCCTTTGCCAATTTCACATTTGGGTCATGGGCTCTATCGATGAATTCATTGGCCTGCTCCTCGCGGTATTCGGAATACTGGAGGTCGTAGACATGTTCCGACTGGAAGAACGCGGAATGCGGCTCTCTCCAATACCTATTCCGGCAGTACTGAATTACGAGGAGCCAGCATATGGAGGAGATGATGAAGACCTTGCCTGCTGAGGAGAAGAGAATGCGTTGGAGAAGAATACGCAGGTTCCTGATGGGCACCATCTTGGGAATATTATGTCGTTCATCTTGAAGGACTTGGAGGCGAGGGAACCGGAAAGCCACAGCGTGTCAGCGACTTGTTGCGCCCAGCCTGCCCAGGCGCCAGGCTCGTCTTTACCAAGTTACGAGGGAATCCTGTGGTGCGTCGATCTTTGTGCCTCAACGGCGCAGCGCAGGCAGCCCTAAGTTTCCAACATTGCGATAAGACGCGCCAATTCACATCTGCAAATTCATGCACCTAGTAGGACATCAAATTCCATCAATAATATATGTTACCTGGATCCAAGCAACCTGTTGATTTGAGATAGATTATTCAACGTCCAAAAGGGAACGTTAAGATTAGGTAGGTGTAGGCTAGCCCGATCTGACTTTCTACTGAGGCATCTAAGCTGAGATATCATCTCCTCCGAGTAGAAGAATCGTTTTAACTTAATACATCCACGTAACCAGACGTCTACGGTACTTCCTAATCGGTCTTCCACTGCGTAGAGCCTGTACCAATGATTCAGCTTAAAGGCCATGAACAAGGCGAAGTGATCACCCTGAAAGCATATCACGTGATGCAAGCACAAGCCTTGAGATTCTAGGCGTGAAACGCGACTTCTTTCAACACTTCATCACTTCACTAAGAAGTCACAATCCCTCACTCTGTGTTTCCCAATTTACCCAACTGACCCTATTCACGTCTTCTGATACAACTTTTAGCTTCCATAAAGAAAGGCGCTGGCACCAAATAATCACACGCACCAACACTCTCACCTGGCCCCATTCGTAGCACTTGAAAACTGTTCATCTGAACGAAGCCAGCACTGCAAATTTTGCACCATCTCAAACACGCTTACAATTTAGCCATGGCCGGAACGTCTCTTCCATCACAAGGGTGGGCGATAGCTGATAACGACATCCAGCTTGCACATACCGTCTCTGCACCGCAATTCGCCGCTTTGATTCCGGCCAGCGTTTCGCTCTACTCTCCAAGGGGCTCGCTTAAAAAATATGGACCCGCTTGCCCCCTGAGAAACATACAATACACTGCACGTTCGGACCAGTCCCGACTTCCGGAAACGAAACATTGTTTGATGGGGTGGGTAGTGCCGTGATATTGAACGTGGGGCTCAGGTATTGATGTTTCAGATGCATCGCGGGGGCATGCCGATGGGGAGATCTAGCGGATCTCTCATCCAAATCGACCCCTGTCCGGATATGCCAGCGCATTTTTTTATCTCCCTTTGTTGTGTACAGTACCAACAGGTACCATGTCTGAGTCGAGGGTCTAGACAAGTCCTCAGGAGATTTCTTTTTTGCATACCGCATTATCGAGAATTAAATGAACCACATGGTTCGGCAGTTCATCGTGTCTGGCTCTTATTGGCGTCTGGGGTATGCCCGAGGCCTTCTTTGTCCGTTGGGTTGCTGTCCATGGAGATGAAGCTTGCCCCTGAGCTGGAGAGGGGAGGTGAATGGTATAAGAGTTTGCTGTTTCCTCCCACCACCATGCGTTTTGTTTGCCTCTTCAAGTTTTCACTTCCAGCCTATCCTTAAATACAGCTTTGCTATTTCTATTCTACATAATGTCTATCTTCAAAACATACACACTCCTTTGCCTGCTGGCCAGAACCATCTACGCTACAGCGCCAGAGTCGATTTCGGGCTTCAACGTCATCTGGTCCGACGACTTCTCGGGCTCTGCACTGGATACATCGAAATGGACACGCTGGACCGGGATATCATCCAACAATGAGCAAGAAACATACACCACCTCCCCCACAACCTGCCAACTCAGCGGCTCCGGCACCTTCCTCATAACCCCCGAACTGAACAACGGCCAATGGACCAGCTGCCGCATCGAATCCAACCCCTCTTTCGCCGCCACCCCGGGCAGTCAGATCATCGTGCAAGCTCGTCTCAAGCTCGGCACTCCAGGAGCAGCCCTCCAAGGCATCTGGCCCGCCTTCTGGTCCCTCGGCCAAGCGATGCGCGAAGGCACACCCTGGCCTGCATGCGGCGAAATCGATACCATGGAGAACATCAACGGCGGGCCTCTGGGCTACGGAACCATCCATTGCGGCAGCGCCTGCAACGACCCCACGGGCCTGAGTTCCGCCATCGCCTTCGATTACGGCGCCTACCATACCTGGGCGCATGCGATTGATCTGCGGAGCGGCGATTGGACGCAGCAGAGCATCACTTGGTATATGGATGGGCAGGCGTACCATATCGTGCACGGAAGCGATGTGGGGGATGAGACGGCGTGGGTCGCTTTGGCGCAGAAGCCTTATTATATGACGTTGAATGTTGCGGTGGGCGGTTCATGGCCTGGTTCGCCGGCTGCGAATACGGTGTCTGGAACAGATGCGGGGATGGAGGTGCTTTATGTGGCTGTTTACCAGGGTTGATTTGGTTGGAGATCTGATTTGTTTCATGGAGTTTGGGTGATGGTGACGGCGTTTGAAGATCTGGTACTGGTACACATGATCGGGAATACCCTAGAAACGATGGATATAAATGGCTCTAAATTGGTAGATTAGATCGACTATACAGCATGTTCGAAGAAGAATCGCATCATGTCTCTTTTCCTCATCCCTGAATCCTAAAGGAACCTGTTTGAATATTCCGAACGCCTCTTGTGCTTTTCTTCTATTGAATAAAACCCCAACTCCCACAGTCGAGGTCCTAGTATATGTAAACAGTAAATCAACTTTAATAAGCTATAGGGTATCATACTGAATCCTACCCGCTAAATCATAATTCTATAGCTAAACGCTTCAAACTTTTCATAATCACACAATCACTCCATCTTTTCTCTCCCCGCATACAACTCAGCAGGCAAAATCTTCGACGGCTCATCGCTCGTAAACCCCGCATGTCGGAACTTCTCGCCCATGCCCACTATTGCCAATCATTAGCATATGTCCCTCTCTCTCTCAAGGAATTTAGAAACCGAGGGGAAAATAAACTTACAATCGCCCCATTGTATTCCCTCATAAGCGAAGTCTTCAAGCTCGGCGGTTGAGGCGCAGCATGCGCGGATCGAGCCGTACCTAGGTTGTTAGTTAGTGGCCAGGAAATGGGGAGCGTGGGGGGGGATACATTTGTGGGATGAAGCCCTCTCGCGTAAATGTAAACGCCCACCAGCAGACTGCGGTCATTGCTATCATGAGGATGGTGGATATAAAAATTGGGTAGGCGGCGTAGGTCACCTGCATCCGCATTAGTCTAATTTCCATGACGGCTTTGGAAGCGAAGTGGAAGTAGCAGTAGAATGAACCGAGACTTACAAAATATGTAGAATGCTCAATCTTATGCTCCGGATCCGTAAATATTGTCTCAGTTGTCGAAATAGCTTGCCCGAGAAGCCAGTGCATCAACGCCGCATACGCCATGAGTGGGAGAAGTACTTTGCTGGGCAGTTGCAGGAAGTAAGACTGCTCGAATTGCTTTCCACGCACCAGTGTACACCTGGGTCTCCTGCGCTTCTCCTCCCAGGCGCCCCATTCGTTCTCCATGCTGATGAGACTGAGATTATATATTAGGAGAAGATACAGCAAGCTATATAAGAATTGCGCTCCGTTAGACACGGCGAAAGCGATGAACTCGCTGGAGAGGCTGTCAGAAGGGAGGGCGCCTAGGGAAGCACTCGAGCTAAAGCCACCCCATGTACCGAATCTGTCTTTCAAATACCACGAAACAGGAACAGTGCAATCGTAGTCGCTGTATATTGTATCAGCCCTAGTTGGGCAATAATGATGGTAGTCCGAGGTAAGTCCGGACATAGAAACGGCGATCATGATGGAGACTGATATCATGATGACAGAGATAAACATGAGAATGATCATCTGAACTATAGCTGTAGATCCTAGGTTGGAGAGAAGAGATCGTTTGTACTTGATCGCTATGCTAGGATGCGGAAGATCTGCTGCTTTGTCGCTCTTGTTGAACTTTTTGCATTTCTGGCAATGACCAATATTGTCACCCGTCATGGAACGCACAGGGTCTTTGCAATGCTTGTGGCATGTATGTTCGACTTTCTCACGCCAACCATCTCCCGAATTGAGCATACACTCGTTTTTGATTTTGAGACTTGGATCAAGTACCGATGCAACGATGACATCTCCGTACGTGAGACAATTATGCTTGGTTCGATGTCGAGCTCGAACATTGAGAACTATCATGTAGATGGCTTTGATGAAAAGGCAGCCCGTCAAAATGAATGAAGCTTGCATGCGCACATTCATCCGACATTGCTTTGGCATGGGATCGCTGAGAAGGCATATGACGCTTTGACTTGAGCAGTTGCCGTTCGCATACTTTTCTAACCGCCCTTGCGATACAACCGCTTCTTTCAACGCCGTCTCAATATCGGCTGTTCCCTTCAACGGTTCACATACTGCCGCGTATTTAACATTGACACTCCGATATGTAGTCGAATTTCCGAGCTCCTCAGCATTATAGTCTTGATTGAGTTGAGTCATCTGTTTTGGTAGTATGTATGCGTTGGCTCTGAGTGCAGTCCAGCACCCTGTATCGGGATCGGAATAGTATCCCCCCTTTGTATTGTTGTCGAACGTGTATGTGATATTGGTTGGCATGTGAATGTAAAACGAAGGTCCAATAACAGAGTTGGCAAGAAAATGGACGGGCTATCTCCAATTAGCAGTTTTACTTGGGTTAACAGCTGAATAAACAGCAAGGGAATCAGTATCAGGTAATAGCATAGAAATACTGGATTTGCTAGGCAATACGAACGAAGCGTCAAAGGGACAGCTAAAATGACTGGTAATCACTCACGAGAGAAGTGCCAATAAGTAATAGCCATGCTAACCACGCCTTGGTTTTCCCTTCGCGCTTGTGGTTAATAGCCCAAGGACTATTTGTTCCAACTTTCGAGTCCCCCCGTTTAGAGAGCACCCATCTAATCTCATCCACTTTCAGTGAAGTGACAAGCTGCTGGTAGGTATTCGAGCAACCCAAGATCATTGTAGCTGCTATGTTAATAAAAAGATGAACAGCCTAAAAGGTTCACATTAGGTTCCACATCTACCGGTAGGCAGTTTACGCTTAACATACCACATTCTTTTGCTCCATTGACCCGCAGCTTTCCCCATCTTTTCCTCCCACAGACGTAGTTTTCAAATTGATCCTATTCGCAAAATCGCCAATATAACTCAGTGTTATAATCAACATGATCACTGCGCACACAGCCGTAAACGCTGCCATGCTCCGCAGACTGCGGTCAGCCAGCATCTGTTTGTACCATAGCCCAGGTTTCCCATGTGCAAAGTTGCCGTCGAAAGTCGAGGCCGATCGCGCCGATAAAACTGATTTTTTGTGCCATAGCTGTTGGATATTGTCTCTAATGCCAGTCCGTTGACGAGTTTCCCCAGATACACTCAGGTAACTCTGCGAGCTCTTCCTGTCATCAGAATACGCCGCTTTGGCAACACTCAAGCTTTCCCTATGGAGCAGAGATCTCGTCGATGTGTCGTCAAATGAAGGCAGCGTCCGCCGTCGCGAAAGATCATTCGAGTCTCTATCCGTACCAGTCGTCTCAAATCTCTCAAGACCATCCGAGCTGTTTGTTGGAGAGTGATGTGCGCGCTGCGGTTCTGGGGGTTCGTGGGGCTCGTTCTCCCTATAATGCGACGCCAATCAGTTTCAATTTCATCGCGTTATTTTTTTCTGTGTAAGTTTCAGGAGCTTGGACTTTACCCCAACTCCACCATAGTAATGTCTGCATCGTGGTCCCATTCATCAAACAGCCGCGAGAATCGAGCTCCAGACGCCATCGCGACAAGGTGCCAACGTACCCTCTTTTGAATACAGTAAAAGAAAATAACGTAAAGAAAGTTGTTCGGGTGGGGATTCCAGCCTACATACCGATTTAAAGACGAATTTGTGCTTCCAACAAAGCCTGCCTTGTAAGCAGCTCAGCTCACTGTTTCTAACCTCTTAGGAGGCTGAGGCTGTACTGTGCCTCCTTGGCATTCATTGAAGTAGGCAACTTGAGATGACGAAGGGTGAAGCTGGGGGCGTAGACCGTATCCTGAAACACATGCTACGATGCACATAAATCTATATACAGTTTGTACTTTCCACTTTTCCACCGCGTCGCTCACCCATCAAATCACTGGCAAATAAAATTACCCCACCCCACTTTTTGGTTCCGTTGGCTTGGCTGGGGCAGCGTCTGTGCGTCTGTACCGGAACTAAATATAAACATACTTCCCGCGCGAGATCGGTCGATAGAGTTCACAGCATCATTATTAAGGTTCTTGCAAACTTTGAAAGCTGGGTCTGGTACAGTAGATGCGAAGCGAAAGTGGGTATATTACGACCAAAACAGTCTAAATAGTAATAATACATATATAATCATACAGTATTGCTGCGAACTGGAGTGTTCGGAAAAGGTATCCAATCTATGTTTGGTTGAATGTGAAGTGAAAAAGGTACCTCGTGCACCATTGACGCCCGATGCGTCAAATCAGGGTGATATTTCTCGCCGAATGGCCATATCATGCGATCCTCCATGAAGCTCTTCATGCCCACTTCCGATTGAGGAGACATAGAGCCTGATACAGAAAAAAATGGTGGATCGAAGTCCTGATAATATCCAGCTGCTTCGGCAGTTTCGCCTGCTATTCGAAGTGCATCGTCGGCGTCCCACGTGCCTTCTCTTCCTGGCGAGCGGGAAAGTAAATCGACGGCTCTTTGTTGAATTGCCCGATTTGGTGATCTCATAACTGTGAAAAATAGAGGTGCAATGAGACCCATTGTTGCTGTGAAGTTCAGATTTTCGTTGGGAAAAGGAGAATTGATCTTAGCAGCGATGAGGAACTCGCAATGGGCGAGGACTTCGTCAAACTTCTTGTGGCTTGGCTCCGGTGTCTCGATGACAATGGAGAAAATGAGTGAGTGAAGCTTGAGTAATGATGCGCCTAGGTCGTGCTTGGTAATGATGGTTCTATCCTCCGGCATGGATTCGAGGAGGAATATCTCAAAGGTTTCTGACCACGCTTGCATTGCAGCAATGTGTCGAAGTCCCTCATTGCTTCTGGGGTGGGGACTTTGCCGATCCATTGTACGGTCAGCGGCAGCCGTTCTATCGGCCGTAATGTCTGCCGTTAATGTGTTAAGGGCATGTCGTGCCTCATCTAGAGAGTAAAACCGGGTTGGTTGAGCTGATAATCCAGCATTCTTCAGTGCAACCCAAAGCGCTAGGCGATCTACCCGCTGCCTTGGGTTGGCAAATGAAGCTGCCTGAATTCCGAGGGAGAGCAACAGTGGTGAAAATTCCCGCTCCCATTCGTGAGCAGAGCTGCCACCAGGTACTTTCTTCACCTTAATGTCTTCTAGGATCTTCAATCCAGATTTTAGATGTATGATGGCTGATTCACTGTCGATGATGTTAGCAGGTGCTCTTGAATCTTATCGTGCGAGGAACGGCATCAAAAAACACAGTAGTCGATGTGAAGGGAATGTAGGAGTGGGGAACTTACTGATTTCCCAGTAGACAGTCAAAGCTAATAAATAAAATGCACGCTGTTAATGTGATATCCAAATGTTGTGTTTGAGTCGACATTAACTGGTACAGGTAACTGATGGCTTTGGTATATTGTCGAAAGGCAAAAGATTGTATTGAAGGATCGTAGACCTTGCTCTGTTGCCAGCCAACATAGTCTTGATGAACGGCAGCAATGGCAATGGCGGCATGTCGAATTGCAGGTTCAAAGTCGGTTGCTTGGATTACTCTGCATTCCCAGAAGTCTGGAGAGAAGTACCCAGATAACTTGGGTGCCGTAAATGTTCGAAAGAAGTACAGTAACCGCTGTTCTGCAGGATCTAGGTTGGGGCTTGGTGAGGGGTATTTCGCTGGTGATGATGGAGATTTCCGTGAACCGTCGGAAGGTTTGACAGGAGCATACCCGTCACACTTCCGTCCTGTTGAGGTACATCTCTTGCAACACGGCTTCTCTTCTCCACACTTGACTCTTCGGATTCTACTCAGGTGTCAGCCCGATACAGGTACACAGATGGAAGCAATTGCTTGCTTATTGATTGACCTACTTGCAGGTAATACATCCTGTCCGTGAAGGAGTTCCACAGACTCTGAAACGATTGCCGGATTTGGGCTTCATATTGCAAAAGGTCATTAAGAGGTCCAAGAGTTTTTTGGAAAAGGAGGGAAGGGGTGGCACAGATGAAGATATAAGCTGAGATGATGTAGCTAGCCTGCAGGGTGGCTATCATCAGCGAGTCCGTCTCTGACCCTTGACCCATGCAGGCACCGCACCTTGTCAATCGGCACATGGCAGGAACCAGCCAGGGACAAGGGACCGTGTAGACTTTCCCAGGTATCTATGGATAGATCGAGGAGGGGTCAGCCGCGCGAATAGATCGGGCGTCTTATTTTGGCCAGCATTTGTAAAACACTTTGTACACACAATAATACTACTCAACGGTTGCCAGGGTAGGGAATGAGCTACATGACCTAGCGGGGCACCATGCAACACCCATGAACTCCGTACACTAGTAGCCATGCCATGCACGCACTATCTACCCAAGTCAAGAAAAACGTGGGCGACAGCTGTGATGGTTGCGGGAAGCGATGCGATTTATAGCGAAGGATTCGGGAAGGGGTGTAGAGGGGGTGTGGAAGACTGGACGAGTGGTAGGAAGTAAGAAAAGCCGGAGACGACGGTGGCAACGTCGCTTTCGCGCCACGTTTTGGACCCAATACCACACGCGGATGCATGCGCCCTGGCATACTTGAATATGACTGTGCAGGCAGACTGGCGCGCTGGGGACGAATTCGGGCCAACGAGAACAGAATCCAACGGGCGCGGAGTAGTGGGAGAGGAGCGTAGGTGGGGTGCTAAATTACTATACAGAGAAGAGGCTCTGGAGGTCTGGAGTCTGGAGTCTGGAGTCTGGACGGCTCGGTAAGGGG